GGGGGGGGGGGGGGATAAAAATAGCTTATGCCACGCAAGGCGATCTTTGACTTCCATCCAAAGCCATACGATGCTGTCTCAACATTTTCGCGTTCACTGGATCCAGTTGCTTGATTGATACATTCTGCTACATTTAGTTATCATTGCAAAATCATTCCACCAGGACATCAAGCTCGGCAATATTCCTTGTGGAGAAGGAGGAGAGGAGGGGTGAAGAATGTATAACTATATATATATATCTTATGAGGAATAGGTGGCTACCCTCAGGACTGATCCTTTTTGGCGTGGTGGTAAAGCCTCCCATAGAAGACTGCATTTTTTAAAGAAGGTCCGTTAATTCCACCCATGATTGCCTCGCGGTAACATGACACAAAAGCACAGCATAATAACCATAAAGCTGTCAAAGAGAGAAATGGGAAATTTGAAACCCATTTCATGACAGCTCACAGAGACAAGAGAAAGAAAACACAATAGAATTCCTGAATGCTGTCACTCAAAGGTTAGTTGCAGGATTGCCTCAGAGATTTATATCTATGATAGCATCGCATACAATTCTCTGACCACAATGTTTCTAGTGTGAGATGTGGTCCAGGAGCTCAGCAATACATCACATTCCAACCCGAAGTAGCTTTTGGCCTCCATGGTGTAGAGATGCTTATTTTCACTACTAGTATGTAGTTATGGCAGCCAGTTGTTATATCATCGAAGATGCTGTTTATCACCAAAATTGGGTTGTAGTCTAGTTATGCTCATAAGTGATAGGCATGTAACTCCATCATTGCCATTGAACCCTTTCTGTAGAGTTTCAACCCGGGCACAGCGTCCTGCGGATAACGGTTCAAGCCAGAGGAAAAGCAAAAAGGAAACGGCCCAGCCGGAATCTACCACGCTGCTGGGAACCGGATCCAAACAGGGCACGGCAAAGTCAAAGCAAAAGTCAAAGCAGGCCCGCGAACGGCGGTTCTTGATTCTCGCAGCAAAACTGGGTTTCTTCTCCCTTCATTCTCCTTTGCCGCAGAGTGCGGAACCACAGAAGAGAACGGCGTCCTGTTAGCGTGGAAGAATCCTCGCCGTGTCCCCGTTGGGCCATGCCTGGAGCCGGTTAGCCCGCCGCCACGGCCCCTGGCCCGGCGATTTGCGTGACCACTGCCCACTGTGCCCAAGTGCCCACACTGCCACTGTCCGGCTGCTGTCCTGCCCCTGGCCCTTTACCCCTGCCCCCCTGCCCAACGGTCCTCCGGCTGCTCCCACCCCCCAAGGGTCTCGACGGCTGTCGTTTCTGTCGTTTTTCCTTTTTCTTCCCACTTTCCCGTCTGACTAACCCGCCAACCATCCTGCTCGTCCATCCACGCCCTTTTTTTCCCTCCCATCCAACCCTCCGCCAACTCCTTCTCGCCCGCTCCTCCACACCCAGCTGTCGCACTGCCTTCTGCCATCGTCCGTCTGAAGCGCATAGCCAACTTCCATCGTTGCGCCGTATTTCTCCTGCCCGTTTCACCCCGTTTCCATCCGGAATCCGACCCGGCGCAACCACCAGTGCGTGGCTGCCTGTTTTTGTTTTGTCGCTCGTCCTAATAAATATACCCACAACCACAACAAGCCTCGTCGAACGAGCCCTTTTTATTAAATAAACCGAAAAAAAAAAATATTACAGAAGCACTCCCTAGTGCAATTCAATCAAATATTCTCTTATCAAATTACAAAAGAAAAAAAAAAATTCCACGCGCCTCAAGCTCACCATGCTCCTCCCCTCAGCCCTCTCCTGCGACTCGCGCCAACACAATAATAATCACAACAACCACAACCAATACCAATACCACCCTCAACACCCCCCACGTCCGCGCTCCCTTTTCCCCACTACACCTCCCTCCGCCCACCCCTCCGATGGCCTCAGCTTCATCGCCAGCAACAGTCTCCTGGGCACCTGTCGCACCCTGCAGTCGCTCCTGAACTCCTCGCCTGCCCCTTCGCCCTCTCCGTCGTCACGGCGCGGCGCCGCAAAACTGTCATCTCCGCAACTACAACTGCATCAGCAGCAACGGCTCCAGAGCCCGCTACATGTCGTGCGCCCGTCGCAGCAGCAGCAACAACAGCAGCAGCAGTGTCCTGAAGCCGCGCAGGTGCGGCCGCAGAAGGTCGTGAAGAAGAAGAAGCAGGTGGTGGCGGCGGCGGCGCGGAGGTGCTTTAATAAGCGGCGGAGGGATGTTTACGAAGAGGAGGAGGGGGAGGAGGGTGCTGGTGCTGGTGCTGGTGGTGCTGTTGGAGGGAATGATGGGGATGCGTGGAGGTTTGGGTTTTCGACGCCAAAAAGACGGCGGCGCATGCTATCTGAGGAGGAGGATAGGGACTTACCACTGGGTCTGAGGAGGGCGGATTTTAGAGCATTGGAGGCATGGCGGGAAGAGGAGGAGAAGGGAGATTCGGGTGTGGGTGTGGATGTGGATGTGGATGAGAGTGTGGATGAGAGTGAGAGGCATGGGCCAGTGTCGACACGATTGCGATCGCGATCGCGGTCGCTGTCGCAGGTGCAATCACTCTCGCCAGAAGCAAGTAGACGAAAGTGCACCTGCGCCGTGGATGATGGGGGGTGTGGGTGCCATGCGCGGATCGAGCGACTGTGCGCTGCTACTGACGACGACGACGACGATATCTCAGCTTTCCCCTCTCCTTCCACAACCACAACACCTACTAGTGGTACTACTACGTCTATACATACAACTACAGCCAGCACAACAATTACAGCTCCTCACACGCACCCGCACCCGCACCCTCCCCTCCCCTCCACCGACTGGACAAGCGCCGACGACAAACGACTCGTGGCTCTCGTGCTGGAGAAGCTGAAGCTGTCGAAGCGCGACTGGAACGAGTGCGCGCGCCGCATGGGTAAGGACCACGATAGCGTGGGCCGGCGGTGGCGCGCGCTGGTGGGCGAGGGTAATGTCGGCTTGCGGCGCGGTAGGGGCCGGATGGTGAGGAGGGGTATTCATGAGGGGTGGAGGTGTTGAGTGTGATTTTCGTTTGGGTGGACCATATTTTTTGACTTTCGTGATATGTTTTATTAATTTACCTTTTGTCTTCTTGATCTTTTTCTCCCTTCCCTTTTTTATCTTATTTTTTGATTCCTACAGTTATCTATTGCTGCTCCCACGGCCGCCGCTGTTTTATTTGGCCAACTGAGCCAATTGTTCGTTGCCCGTCGATGCCTTCTGAAACGGGCAATCTTCGGCGGCTTGGAATCTCTGTGTGTGATTTCCTTTTTAGTTTTTGCCAGCGCTTTCATTCCCAATGATGCCATGCAACCACGCATGGCAAGGGCGGACCAGCAGTGCTGTTGTTGTATATATAAGGAGGAGGAAAGTCCTGGAGACGATTCTTTTTTCAACATGCCCTCCCTGATCCCAGAGTCATTGCTTGAGACCATTTCTTCCTTCAGTGTTGCTAGTTGTACAGGTATCAACAGGTTAACAACAATTATCAGCATAGACTCGGCGCGTATTTTTGACTACCGACAATACGTTATTCATGGGTTAGAATGATACCCTAAGCCCGACCAAAAGAGCGTGTTGCTTCGTGGGATGTTGCTTCACCTATTTTGCTATAACCCTAATAACCAGAGCCCATCCACGTGACCTTCAACTGAAGGGGCAAGTGCAGAATGGATCAACGATCGAGTCGTCGACCCCCTGATATTAATATTGGGGATAAATTATGGGGCCGAAGTCCTGCGCGCTGTTTGTGTGCTCTTTTAAAAGGCCCAGCCTGAAAACTATCCTTCGTAACGGATCTTCACCACATACCTTCGCAGCAACCCGCGGAGTTCACCAGAAGATAGTCCCTCAATCAGCCATGCCGCAACACCTGTCTTCAAGCAGTAAGTTCTGCTGTAAAGTCTATGGTGATTTCCCCCGTTTTCCCTTCTTTGTTTTTTAACACGATATAGCAGCATTTGCCTACACAGCCGGTCGATGGCTTCACCTGGACAAACTACAACGCGACGCGCGGTACATTGAATTTAATTTGGATCGCCTATGTGAAAGAGTGCTCTCTCTCTGCCCGTCCGCGACTTCAATCAAAAGCTGTCAGAAGCTGGAGGGAGGGTTCAGTAGGGCATTCATCATCACGACCAACGATGGAAGGCAGGTTGTTGCCAAATTTCCCACGTCTGTTGCTGGTCCAGCCAGATATGTGACGAACTCTGAGGTGGCAACAATTACTTACTGTGAGAAAGAGAATTTCATAACTCCAGTAGTTAGTTGGGTGATGCGTGCTAACCTCTGTCTTCAGTGCGACGACATACTAAAGTCCCAATTCCAGCCATTCTGGATTGGTGTGATGATCCAACGAACCCAATCGGGTCGGCGTACATTATCATGGAACACGCTGGTGGTGTTCAACTGCAGGAAGTATGGGTGGATCTACCTGTGCATGTGAAAGTGAAAATTGTGGGAGCAATTTGCTTCAGTATTCTGCCAATATCTGAACTTGACTTTCCAGCATATGGCAGTTTGTATTTTGCTGACACAGCATTCCTTGATGCTGATTCTATGCAGAGAATTGATACTGATGATCAATTTTGTATTGGACCTCATTGTAGAAGCACTTACTGGGATTGCAATGTTGGAGAACAAAGATACTATGCATTCAAGAAACCGAATAGGGGACCCTGTGAGATGATATCTGTTTCCCAGAAATGGCTTTTCGCTCACTAACTTGGCTTTCCATCAGGGCCCGACCTCTCCTCATATGCCTCTGCGTTGATCGATGTTGGCTTTTCAAGGCTGCCACCAGCTGATCATCCCACCCTCCAGCTGCCGCAAGCATCCTATCAGGGTTCCCTGAACAAACATTTGGAGCTGCTGGATGTTGCTCAGGCCTTGTTTCCCAAGCTGATACAGCACCCCGAAATCCAGTCCAATGCGACACCTACCCTCTTCCATCCAGACTTACATATGAGAAATATTTTTGTGTCCAAAGATGACCCAACCACTGTGACTGGGTTCATTGATTGGCAGTGCACCAGTGTTGAGCCGTCATTCTATTACGCGGACGACGTGCCTGATTTTGCCATGGTTCCCACAGAGGAAACACCGGAGAATGCGACAGAAAGTTTGTGCAGCCAAGCATATGAGGGGGGGTGGGCGCTTCTGGCTCCAAGGCTAGGCGCGACCAGGAAGATCGATGAATCGCTCCTCCGCCCGTTCCGCTACTGCCATCGCACATGGAGAGATGGCTTCGTTCCATTCACCTATGAACTGATGCGGTTAAGAGACAGGTGGAAAGAGATCGGGTTCACCGACGACGACGACTGTCCCATCCCTCCGTTGAGTGAGGAAGATATGCGCCTCTACGAGAAACAGCTGGATGTCTATGAAAAGATACTGCAGCTCAAGCGGGATGTGATTACGACGCTGGGTGTGGAGGAAGATGGCTGGGTGTCTGCGGATCGTTGGGAGGGAGTAAGGCAAGCCCATCGAGATATCTATGAAACCGTCATGGCGAGCATGGAGGATGATCAGGACAGGGAGGAATTGAAAACGTTCTGGCCGTTCGACGACTATCATGTAGGGCAATAGGGCCGAGGTCTCTTGTGTCTACACTAAACTATATGGCTGGAAAAATGTTGGGAAAAAATTTCACTTCATGTCCCGAGCTCTGATATGCTTGGAAATGCAGGCAGGCTGAATTTGTGATATGTGTGGGTTGCTTAACTGAAGCCATGGCGTATCTCACGATTCCCTCTCTCGGCTTACCGGGCACAACGGTGGTCCTTGTTTGTTCCTGTTCATGGGGTTTACAGAATTGGTGCATCGTACTAGTATCCAATCTCTTGCATCGCCAATTCGGAGACTCGCATATATTCGCGCGTGCACAAGTCTGATAGCTAAGGGACACGATAGAGTCCCCGCAGGGCCAGCAGGCGCTGTACGGAAGCATCGCAAGACCCAGCCCGGAGAATTATTCATATGGGAAGGTTTTTTTGCTGGGGTGGAGAAGCAAGATGACAAAAAATATCCACCTCCTCATCTATTGTGTGTTAGTGTTCAATAGCTAGAGCTCAGGGATTGCGAAAGGAGGGTATTGCTATTAGGCGCAGCTTAAGCCAGATGGGCAAAGGAAGAACTCTGAATGTGGGGGATGATGAAGATGAGGAGAGACCAGGAACTTCCTCCATCTTAAAAAGGGGATGTAGGATCTTCATTTTGGGCTGCAGCGCAGGCAGGTATTTTGGGATGTAAGGTGGTAGTAGACCAAATGAACCCTTACCAATCCCTCAAATAAGTCCCCACCTTTTTCCAGAATTTTCTATCCCCATTTTAGCCATTTATTTCAAACATCCTCTTCACGAGGTTGCTGCCACTTATGTATGTTGGCGGTGCTGGGAATCAAACGAGGAGAAATTGTTGGCGCCCCTAGGCTTCCTATTGCGGACTAGCGTCCTGCAGGTCCTACGTGCCCCCCCAACATGGATCCATTACCATGTTCAACCTCTCTTCCATGCTAATGCAACGACGTCCCACAGAAATGGCCCGTGGGACAACAACCACAGCAGGTTCAAGATGCGCGTCCCCATTCTCGGGATGGAAATAACCAGTAGTTACTTGCTTCCATGGGCCGTTTCGTTGGTGAATGGGATTCCCCCCCTTTTCCTTGCCACGTGCTATCCACTTCCGATTTGTGAAGGGTTGACGAACCACCAAGGGCTCCCCCTTTCCCATGGGCTCCGGGCAAATGAATGGGTCATGCCGCTATGGTGTGCGTTTCTGTCAGTCACGCATATGGAGTTGGGCTGTTCTTGTGAACTGGGTGACAAGCAAAAAATAAGCGGCAACTGCATGTATTTACTTTGTGGAAAGGGGCATATCGGCTTCAATGTCAAATTCCGGAGGGGTGGATGGTTATCGACTGCATCGACGCCCCCGGTTAATGCTTCCTGAGCCTCTCGGGCTCATTTTACGCTGTGGGTGAATGGGATCCTTGCTCAGAGAAGGAGGGAATTCGGTCGGCCCAGCCGTCAGCCGGGCATTCCCTCGAAGCTTGAAAGTCACGGCGACGGTCACGGCCTTGGGTAGTAATGAATGGACCTGTCCATATACCTAGGTATATATATGAAGATGATTTATTCTCCCCACCCCTTTTCCTCCTTTTACTTTATTTTTTTCCTCCATCGTGTTTTGCCTCTCCATATCGGCTTCTAGGGGGTAGGTTGCCCTCGAGCACTACAGGCTATCCGTACCTTATGTATCTATTACCTATATCGAGTTTATGCTGACGTGGGAGAGATATTTATTCCACGCTGTCCGTGGATACTATTCTATCGATTTTTCCCCCGTCCCATATTCTATCTCCTATTCTATCATTCTACTATTAACGACGGGCCGTACGATATTTTACTATATTTTACTACATTTTATTATATTTTACTATATTTTATCATGTTCTACAGGGCACCTCATATTTCCTTACCAACCGGGATCCCCTACCTGGCGTCTACGCCATCAGCTGAGACTAGAAGTTCCAGGGCACGCCAAAAATTCACAGACTGTGGCTTTATCTATGGGAGTGGAAATCCCTATTACCGTGTTGTGTGATATGCGTGATATGGGTCGCAAGCCCTTGATTGTGATTGCAGATATTCGAAATGCGTTAGTGGAGAAGGGGCCCCTGGATGAGAAATGATCCAGAAGAAAGCTGTACCCGAAATGCCTGAAAATGCTATAGGATGGCTGCGACCGAATGGCATTGTGCGACAGGGATATTGTCACCGATTTTTGGGCCAATGACTGGCGGGAGGCGGCTCATAAGAGTTCGGCAGACCAAACACATCCCAAGGTACTTGGATATATGGAGATCGACCTGTATATCTGTGGGTGGCGCCGTGGAAACCTGACGGCTCCTTCTACTTCATACCTTTTAATGTGGCCCTACATATCTTGTTTGAAGAAAGTCATCAAACATGAACTGGAATATTCCGTTTTGTTGGTGTTTGGATATTTCGTCGTTTAACCAGCGGGGGCCGGCGCTGGGAATGTCTCCGTCGATTTTATTACGTTCGAACAAGTGAGATCGAAGGTTTGACAATCAAGATTAACACTGGAATAGGTTCCTGCGCGTTTTAAAGAACAAGCTATGGCGTTAGAGGCATTATTCCAGGAGGGTCCAGGGAAGTACGCTGAATTGCTGGCGATGCGGAAGCAATTCGTAAAGGAACTCAGCGCATATTACTGCGATCCAGTAAGTTCGTCGCTTAAGCTCAACAAAGCCGGCCGGAGTGCGTTGGGAAGAGACGGCAAGAGACTTTCATTCCTTATAGGCTAGATGTTGCTGAGAGAGGGTGGAATTTAGGGGTTGGAATGGTATAGATTATAACCATCACAACTGCTGTGATGGGGAATCTAGGCATTCAAGGATTGGAAACCCAGTGATCTCCTCCTTCCCCTCTCTCCCAAGAGGCAGAAAAGGTCTTCAGGTTCCAGCTCAGATTCGGACGAAACAACGAATGGCATAAGGGTGGAAGATTTTCGGGTCGGAGGCCCGTACCCGCGAGTATTGCTGACCCTGCGCTTCTTCAATGCAATGCTCTACTCCAGCATGCCGACCAACCTCAATCTCTACCAGTTTGATGTGTGTCGTTGATGTGTGAAGCGTCTGGCGGACTGACCATCATACAGTGACCTTCTCGTTTCAACACCACGTTCTCGTTCTCATTATACTAATAATAATTTTTTTAAGCAATCGAGGCAACGAGAACGGGGTCCTGCTCACCTTAGCTTGCAATGAATTTGGATTCCAATCAAATGGCCTCTTGGCTTTTACAACAAACATCCTTGTTGATGCCCATGACGACTTTCTGAGAAGTATATTCGTCCCTTTCTTTCATTTCTTTTATATCCATTTGCTAATGTTTTCCTATGTCAGCGATAACCAACTGGCATTACCTTCCTGTTCTGATATCAACCACATTCCAGGATTGGATTGTCAATGCAACGGAAGTTGTACCTAAAATCTCCAGATTGGAGATTTTTGCCTCATCGAACTGAATGACCGAATCCTATTGATAGCTTTCTTTGTCTCGTTCCATCACCAGAACTTTCGATTTGGTGATGAAATTATATACATCCTGCCGTGTTAGGAGAGTTCCTTCAAATTTTTCTGTCGCACATGCTAACGACCGATTCTTCCCATGTGATGTCTCCTGGCATAATGCTGTCACAGGCTCTCGATGCTAACAGTATGGCGATTGATAATGTATCGCAATATACTCCAGAATTTCAGGACCAGGGTCAACTAACTGCAAATGGCCACTTCATGTGCGGAAACGAAATGCCTTCCATCTCACATGATGCTGTACTGCATCTGAAAATACCATAAATCCTAGAATGTCGCACATTTATTGACAGCTGCTTGGGTTTATGCCATAATACATGGGTTGTCAAAGAGTTTCAATGTGGAAGAGAAATGTCAAGTGTGGCGGGCGCGTATCCTTTCGGACTGTCAACGTGGGATGGATGGAATCCGAATCGCTGGTTCGTTACATATATCAATGTTATCCAAACCAAAACTGCGAATCCCGATCTGGTTTTTGCCGTATGGTACGTATATTTCAACATCTCTTTGCCTGCTTTTTTTGTTCTTACTCAGAATTACGTCTACTCACGATGGCTTACTGGGGTAGGCTGATGATATCTTCGGCGAGCTCCTCGGTGTGATGTTCAATATTACTATGAATAGAAATCGTACACCAAATCGCCTCAAGGATCGATATGGTTGCAGTATGCGCACAATAATTTGCGGTATCCGCGGGGAGATCAGCACCTTGCCGAATAAAATGCAGATCGGCGAAATATCATGCCCACCAAAATTGAATCTTCCACCTCTGGGAACGCAGGGCTTCATTTCCGTCAATTAGGTCATCCAAAAGGTTACAATATTTGCCAAAGGCAAAATAATTTCGACAATTAACTCCTCGGCAGGCTATCTGATAGTCAATGTCGGGAACCAAATCACTGTCTTTACTTTATTCCGATTCGTCTCTCCTAGGAGGCAACGAAATGAAGAAGAAGCAAATCCTCCCTCCTGTGTCGCTATTGCCGTTTCGGCTCTATTTCTCCCCTTTCACCTTTCGGGCCAGAAAACAATTTACAGGGTCGTTATATTGACGTCTTTAAACCCATCTCCAGGACTTTCTAGGCAGAGTTTCCGACACAGAAATGTTAAATCATGAAATGAGAAAGTGATCCACAGAAACCCGGAGCAGAGGCCTGTTGTTCTGGCGGACCAAATAGAGGGTGAGAGTCCATCTATTTCGCCTAGGTCCATAAAAAAGCTCTGGAACCTAATCTAACCCTAACTCAACCCTAACCTAACTTAGGATACCCAATTGACTGGCCCATCGACCGTTCCTGCTTAAATCTAGCAGTAACCAGGCTACACAAGCTGACCGAGACCCTCACCTCCGCCACTGAGTACACCGCTAGCGTAAATGATTACGTTGCAGGGTTGCCAGTTACGAAGGTAGAGAGACCATTAGGTCCTAAGGCAAGAAGGAACTTCCGTGCACCTACCACTGATTCGTCGAATCGTAGGCTTACCTGTGTCTTTACCACTGTGTTCTTGCATGGCTGGAACGGCCATAGAGTGCAAAATGGTGTTGGCATCAAAAGCGAGGCCGTGGAGCGGTTGTTATTATCTTCTCCCACCAACAATTCCATCAGGAAATATTGCTATTGAGCTATTACTGATTCGCGTAACAGGAGCCGGAGGCCATGGGCAGGTTGGTCCTGAGAATCTGTTCAGCTCGCGTTTTGTACTGTACATCACATCAGGCAACCAGCTGTCGACAATATTTTCCATCGTCCACACTCTAACTACTTGAAGGCTTTGACGCTTGTTTATTTCACATGGGCGATTAATCACCAATTAATTATCCGGATGCCATGCTAGCCCTTCTGATAAATGAACTCCTGTTAAACGGCACCCAACCTCGCGAGAAATGGCACATCGTTATTATCTATATTCGGTGGGGGAGAGGACTATTCACCCCCTCGCGGAGCAGCGGTTGTGTTTAGTCTGTGATACAGTAGGAGAGAGTCCTCCTGCCTATATGTATGTACGGTGCTAATCCTCTCATACGTGTCCGATAATAACAGCTGATCAAGAATCCCTCTTCTTCCTCATTGTGATCCGTGTCCACTCTATCAGCACTGATGTTTTCACCTTCTGTTATCTTGCTGATGCAGAGGACGTAGTCATGGAGTCAAACTAGGAAAACGAAGAACAGTCGAGAGATAAACGATATAATCACGGATTAGAGCCTGGAAGCTGTGTTCGCTGCTTGAAATCGATTGGGGATGTGCCACTCTGCGTACGCGAAGTTGCGTTCAAAAATTGCAGACGATGCCACAATAACAGATCGCACTGCGATCCCGTAAGTTTATCGAAATGATATCGAAGATTTGGTAACAGAATTAACAGTGGAATAGGTGCCTACTCGGTTTAAAGAACAAGCCATGGCATTGGGGGCCTTGTTTCTAGAAGGTCCAGGAAAATATGCAGAATTGCCGGCAATACACAGCGTGGTCCCGACACCAATGCTCATTCAGATATCATTCAGAATAATTATTTGCCTGAACTCCCTGAGATGCTCATCGCTGCCTCGGTTCACTAGAGCTATCTTAGTTCTCAGAAAAGACTAAAATGCTCTGTTCAGTGATTCTTGCCTGATCCATTTGTTTCTGAGCCCGGACATATGAATGCTTTCTTTCACCAGCCTGGCCAAGTCTTATTTCAGAGACACCACATGCTTCGAGGGTCATGTAGCAAGAACTTCGCGTTCCTGCCACGCTACACTGCTCTCTGTCGTTTCTTTGGCACAAATATTACAAGAAAGCATCTCATAGCGCCCGGTTTCGCGATGTCCGCTGGAGTAGTTGTTAAACAGAAACGCCTATGGATCGTCTTCACACCTTTCAACCCGCTTAGCATTATCTGAGCTGCTCTCATCAGCATCACTGGTGTTCGGCTCGGCTCGCACCGAAAGGGGCGTCGAGGGGTTGGTCTTGTTTACCGGCGTTGGGAAAATACCCAGATTCGTTTTAAGATGGCTGCAATATCGTCTAACTCCCATAAAATCTACTATCTAACTTAACCATGGTGGCAACTTCAGTTAACGGAAATAACACCGGCGGACTCTCCATGGGGTACTCTGGAACTACCAACGATTATGATTAAACCGGGAAACCATGAATGCTGCTTTGACCCAGGCGATACAAGGTCCGATCAATAAATGCATAGCCCATCGGCATGACTTAGTCTGCCTGACATCACTAGCTTCTACCTCATTTCTGGATGAACTGGGGCGAAATACAACAATTGCCTGTCCCGCGGCCATGTTCCGCCTTAGTCTTTGTGTGGGACAAATGACAGGAGGTGTTAGTCACCCCAAAAGCATCGGGCTGATAAACGCATGAAATGGATGAATATCTTAAGCTGCGTTAATTCGTTGGTGCATCGATAAATACACCATCATATAGCCATTCCACAAAAAGATATATATATAAGATTTACCATGTTCAACTATCAGTCTGACACTTGGGTCTAGCAACTGATGGGGCATGGCTGTTAGCCGGGTTCACCGCGATGGACACTATTTTTTCGGCAAGTTCTGGGCGGCTTTGTTTCCTTGACGAACCTGGAGCTCGGTTTTCTTTCCAGCCAGAATAGCCCCAAAGCAAATGGCTACTGTCTATCGTCTCTAGAAATTTATCTTTGCTAATATTTCCCCATCAGACCCAATTTTCGTGGCATTCTAAGGGATAAGATTCATGGCCTTATTAACTTTTTGTGGGGAAAAGTTGTTTTATAATATCAGAAAAGCAAAGCTGGCCGAGGCCCCTAAACAACATACGATTGAACTACTCGAAACCGCCACTGGTCTTATGGCAATGCCTGGCTCGAGGAACAGCCTGCACAGCGATATACAGCAAATGTTTTGAACACTTTTCTATCAGACATGACCGCCTAGCATGGTGAAATAGGGGTAATTTTACCTCGCCTTATCCCGCGAAAAATCGTATTTTAAAACGGCATTGTGGGTGAAAGGTTCTGCATGTTCCTGCAAGTTCCAAGCTGGCAAAAGTTCTTGAACATAACTAGGCCCATTAAGACATCGGTCGCATTCAGAGCTCAAATAAACAAGCACCAATGCCGATTCGGCTACCTCGCCCGTGACCATAATACCAACATCTGAAAAAGGGGGCATAGTCCAAACCGAAAGCTTAGACCTTCCGATTCACTTTCAAAATGCGGAAGTGCTACTGTTAGCCTCCAACAGATCCAGCAAGATTTACTGTCTGCGAGAAGCGTCGATCTCAGACCCTGGAAAAGTGAAGAGCCTCATAGCGAAGGCCTTGAGAGCAACATATCATTGATTACACCACTATTCCATTTGAGTGAGCGTCTGGATGATTTCTGCCATCACATCGGGGATAATGGGTCGTCTACGATGCGCATCTAGTCGGACGGGATGGCTCAATTGTCGGAATATCCGAGAAGCGAATGTCCGTCCCCAAGCGCGGCGTAAAAAGCGTTAGCCAAAACGTCAGATATCACAACACCACGTGCAATCTCGAGCCCTACAGCATATCGGACAAAGTCACCTCAGCTTCTGATGACCTTATCATCGTTTTTACCACCGGGCTCCTGCACAGCGATCACAGAGATACGTCTGCTAAGAGATTGTAAATAATTTCTACTTGCGTTTAGTTGATGTGGATGTTAAATATGCTTTCTTGGTAACTGTTATTGAAAGCTTCGGAAATTTCTCTAGACGGCGTCGATAGCAAGTGATAATCAAGAAGGAACATAAGACGACAGACGGCCATCATCTCAGCCCACAACCAATTGGCTACGGCATTATGTTGCGGTGCTATAACGATGTCTTCTCGCACGCTCCATGCGGCCTTTCCGGTCCTGGGTAGTGCCTATTTATGTTCCCTAAGCTTCCAGAAGAGCTTGTAATGATGGCAGATGGACAATTCCTCCCAGAGAGTATGTCCAAGGCTCTTGCAAGTGGCGTATATCGCCAAACTAAATCAGTTCCTCTCCATCAAACATCTCTTACTACACTGGAACCCACACCAGGAAATCTCCGACACAAACGCTTGAGTGGGCGGATGACGGTTCTAAACATACCCTCTTGAAGGTGTGACAAACCATTGTCATACCAACCGGTCCCAGTGCGATCCAATACGTACAGGCATCGATTTGATTGCAAAGCAGTGGCTAAAGCAGCTAAGAAGATAGGTCCCGGAACGTTTTAAAGACAAGGCGGCTGCGCTAGAGGCGCTATATAACGAAGGCCCTGGTAATATATGGAATTGGAGGCTATGCCTAAGCAATTCGTTAAGGAAATCAATGCATACTATCTTTTCGAATGGAATAAGACGACAGAGATATCCCAACCCTGTCCGGTGGCGTCGTGCCCGAGTCATAGCAGGGAAACGTCCAGCTAAAGGTCGCTGCCTCGGTCCTACGCCTGTTGTGGTTGTGCCTTTTCCTGCCGTTACTGCTGCTGCTCTGTCTGCAGATCTTGTTCAATCCTCGAGCGATCTGAAGCCGCCCAGCAGGAAACAATGAGAAATACACTGTCTACACAACAGTGGTAATGCTTTTTAATAACACTAGATACTGATATGAGAGTAGAGACTATTTATGAGATCTGCTACTATCAGAAATCCAGGAATCTCATTTTCTTCAAGATCATGTTTATGCATCATCTTGTTCAGAAGATTGATGAGAGAAAGCATCACTTCCAGCGTTCTGTTCTTGATACTCTTCAAGTCACAGTGAAAACAACTTTGCTAAACCCAGTCGTGATAATTAGACAGCCCTATATTACAAACATCGGCGTGCCAGGTGAACCGGTGCCATTCGACGCAGCAAGTCGAGGTGGTTTCCAAGTTCACTCCGACTTTTACCTCACAGGAATTTTTATCGATGTTAATTTTCTGCGATGATGTCAGCTCAGGTTGTGTTCTCCGGAATTCAGGGATATGCTCTAGTTGGTCGAACTCTTTACTTAAAATATACAAATTTAAGATACTCAACAGAGGGGATCTACTTTTGACAGAGAGAGTTGCAGAGACAATGATCGGTCCCCTTTTGTTGAATGCATAAACAAATTGCACGACGGGGCCAACTTATGGGCTGGAGGCCGAAGGCCGTACACAGCAAACATGGCTACTCACCATCCACAAAGTCAGGGTGGTTTCAAGGTTTCCACGGCGCGATGTGCCACCGCAGCTCGGTGCTGTGCGCGACCTTGTATGCGCCGCAAAAGTGACCACAATTAGCGCTGTCATCGCTTTTTGGCCAAGTCGAAAGAAGAGTCGGGGCAAGATCGATATCACCATGGCCTGGAGCCTAGTTTTGCGGTATTCAAGGCCCAATCATCCATAGGAACACGAGTTATATATTTAAACCACACTTTTCCAGCCCTAGATCGATGCAACATTTATCTCATCTTTCACAGGGCGTCTTTTGGCTCTTGGTCTATATCCAGTTGCATCCTCTGCAGGTGGGGCATTAAGCTTCTTGATTACCGAAGATGGAGAAGCTTTACTGGCGGCTTCGTCCTGGCTTAGTCGATATTCATTTGTCCGTGGCCAGTAGTATATTGAGGGCGACCTCCACATACAATCATTACTTCGCGTTGTGAACTTGGAAGAAGCTGCAAATGATTTTTAATAACATTGGTTTCTACAGCTGGTTGCAGATCTACACAGGAGGCATAATTCACTCGGCGCTATTTTCAGCCCTTTATTTACAAGTATTAGAAGTCAAACATCTACAATCATGTGGCTGGACCAGAGGCTGTCAGACATAGCCATATCCGTGGAGGTTCCAGGGATATATTCCACAGTGTGCGCTGCCTCAAGTCTATAGGAGACGTTCCTCTCTGCGTGCGCGAGGTGGCATTTAAGAATTGTAAGAGATGTCACACCAATAGGTCTCATTGCGATCCAGTAAGTTTATCGAAGGGATATCGAAGGTTTGACAATAAGATTAACATTGGAATAGGTTCCTGCACGTTTCAAAGAGCAAGCAATGGCGTTAGAGGCGTTATTCCAGGAGGGCCCGGGAAAATACTCTGAATTGCTAGCGATGCGGAAGCAGTTCGTAAAGGAACTCAACATAACAATTTGGATATATTAGTACGGCGTCTTTTCCAGAAAGCCTAAAACAGTGATGCTGGGCCTTGCTGACGACAGTTCCAGGATATTTTGATTCCTGGTGATATTGTTTCAAACACGATGGCGATTAACAGCCCACAGAGTCCTTGCATCTCTGTGGCTCACTTTTGGATATCAGGGACCCAAATATTCGTCTGAGAATCTTATGCCTTGCAAACCGCAAATATCTGTGGCTGAAAAGCACCAACGCCGCACGCACATGCATACATTCCTGGTCTAAGTTTTTCTTCAAATCCGTTCTTAAAGTGATATACATGCTCTCTTTGGATTAGATGACAAAGGACAGCAAATGAATGCCCTTCAAAGCATCTCGCCAATCCTATGTCGAGATTTTCTTTTGTAACTTTTATTCTACTTTTGCGAGGATTATTTTTTCTTTTTCTGCCCCGTCACTGTCGAAGATGACTTTGAAAAACCCATCAATATCAATATATTTTCAAGTATTACTATCGTCTGCTATTGCTCCTGGAAACTGAGTGAGTACCCACGAGCGTTTTTGCCGCAAGATAAAACCATGGCATATCACCGCACACTTATTTGGAATGCGAAGGACGGTATGCATTAAGTTGGGAAAGATTATCGTGTTGTGGGGGACGCTCCGCTGCCAGCGCTTTCAGTTTACAAAAGGACTCTTTAAAACCAGGTGAGAGGCCCCCAGGACAAAGACCAAGGAAAATTAAGAAAAATACGAGTGGACAAACACATCGAATATGTATACACTAAACTTATTAGAAAAATAGCAAGTACAGCGGAAGGCCGGCAGACAAAAGTTGGAATCGAAGTGGAATCATATAGCGGAAGCATTTGACTGCGCTCATGCCGAGTCGTTAACCTCGATCATAAGGGAGAGAAGGGTTTCATCATTGATAGAGCGTCAAAGCTATTGCCGCTTCGCATTGAACCATTTTTTCCGCGTTGAAACGAGAGCTCAGTGGCCATCCTCCAGCTTCCGTTCATTTTGCCAGCTGGACGAGAACAAGTCATGTACAATACATTCCCCCTACCTGCGTCTTGCGGAGAACCCCTTCTGCTTCATTTTCGTCCTCTCGATAGATATTCAAGCAGAATTAATTACACTTCGAATGGCTTTGTGACGCAGTCCCAAAGACATCTCATAGAAGGTAGCAGAGCTCCTAGGTCAAAGTCAAGCTCATGCTCGCTCGCACTAAGTATTCGAAGAAGCACAAGAAGACACCTGCATCCCCACCCAGACAACGAATGGGCTTCTGCTCTTCCACTGGCTAGAGTGCCGTTGCTACCAGTTACTCAATTTACAGTCGTTACGAGCTTTGGGGGGTTTTAAAAAGCCTGTTTCAGAAGAACGATGTCGAGTTATTCTGATATCTTGCCATATTCTAGCCATATATTTGCGCTTGAGAGAAGGCTGACACTCCCTGTAAATTATGTTGGTCTATCTTAAACCTCCTTTAGCATACTACTAGCTATCTGCCTGATTTCAACTCACGTCGAGAGTGAACAAATGGGCCATATCCTGCTTTATCTCAGGTAATAATTCATTGTGCCATTCGAGCGCTCGTCCCTTCAAGCATAAGAGAAGAACATGCAGGATCACACTTTCTCCCTCTCTTGGGTGGCCATAACTCGGGGTGACTTGTGGATGCCACGACATCTACCTCTTCACGTCCTCTGGTCGAAGGCTAAGATTTCCGGTGGCTTAAGCGGCGATTGCCGCAAGGTTCTAGTCTTGGGATGACGACGTTGCAATTTTGCAGCCTTGGGAAGTTGGGGTTGATCGCCCGCGACGCGATCACCCACAATCATTTATCCTCCAGCAAAGCAAGTGTAGATGAGCAAAGACACCCCAGCACTCCAACGGCACGCTAGCTAGGTAGGACAAAATGATATTACTGAATATTTCAAGGACGCCAACTGTCTTAATACAGTTATATCCAAATATCTCAACAATATGGAAATTTATTGTTGGCAACAACACCGTAACAGAAGTGAACGTTTACTACCTATTTGAACGAAAGAAGGCAGACGGGGACCTCCCCAACGCTGCTCGGTGACCTATGTTCTGTTTGTTAAAGACTCATGTATCTCATTTCATTATCATAGAATAATGGAAAATACACACTGCTTCTTCTTTTGTGAACGCTCCCTTCTCTTGTCTCTGTCTTTAAAGCAGCTCCCACCCACATTTCTGTTTCTGAGAACTGGTGACCAATAATGGCATGATTAGCCAGCTCCGCGTGGAATAGCCATCTTCAACACCAGCTTAGTGAGATTCAGGTCTTCTAGAGTATTGATGGTAGGGATAAAAAACATATTTTCACTGGTTCTTCACTACAAATTAGCTCCAGTTGCCTGGATCCCATATTACTATGTAGCTTGCACTTACAGTGGGTAATTTCGATATGGAAATGAGAAATTTTGGAAGAGAAACTATCAGACTCGTGAGGGTATCTTAAAGAAGTTTAAGTATTCGATTTGCTGTATAAGGTTCTAATTTTTTGTTTCAGGTTGTGGATTAATTAGTAAAATAGCAGTGTGAGTCAAATCCAAAGTGGTCATAACAATCATACCAGATGGGACGCCGTAGTGTTAAACTTGTGATTGGGGATACCACCCCGCTATGGTTGTGGGCGATTTTCTCGTGGACGAGATACCATATGTAAAGCTCTTCGAGGCCTTCGAAGGACATGATAAAACGCTCTGATAACACGGTTATGCAGCGCACTTACATCGCCAACGTCGCTCAAGTCATTGATAGAGTCCAAGAAACTTAGGTTTGATAGTACGGTTTAACTAGGTTAGTTGCCCTTTCAAGAAACCACGGACGTCAGCAATGGAGCAACTTGAGAGAATCGAGCTGCTCAGTAAATGGTGCTTGAGCCATCCATCTCCTGGTAGGTAGATTGGAAATAAGCATTGTTTAGTGATAACGAGCGTAGTTTTTGAAAGTATATAGTGGAAAATTGTAAATCTCCAGAGCTCCTTGACGGAGATTTTGAAGTCGCGTATAAGGGGTCAGATGTCTGCGCAGTGGTTTTGAAGCCTGAAACAGATTTCTCAGTGTTGGGAGATGGTTTATCTGCAAAACTTTGATCAGAATACACTCTTCCTTGCCTAGTATAATGTACGAACCTCGCCGATGGCCCGATTAAAAATCCTTAGCGGCAGCTGAAACACGGTCACCAGTTAGCCATGAGGGACTGATCTGGGTGGGGAGGCTGGTTGGAATTTGTGGGTATAAGGCCCTTTTAACTGCTTAACACCTTGGAGATCGTACAAGGTCTGAACAGAAAAGGTGGGACCCGTTCTTCCGATTTCCAGGTGATGTACAATACCCTCTGCATGTACGTGCTCTCGCCTGAATATTTTCGGAACCTCCTTTGTTTTCAGTTAAGAACCGCTAGAGGGTGAAAATGCTCATTGATATTTAAAATATTGGAACCATGGCGGCGGAGTAATTAATATGGAATCGCAATTGTACAGCATGCTCTAATTAACCCAGAAAAATGGCATCAGGAAAGTAGAAGAGAAGGCAGTCACAAGAAAGAAGATATGGCAATACGCTCCTAACAACGCCTGGCATCAAAACGGTTGTAACAAAAATAACGGTCAGGGAGCACTCTGAACACGGTGAAACAGAGCACAAATGATTTCAAAGTATATATATATACACATATATGGTATGCGTATGGTTGTATGCACAATGCGGGATGCAACACATGGAGGGAAGAGTACGAACATATCCAACATCAGTTGGTAGACTGGAACAGGTAGAAGACTCATTTTAAAATCTGTATATTTGGGCAAAGTCACACGCGTTAGCCATTCAACACCCCACAGCAAAAGACAAGAAGGTAAAAGCCCGACCATCCGGGAAATAGGACTCGATCAAAACCATATGTGGGGGCCTTAAATCAACTTACCGGATCTCATAACTCCCTGCCCTGGTCATGTACCTAACCCATTTAACACTACTGTAATTATTTTTTTCGAAGACTTTGAGATACCTCACCAGCAGCCCGCTGCTCGTGAACATAAGCAGACTAAACTCAAGACTCAGCGGCGGCCGACTCCATGCCTTCTGCTGCGTCATGCTTGTCAGCATCGCCTCCGCGGTGAGCACGTACTCACTCTGGCCTGAAAATCGCGCGATCTTCCAGACGATATTATTTTGCTCCGGCTCATACTTCGCGCGTCCCTGACTGGTCCGTTCCGTGATCTTGGCCGTGTTCAGAGGAGTGGGAATGCGAACGATGACGTTAGTCGCGAATAGCTTCGAGCCATAGTTGGCCTTTATGGCAATGCTGTATTCGACCTTTGTAGTGCCGATCTCACGCACGATCGGATGGATTTTGAATGGCAGATTGACGTTTTCCGTTGCCCGGTAGCGCATAAGTTCAAATTCTCCGTCTGGGGGAACGAAGGAAATAATGCGATCAGCGTCGAAACGCCCAAGCTTCACGCACTGGTGGAACTGGCAGTCCTCCAGAGTAACACTACCTGCTGCTGCCCGTGTGGCTCTCGTTCTTCCATCCGATCGTCCGGCGGCGTCATTGTTATCCAAGAGCAGCCTGTCATTCAAGCCAAATTTACACTCAGGCATACCCGAGAGATACGCTCGCATAACTATCTGGCCATTCACGTCGGCACGTAGGACTGTTCCGGTAGCCGACATGAGCAAGTTGACATCCTCAATAACATCGACAAATGCCTCGTTCTTCCTGTATTTGATATCTGATCGCCGCCACGAGAGGGCACCCGTAGCCTGCATTGTAATTTTACTAGAATCTGAGGGCGAGTTTGCAATGGATGATTTGACACCTTCCGTCGTGATGTACATTTTAAGAGTATCCGTTTCGGTGTTCTGAGGGTATCCAAAGTCAAGTATTTCTGTTGGTTGTTAATATCAAAATACAAACAACAAATCAGCGAAAGCTCCAGCAAAAGTAATTGAGCAGCAAACGACCCTATGCATATATTACTGACTCACCGTCTAACAGCTCATAAACAAGCACAAAATTATTCTTCACGGCCTCCTCATCAAACTTCCCAAAATATCCCCTCCCCAACAACACTAGCCGATACAGAAACTCAAACACCAGCGCCGCATTCGCATTGCTCCTCGTCACCGCAACCAGGTATATATTCTCATGTTTAACATGGCTGAATGTCGTCGATCCCAGTGTTAGAATGGGTGAGCGAACCTGCGCGTTGGAAATGACCTGGATGCGGAATACGTCTGCCAGACGGGGCCGGCAGTCATTGCGAAAGGCGCGATAAATGAGGTTTTCGCCCTTCTGGTTGAAGATGAGCACGCCGGACAGCATGTTTGTAGATATGGAGGCGCCTGCGGACTTCTCACGAAAGGGGCATAGTTGGGTGGACGGTTGATTGGCGAGTTTGCGGGTTGATGGTGGTTCATGGTCGACTGATTGATGCGAAGGCAATATTACGATATCGTAAAGTTTCGGTAACTAACGGCTGATGTCTGTATCTACGCTGTATGAAATTGCAGAACCAAATATTACACTCATCGATGTATTTTCATTCAGTCAATATGAATTGAATAGATAAAAAACTCTCCCTTAGTAAATCTAAGAAAATAGTAAATGATGAAAAGAATTAGCTGTTTGCCACTTAAAGCCGTGCGACCAACATACGCATCGCTCAAATCTACTTCTATCCCTGATACAATAACCAACTGTGTTACATTTCTTAAGAATCTACCCTGCTATCGTATTACGCTTCATGAACGCCTGTCATTTGGATGAGAGCGGCCAGGCATTGTGAATATCATCAATAGCAAGAGCGAATCAGACTCAAAATGAGGTCTCGTATGGGGCCATTGCGGCCACTGTATTTGTGTATGCCGGTATCCGAACAAAATTAAAAATAAAAATCATATCTACCAATGAAGAAGGAAAGAAAAGAGGGTGATAAAAAGGGAACTGGACACCCAATATGAAGAAGTCGTGAAGGTACTCGCAGATAGAAAGTCAATGAGTAATACTTACATACCAAAACGAAGCCGAATCAACAATGGAAGGAAAGAAATCAGATCCCCAGATGAATATAGGTAGTTATCGTAATGCTCTAACGCCAGGAAAAAACAAAAAAAAACAGGGGGAGGTAGAGGGCAAGAATTAACGATATGGATATCATAAAAGTAGATCAAGTGTAAGAATAAAAAAGGTGGAATGAGAGAGGGATAGTAATGCCACTCCCATCAGCTTTCCGATGGTGGGAGGAAGTGGTTTTCGGCATTACGCCCTGCAGTATTGGGTCTCATGTCAGTAGCAGATACTGCATCGGTCTCGACAATGCCAACTTTCGGATCTGGAATCTGGATGTCGACAGACATATAGCCCGTGCTCCGTAGACTCCAGATCTTCACGCCTTCTGTACTACCAACGGTCTCATTCCAGTGCTCAAGCCACTGCTCGATGGACTTCAGATGGCTCTTGATGCCGGTCACACCGAGGTCATCCCAGACCCAGCCCGTTACTAGCCCAATCGCACCATCAAGCCAGTTGCGTACACTATAAGGGTCAAACGCAGATATAAGTTCCTTGTTTATCTTTGCGATAACCGTTCGGAACTCAAGCTCAGGAAGAATGGGGTCAAGGATTTCAGGATACAAATTCGAAAAAGTAGGCGCGAGATCACCCTTGACCATCCAATCACGTCGTATGCGGATGATACGGGTGTTCTGATATTCGTCGGATGTGACAGGGACATGTGGATTCATATGTGGGAAACAAGGATGCGAGGGACCCCACGCTAGCTCCTCCGCGACATCACCATCCGCACCACCACCACCGCCTGAAGAGTGGTTTCCGTTGGTAGAGGGAATGGAAGCAAATGCCTGAGACCGTAAGGAATGCTGTGACGGCACTTCTCGAGGGCGATCCGGATAGGCACCAGCAACATGGTTGGGATTTAATCCATTGGTCCGCAATAGAGCAGGATCCGGTCTGTGAATATTGTCTGCATCTCCTCGTATCGCTCCTGGACTTTGCCCGGGATCATTACCCATGTTATTTTTGTCCCACACACCGCTTCGTCGTTGACCTGGAGGAAGCCCGACACTTGCGCGTCCACTCTCTGTATCCGCGGCGCTGCGCTCAACCAGCAAGCTCGTTGATCTGGGTTGCTGGCGACTGCGACGCTGTTCCGGAATGGTCAGCAGGGGATAAGCGTCCCGTTGCGATTCGATATAAGGAGAAGTGTCGGAGATTGGAGAAGGGCGTGGAGCGGTGACGACAGTTGTGCGAGGAACGTAGTTGATGGGATTCCAGAGCCTAGACGATGGGGGTTTGCGAATGCTAGTACGGATAGATGAGAAAAGAGAACGTCCTTGGGAGTTGCGGCGTTGGTGAGGGGTATTTGCTGTTCGTTGAGAGGGGGGGGGTTGGTAAGTGGGTGCTGGGGGTTGAAGTGAGGATGCAGCAGAGGAATTATTTGTGAAGATCGGAACCAGCGGGATATCCGTGTACGGCCCTTCTTCAATCGGCCGCGATGATAGATTGGCTGGGCGTTGTATGGCGTAGGACGCCGTGGTTGTTGCGGACAAGAGGAGAGAATCGTCCAAGGGGTTTGTGAAGCAAGGAGAGGTTGATGTTGTCGGGGGAAAAACTGGAGGAGGCTGCGGGCGGTGATTGGCGAGAACAGGAGCCGAGGAAAGGGCTTAGGGGCAGGCTTAGTGACAAGCAGCAGCATGCCTGCACAACGAAAAGAAAAGAGAAAAAAAAAGAACAAGAACAAGAACCGCTGATGGAACAATGAGGGGAAATTGGCAAAGTGGGAAAAAAATAATATCAATCGACAGAGATCATTGAGTGTAGGGCAGGACGCAGAATAAAAAGTAACGGTACATCCGTAGCACAGTCGAAGGATCCCTTAGCTCACACATGGGCATCGGACAGGAGATCCAGTCAATAGTTTTCCACAACAATCCATTCCGAGCGATTGGGGAGAGGAAGTCGAATCGATGGAGAGACTGAGAGTCCAAGGAGAAACTGCCGCTTGATGGAACTTAACGCATCGAAAACCGAACTATCCTGAACAGCCCATGAGTGGCTACCGGAAAAGGGTCTGCAAATAGCTCAAACCAATTCTCTGGCCAAGGCCATGATCATCCGTTCTGTCTTTCCTGGGGTTGATAGAGCTGCAATATTGTATTGGGTTCACTGGGTTTTCAAATCAGGCCGGTGTGAGGTCTTGCAGCCTCTTCTTCAATTGTCACTTGTTCAGGTTATTCGAAAACGGCTCTTCAAGGGCGGAGAAAAAGCTACAACAAGACTACGGAGGTTACGAGTTGTTTTATAACGCTGGCTGCGGGAGAAATGGCAGGGTCCATCGGGATGGGCGACGCAGCTGTGACCTGAGCCCTGTGTCGCTTGTGAGCTCGCGTGGAGTCCTGCAGCCTGCAAACCGTTCCAGGCCCACCAGGATTTTAGATCTATCATCAGCGGGAAGCATCAACTAAACTGCCCACTACTAGTGTTTGTGACCTTGTGAAAAGAAGAGGTATGCGCCTGGTTGCAAATCCGAACATTTGATCCGCCGCCTGACTCCCTTGGGAAAATTAGCGCCGTACATAAAAAGAAAATGAGAATATAAGAGAGCGCTGGGTATTGATTGTTTCTCTATATCAGAACTGAGCTGGGGTAACTGAAGGAACACCCTTCCCGGATTTCCCTCCATTCCAGCCCATGCCCGCCCTGACAGCAAACTGCAACCTCGGGTTCAAGGTTCCAAGCAGCATGGACACCTGCATCGGTGGCCAATAACGGGAAAGCAAGGCGATGCCCCGGAAGCCAGTTCATATCTCCCCGGCACCCGCCTCGCTGGACCTGGTACTGAACCATCACCACGCTAAATCTTAATTCGGTCGTTGAGTTAGGGGCTTGCGGAAGTTGAACTTCATGCTCCAATTTCTCCTTTTTCCTTTTTTGACATTCTGCATCGTTTATTCGATTCTGATAATAGCCATAAAATCTGCTATCCACAGCCTGCAGAGGCCGATTGGCGTTGTGCAACTTTGTCTCCACGGCCAGAGGCATACCGCGTACATACATAAAAACGTGCGTGGGAAACGGGCGACTTTGCATGTATGCAAACTGTGGAAAGCTGGTTGATGTCTCCTGCCGTTCAGGAACTAAACCTAGGTTGGGGCTATGAATTGAGGAGGCTTTATGTCGCAATGTTCTCTTTCACAGGGGCGCGGGTGGCTCGGGTGGGCGTGGGATAGTTCCTGTTCCTGACAAAACCCGGTGACAGGGAGTCTCGCATTGACATCAGCCTGCAGCAGCTAATGAAGACTATTGAGCCCAGGCCACAGGAACGGTAACCCTAGCCTCTCCCGAAGTGGAGATCACTACCATTTTCCCCTCAAAAGCCATTGAAGATCCGCTGCTGCTGCTGGGTCAAATTAGTTTGAACATTTGGATATTGAATTTCCTACGACTGCACAGTCCTGGAGAAGGTACAAGTTTCAGGCGTTCCTCATATGGTGCTTTGACAGGAAATACTTTGATAGGATTCACACATGTCTCATCTGTGGGCTGATATGAAAATCCGCTTGCGGCCTCTTTCATCCCACATGGATCTGAAATGCAAATCGTGAGATACTGATTCCGGGAGACGGAGATCTCCTACCCACAAACAGTCATAATAGGCCTCAGGCTGGTACATGTACTGTTGGCCATGGCCGTTGGAAAATGAGAGAACCAAGCAAAGGAAAATTATATATCACCAATCCAAAACACGCCAGGTCAAAAGGGATGAATCCAAGACAAGTTTCATATATATGCGACTCTCCTTCCTGCATGGCGAAAAATCACAGTCCTGTATGCGGAACAGCAGCATCTGCAGCGTGTAAGATGCTCCTTGACGTGGAAACAAGGGTGCGTCAATTACACCGCATGGTATGGCATGATCCTTCCCTACATCTCTGACCGATGCAATCATAAGTGTTTGCGCATTTCATTTAGAATTATCTCCTCGATCATATTACAGTACTTGTTCTGTTGCCCCCCTTGGGTAGACGCCGCAATTATATGATGACGTTATTTACCTCGAGGACTCTCTCTCGGATCCCAGACGAGTCTTAACTCTTCACCATTTATTCGTTATGGTGATGTCCGAAGCCAATTGACACAGATCAAGGGACCCTTGAAACCGTATAATGGTGCCAATGATAACCACTATAACCAACCCTCATATTTGTCACAGTATTTTTAGTTTAGTTATGCATTAAGCAATCTCTTGCCTGTGCGGAAGATGCGAATGACATCAACAGAAGGATGCACAGGCATGCAGCAGAAATTGATATGTATATATATGTGTGTATATTCAAAAAATTCCAATATTAATAGCAGTTACATTGCTGTTCGAAGTTTTACTGCGCATATTCTAGAATTTTCTGCAACAAGATGAAGAAGATAGTCAAAGCAGGGAAACTTAGTCTGTGATTATATGTTACACCAGGGTTATTATGGGTATGCACGCAGCTTTCCCAGATAGTTATATTGGTTTGTCAACCATGAAGGCCTGGTCAGCGGCCAGAAATCATCTTCGGACCAACTAGCCAAAACAGACATTTCTCTGTTTGGATTTCTTATTTTCAACATACACTTGTATGGTTGGCACGCGCTGATATGAACTGCTGGCTAATCGCAAGTTCACCGGAACAAGCCCTTCAAAGGACCCTTCTACAGCGAGAGTCTGGGTAATAAGACACAAAAGGAGGGGATCGGTTAGGGGCGCAATGTGTAGCCGCAACTCTACTGCGTATGCCACGTTGCAATTATATAACTACGACAGGCTTGCAATATGATGTTTTCCATCTCGACACCTCGACTCCTCCACCGCCTCTTGTGTTGAGAAAGGCATGGCACCATTGAGACGCATATAGATGGAAGATGAGGAATTAATAAACATTAAGCAGGAAAGCTGTTCAGACCTCGAGGTTACACGTACGGAGGATTAAGGGGAAAGTTAAGGTACGGCTCGAATTTGACTCCTCTGAAGAAACATAAGTTTCTTTCTAGTTACTCCAATAGAGCATGTAAAATATTGTTTTCATAAATCTAGTACCTATGGAAGCGTGAAACGATGGGAAAAAAATAAATCGTCATCTATCTACAGTTTAGAAGCGGCAGTCCGTTTGTAAGCATATCCCTTCCACAAGTACCAAACAGATATCCAGGGGCTCTCCCAGAAAACCTAGAAAGAAAACCAGAAGAAAGGGAAAATCATATACAGAGAACTTACTGCCCGTCAACGAGGGAGATGGGGCAAAGCAAACTTAGTAAAAAGCGCAGAGCCCTGGTCTTCATTGTCAGGAAGCAGGCGAGTGAGTCCCTGAAGCATGCTTATTTGCCGACGCTTGCATCCTCCGCAGTGCCTCGTTATGCATGGATAGCATATCTCCCTTCCTCATCGCCTGCTCAATCGCCGAATTGCGATAGCTGGTTCTAATAGCCTCCTTTTGCTTCCCTAACTGACTCCACTGATGCTCCTTTACTAGATCAGCCCAGCGCGTCTCCACAGCTGCGTCTGGAAAATGTTTTATTATATTCTCATTTCTGACAGATTCACGCCATCGGGCAAATTTGGCTTCGCGCACCTGTAGCGAATCCTGCACTTGCGAATGGTCTTCATATTGACGCCGAGCAGTCACCAGAGACATGTTATCGAGAGACGGGAAACTACAGACGGATGCGGGACGGTGAAGGCTGGGCTGTGTTTGCGACTGGTTTTGGAAATTGTTACTTCGTTGAATTAACTCGCGACGGACAGAGAGCGGAATGTCGTCTGTAGATTCAACCGATATGTTGTTCTTGGTTGGGTATGGACTCGCTGATCGGTGTTGAGTTTGTGGTATGTTGAGAGAAAGTCGGGATTGAGATTTAGAAAAGTGGTTGACTGTGGCGGATGAAATATTTGAAGGAAGAAGGAGAGATCTGTTGCGAATTGCGGATTCGCGCTGCGCAAGCAACGGGGGTGAAGACATGCGATGTCCTCTGAATGATGGAGCCCTGTCGTGTGATTCATTCGATTCCAGAATACCGCTAGCAGGTTTATACGTCGATGAGATGGATGAAGTAGGCCTTGCTCGATTAGTCTCCACCTGGGCAGCTACGCCGAGGGTAGAGTTGGACCCTGAACGGTGTAACGGATATATTGGTGGGGTCTGAGAACTATTCGTAGAGTTTGGAGATCTACCGGGTGGCGAGGATGGAGTATCGCTGGCCGTCTGTACGCCGATATACGATTTTCTCAGAGAACTCCGTATTAGTCTAGGATCTGCTCCATGTTGAGACCTGGGAACGGCCGAATTATCGATATCTAACTCCCGAGACGACAAGGTGCTTGCGGCGGTTTGTTGAAGCTCAGATACCAGAACAGGAGCAACAGGTTCATCTGTTTCTGTTTTTATATCTTGTTGCAAATCATCCATTTCCATGACTTCTGGAGGCCCAGCATCTGAGATATGTTTAGCCCATTCGTTTGTCCTATGGGAGAGCACCACTCTGGATGTATGGCTGGGAATGTTGTCCACTGACTCTGATGTCAACTGCACTCTAGGGAGAAGCACAGATTGTACTTTCGATAACCTATTTGCGACAGGAATGCTCGAGCTAAGAGATTCCGAAACATCACTAGGCTTATCGTGTTTACCTGATATTTGTTGGTCAGATGCAGTGGATCCGCCAGTAGCGTCGGCTAAACCAGGAGAATGAGTAGTGGCAGCCTCAGCCAGTTCGGCCAATTTACCATCTTGATCTGGCGTTTTCTTGCTGGAGATTTCCGGCCCAGGGAAAGCATGATCGTCTGCTAGAGCATATTCAGTTTCACATCCGTTAATCCGGTCAGGTAAGATTGGGGTTTGCTCTGAACCATTGGACTCTGCCCATCTAGTTTCGATCATAGGAGTAGGGTCATGGTCTTTCACAGATTCTCCATTGCAATTAGCTTTACCTACGGCAGATGAGTCGGGTTCCGTAACAGCTGTTGGTCCAGCCGCTCCTTGAGAACCAGAATATATGGAGGATGGGCTGCATCGGGTGCCGCTTTCCATCTGTGAGGCCGGTCTCATGTTGTAATCGTGTTCTTCATTGGCCTCCACTTCAACGGAAGAGGAAATGCTTCGAGTGTCGTTAACGAAGGTCAATCCATCGCCACCATCATCTGTACAGTTGCTCTCCACAATGCGCCCATGTATCGGTTGCCCGAATGCAGGGTCTCTGTCATTTCGCACACATGCCATATAGTCTGACTCTGCCAACGATGCAGCAGCTGAGCTACATTCGTCATCCATCCTAACTTCAAATGGATTCGCCCTGGACGAATTAATTGCGGTGTTGGCGGAACCGGGCATCTCAGTATCTCCAGGCAATTCGTGCAGCCCTGGCTGATGCCCAGGGGCTATGCTCGGTTTCGTGTCTTGTGCGTCCCCGGAGGAGGGGTTATTGGAAGGGGGTGTATCGGATTGGGCCGGCATTGCAGCTGCAGCTGCGGTGATTGGCTGAACCGATTCTCGCGACTTGTGAGAGTTTCTGGCATCGCCACCTGGCATTCGCAGCGCATCCATCTCGTAAATTCGGTTCTCGGATGTTCTGTTTACTGAGGTCCCTGAGAACCTTTCATGGCCCTCCTCTCTCCCAATTTCAATTCCAGAGTCATTCTGTGGTCGCTGTTGATCACCATATACAGATTCCCAATGAGCTCTTTCTCGATTCGTATCCTCTTCCAAATTCTTCGCTATTTCTTCTTCAACCTGGTCATGTTTCTTTTGTTCTTCGTCCACTAACGACGTCTCTCTTTGCCGGCGATCTTTTATCATTTTCCATACTTTGGCTTGAGATACAAGGCCCATGAGAAAAATTGCAATAATGCCTGAAAGCTCCGCTCGAATTCCTCGAGTGATAGGATAGGTTGATATGTTAGATGGGAATACATTCTCATTCAACCCTGCAAGCGCGTTAGAATAATTCGCAAGTGGGACATATACTCGGGACCATACCCCATATATAAACCCAGAATTCTTTCAGACCAGCCTTGCTAAAGCAGTCAATGCCTAAAATCACAGCTGTGGCACCGGAGAAAGAAGTAGCGCAGATTAATGCATATATTCGTGTACGGCGAATGAACGAGAGACAATAGAAACCAATGGTAAGGCTAGCAATGAATGCTGCTTTATGCCCAGTCTCTACGAGGAGACCACCGGGTTTCATTGGGAGAATCCACATACTCAGGGAGAACCCGCCAAGCAAACACCCAAATCCTTCTGAAACATCTTGGAAGGCCAAGGATATACCCCCAAATACTGCACCCGTTGCTGTAGCTGCAACAACAAAAGCTCCTTGTACGGCATCGCTAATCGGGGGATTCATGAGATAAATAATGAGAATCTAGGGGGAATTTTAGTATGTAGTGTAGGTTTCCCATCGGAATTCAACGGACATACTGTAACAGCGAGCGCGGATGAAAACCCCACAGAAAAAAATATTTGAATCCTTGATAGATAAGTTAGCGATATTGGAAAGCAAGTGACAGTCGAAGAGATCCCAACCATATTTTTCTGATCCCAACCAGCGCATAAATCCCTCCTGCTATGATAAGCACAACACCGGCAACGGATAACCCTGGAGTTATTCTCGGGAGGAGAGGAAGGAGGTTAGGGTCGGGCTCGGTCCCTACTTAGCATTAACGGAGTCCTTGCATACTTGAACTGGAATGATTCACCGTTAAGAAAGGAAAGATCTGTGGGACGAGGACTTTCGGTAGAAGTTGTATCATTTCCGCTCTTGCTTGTAGCGGTTGGATCTGGTTTAGACGTCGATTGAGTACCGGGGGAGGAGTTTGTTGCAGCATCTGTTGGCGATAATGTCACTGTGGGTGTGATTTTAGTTGGTTCTAGGGCATCAACATTTTGTCTTGCAAAAATTTGAATCCCACCAACGCACGCGGGCCCCGTGAGGCTTATCGAGTAGAGGATTATGCATATGAAGCTGGCTCGCATATTGAACTGCCGTCGGAAATTCGTGACAGCGAGGAAGAAAAGTCCGCAGCTTATAACTCCTCAAGGAAAAACAAAACTCTTGAGGGTCACCCGAAGTTCAAGATAGCCAACGAAAGGGAGAATAGAAAACTAAATCATTCCGACATGAGTTCTAGGTAGTTATGCAGCATTGGATGTTTAATTTCCATGAAGGTAGGACACCATTTCAAACATGCCCAGAAAGGCGCAACAAGATAGAAAATGCCGACGATCAAACACCACACAAATCTGAAGGTGTTTCGGGAACTTAGAGCTTTCTACCCTGTTCGATGTTGGAACTCGAGAGGATCGAGTTTTGTTGATTTCTCATATATTCCCCTCAGAAGAAGCGGGAGAACGATCTGTTTCTTGGAACCCTCTGGTTAGGGTCTAGGCTTAGCCAACAGGGGAACCTGTTATGAAATCTCTCATTCCGGGATTTTCCTGCGAAGGGCTCCCAGCTTTCAGGGCAAAAAGCAGGATTCAGGGGAAAGGGATGCCAGACTGGCAGTCTGAGTGACGCGCATATCTTGCATGTGCTGCCATCACCAATCGGCAGATTAAGAAACCGAGGCCAGCAGAGCAAACAATTATGGAACACAAGTAGGACAGGCGGGGAATAAAGGAGAAAACCGCCACCTCAGACATGATGGGAATGCGCCATCGAATCAAGTGTTGCTGAAGCGTCCAGCCGGCTCCACGTAGCATAGAAATGGAAAATAGAAATGACAACGTGTGGACAGACAAGCTGGAGTAATGAACAACCCTTTAGCCACCAATTCTGGTGGGCCAGTTTGGAATTGACCAAGCGAGCATCCGACCATATGGGCGTATGAATCGCAGGGGTAAAAACAGAGGGCGTCTTCATCCAGTTACTGCAGCCTACCCTAAGTCAAGATAATCAGTGAAGTCTTCAAAATTGGCCTGGAGTTGCGCAAGGGGTCAATCCAAACACGATGTGGCCCCACGTCCAGTACAGATGGATTGACCAACCACCAGCCCCAAAAGCTAACTGCGATTGTGATACGGACACCCTATCATCACAATGTTATGCAACCGTCCAAAATCGGGTGAATCATATTGCTATGTTAGCGACCTTTGGTTGTTGGTGAAAGTGGTTGAGCGAAGGTGATTTTGACGACGCAATGTCTTGAGTAGTGAGCAGGCTCAAATTGACGTCGGTGACTTGAAAATCTTCGATTAGCAACATTCAACCAGAGCAGGGAAATCAACGGCTGATGATGATGCAGAGCAAATGGCTAAAGGGCTCAATTCCCGCATACGTCTGCCATACCTGCATACGCCCGCATATCCAGGCTGTTGCGGCGTCCATTCCTCTGCTCGCAGTTGGATAACTACTAGTATAAAACGTGGAAGGATTTCCAAGGCTCGCGATGGAAAACTTTCGCTAAATCCTCAGCTAAGTTTCGGCGAAGATGATCCCCCGCAGCTCCCCTCTAATAGCGGCTCCTGCACGTTCCATCTCAAACTGACAGATCATTCCATAGTCATGCTGTGCGACGCCTTCCACACTAACGACTTCAACCCAGTTAATCGTACCTCAACACCTCCTGTAGTTTACCCTTCTCAGCGGGCCCTCCATAACAATTTTACCCTATACTATCTATTTTAGGGACGGGCTCCTGAATCGAACTAACTCAGCTAATGGAGTAATAGGAAGATGGCGTTCCGTTCTTAGTGGTTATCTTGATATCTTGGTCTTTACCCCATTGTGTCGACCTTGGTATACTGACGCGATATTACACCAGGGACTGCCTGTTAAGTCCCCCTGGCTCCAGGACACCCAGAAGGACATTCGCCTCCAAGACGATTGAAGATTTCGTAACTTGCATTGTTCCACGCATATCTGCTCCATCGGAAAATTTAGGATGGAGAAAAACATGCTCTTGCTTCTCTGTCTCACATTCCCAGGCTTCCTCCACTTCCTTGTTTCAGAATTTCATAACTAACACAGGATCAACGTTGTCTCTATGAGACAGACGCTCACATCCATATGGGCAGAGGCCCATCGGTGATGGTGATGCAAGCACGGGCTTCCCCCGCATCGATGACGCCCAGCATTATCGTATATCAATGGACAAGAACTAGATGATGAATTCTCATATTTATGGACAGCACCTCTTCTATCAGCCTCCCATAACAAAAATCATAAACACCGCGTTTGTCGTAATCGTTTTCCCGATGAGGATAATCTCATGAGGCTTTTCACAAATGTCTCAAGATGGAATAACAAAATACAAAGAAGAAGTGGCAACAGCAAGATTATTATGCCACGCATGATTCCAGAGAAGATGTAACCCACCAGGCTCTCCCATTTAACAAATGTCGCACAGTGGTACATAGAATCGAGGGGAAAGGTTTTTAGTCAACATTTGTTACCGTTTACCTGGGGAGGCGATATCGAAACATCCTTGTCACAAATGATGAACGAAGCGAAAGCACAGTATCCAGCAACCCTTTTGTATGGTGAAAAATGCAGACAGCAGACCCACTTGTACTACATAACTCGTAACTACCAGGAAGCATGGTGAAGAAGGGCTTCTGATCGCACACTGAATGATGCTACCTGGTTATTTGACGAGAAACTCTGTGCCTTGTGCAACCCTCACCCCGTACGTCACAGCCACTAGGTTCAAACTGGTGGAATTAGTATATCCGACAACACAATATGAACCGCCAGAGGGCGGTGCATCTCACTGAAGAATCTCGGATGATTCTATCGTTCCGGCTGCGTCTTTTGGAGACAGAATGTCCACCTAATACGCTCCACTCCACACACACACACAAACACACACACACATATATATAGATAGATACAGGTTGAGCTCAAGTAATTTATATAGCCTGTAAGTTAGGAAATGCAAAGAGCTATTTTTGGGAAACACAATGTGAATCAACGACGCTGGACATTGTGAGATCAGTGGGTTTTGTTGAGGAAGCCAAACGGCCAGTTGAACAGTCATATGAGGTTTACCTCCATCCATGGGTAGTAAAATATCATACATTGCCTCAGGGTCGACAGGGGTCGTTCCTGATGGATAAACCCCCCCTTAGATTTCTTCGTGTGTCTGTCTCTTGCACCCAGAAATGATCATTAAAATTTGAGAACTCAGGAAAATTTGCTAGACAAATCGGTTTTTCGCCCTTGACGAAAACATGCGACTCCTAGCAGCTGCCACGGTATTTTGCCTTGCACGCATGAGTAGCATAGCGGCAGCGACACCAAATGTAGAAGAGATAGCGAAAAAAAGTCAAAAATATGCCGCTCGGTGATTCAATAACTGGTTCTCCGGTAGACAATGCTCCCATCAGCACCTCAGGATATCACAATGTGTTCACTGACAAAAATTGACCCAATGGGTTTGCACTGGAACTCCGATAATTATTCGAGGAATTTAGAGTTGTTGGCGTGCTCTACTATGGAGAAAATCTCTAGGCAGCCGAAATCCCCAACACAGATTTCGTGGGATCTCCGCCGGGGCGTGATTGCAGGTTCGACTATGACAGCGAGAATCAAGGCCATTCTAGTTCTAAGGCGACATCGACTGCTGCTAAACCCAGCTTCCTGCATGGCAGCAAGACATTGTCACGATGCATATTGGAACCAATGGCTCGTGGCAAAAGGTCAGCCTGAAGATTGCCACAAAAGCATTCTCGGCTTTGGTGAAAGAGATGAGGAAAATCAGTCCAAACATGATTATACTGTTCAGGCGTCGTTATACTTCTTACAGGTTCTGTCCTTGCCCTGAGAGGATTGAGGATAATTCAAGACCCTAGGTCCAATGGTATGGAGCATACGTAAGAATAGTTTTTGCATATTCTAACTCCTCTCCAAACGTTGCGCAAATAATTAATTCCCTATGAAGCCGCAGAATTGCAAAGGCTGTGGCAAGGTTGCCAAACAATCAAACAGCGCCATTGCAAAGTGGGCACCAAAGAAATCAAATGAGAAATGCCTGATCACTGTTATTGGCTGATTTGCGGGCTTCAACACAGCAAAAGACACCAGAGACAGTGGCCATCCAAATAAGGCGGGAAACAAAAAGCTTGCGGATTGTTGGTTCGAACCACTGGCAGCGGATCAAACAAGTCAGCCGCAACGACGAAACGGCACCAATGTGTAAACCTTAAGAATCGGAGACAAATCCCAGCTGGAGGATATATCTTATCCAAGTGCTATAATTTATCTATTTGCGTTATTAGATATGTATGTTAAAAATTGGTCCCTCTGCATGTCGCGGTGGTCCGATCTGTTCATCGGGATAGACCAAAAACGGCTGGTGGGAGAGTTGGCAGCTCCAATTTCGGCATAATATAGATCGCAAAAAAATGAAATATATACTCTGTTAGCAGAAGCACGCTGTAAGATATCATTTTGACGTGGGGAATACGCTCCACGTTGCTTGCTTGCGTTCTGAGTTTCAATTTTCCTGAAAAGATATCGATATATAAGATCACATGACCTATCAGCTCTCCTGAATATCACGTGTCACGCGTTTCGTGACAACCTTTCGGCTTTGGGCATTTTATCCCGCGACGGAGCTCTCTGAATCGAGCAAAAGGCCAACGTCCAACAAATCTCAATCCCTGACATTGAACCCCATATTGAGTCCCCTGCCAGCTATATCGTCTCTGTTTATTATTTCAATCATCCTGCAATTCAAAAAAATGCGCGGTCTAATCTCCCTCCGCCCACTTCTCCGCGCCCCGACATCCTTCTCGACACGCAACTTCAGCTCTACCCGCGCCAATTCCCTCGCACGCATTAGCATTGTCGGTAACCTCGGAAACCCGCCAGAAATTCGTGCCACCTCATCCGGCCGCGAGCTCGTGAACTATTCGGTAGCAACCAGCTACGGACCCAAGGAAGATCGCCAGACAAGCTGGTGGCGCATCACAAGCTTCGTGCCTGAGGGCGCCAGCAGAGATCACTTACTAGGCCTGCCAAAAGGGTATGTCAATCGCGTGCCATTCATATATGTATATACATATAGAACAACGGCCCTCTCGGGGCGGAGATACATACCTGTATCTTAATTATACCGGAGGAGCTTGTTTGGGGCTGGATAGATAATAGCGAAATTCATAGCTAACTATGTCTGATTCTGTGACAGCACCCTCATGTACGTAGAAGGCGATGCAAGTATGCGCTCCTATGAGGACGCGGATGGGAAGAAAAATTCCGCTCTCGGTATCACCCAACGTTCGTTATCCCTTCTCTCACTGTTTCGCCTTCATTCCTTATATGCCGCTTTTCACTTCTCTCCCATCTTCCACTTCACGTCTTACCTACAAAGTAGCTAATCAAACCCTCCCCCCCCCTTTTTTTTTACAACAATAGGGTACTACGAAGTCCTTAGGCGCGGAAACAGTGAAAGCAGCGAGTAAGGGAGAAGAAAGCTATGATAGAGTAGCTTCGCATGCCTGTAGACGAGCGACACTCTTATTTGACTACGTGCAATATCTCTTCTGGGCGCACAAGGATGGGAACTGAGAAAGCCCACATGTGGGCTTGGCTATTACCAGTATGTAAGGGTATGAATTATGTACGTGTACTCTAATTGGGCGGCTATATATGTGATTAAACCAGCTTCCGAATGTTTCTTTTTTGTCTGATACTCTCCCCCATCTGTTGTCTTGTATGTTATTTCTGCACGGGTGAACATAAAGGGTATTTAGCGGAATGACATCTAGCTGAGTTAGTGACACCCTCACCTAGGACCAGTATATCTCTTGCCTGTTTTACTCAATCTTCATGTTTGTATGAGTGGGTTTTGGATAACCTTTTTCGTCTTCCATTGGCCAAGTCTATATTAATTATAGGTCAAAGCCACTGTAGTCCGATTTTCACATATTTACATTTTATGTTTGTTGCTAAAAAGCAATGAAGGGAAAAATAAAACAAACAAGGCAAATCAACGTGATTTATTTATTTATTTATTTATTTTCAGACATATTTCCTGTTTGATATTTATTACATATGTGTCACGCAAGGCGTGGATTGTAAATAACAGAGGTGAGAGTCAGGTAAATCAGCGACAAAACTAGGTCCTACTAACGACCAAATAATGCATCGCCTCCCCCTCCAGCTGTCATCTGGCATATTGAGAAGAAATAATTAAAGTATTTGAGAAATATAGAGAGAGAAACAGAAGAAATTCGCGTATCGCAATTTACTCAAAGAAAGATAGCAAAGAGTCATGTGCAGTGCTTGTGTCTCGGCAAGCGTAAATAGGGAACAAAAGGGATTTCGCAGAAGTAAAGACATATTTGCGATATGGGGTTTGAGCTAGAAGAAGAAGAGAGACGGCAACAAATGTACACGCAAAATAAAGTGTCAACAGACCGATTGACCCTCGCGGCATAGTTAGTACGCCATCGAACCCGTGAGATGTACTTTAGACTTTCGTAAAATGCGCGGTTTTCTCATGGATTCTAGTATCGCTTTCGAAATCTATTTCTGATACCGGAGCCTTACTTAGAGAGAGGACACGACTATTTGAATTGAGTGGGTGTGGTGCTGGAGGCAGAGGCTTATTTATTATAGCCAAGCTGGAGAAATGGTGGTCGTGGTCAATAATCGTTGTGTTTGTGGACTCAGAATTAGACCGTACGCTCCTGGGAAGGTTTATTAGTCAATGTCAGTTTTCAAGATGCATGGCGCGCAAAATATAGTAGCACATATAGAAAACGGTTATTTACCATAGAGTCGGGGAATATTCATCCATGGATTGTTTCTTCTTCAAAGCCGTTTTGGCGCGGCTACCAAAGGACCCAAAGCGAGTTGAATCTGATGCTTTGCTAATGGCAATATGGGGGTGCTCCAAGGATGGGAAATATCGACTCAAACCGACTCGGATAAGGAATGCTCGGTACATTAATGTCGCATCCTTTCCGAATCCAAAAAATGCGAATAGTAGGAAGCCACAAGTCACTTGGATCCAGCGATCATAATAGACTATGCCATGCATGGGAACTTTCACAATGACTCCCCATTCCGGCCCGTGGACGCCCTTCCACGAGTAAGGCACCCAAGGCTTTGACATTTCGATATTGCGGTAGAAAACATAAACTTGTGAAGGAAAGCTGCCCAGTAGTAGTATCAGGGATAGAGTAAGGAGACGGATAAATCTCGACTTGCTTGTGTTGCTGCTTATGGAAACAATGTAGGAAAATTGTTGTCGATACTTGAACAGTCGGTATATAACCAAGACTAAAAGATTAGACAGATTAGCATAGAACACAATGAAATAGCCCCGGGGTGGAAAAGAGCTTACCACAGTAGATTGCAGCCAGGAACAAAACAACCAACGGCCATGCGAAGATAAGGGCTGTCGAGGGCCAGCTTGGGTGGAACGCAGGCATACAACCTACAATTGCCCATAGGTAATATCGACGGTGCTGGACAACGTAATGCAAAGCCATCATAAGGACAGGGATGACCACACAAAAAACAACTTCAAAAGCAAGGGTACGTCTCCGCTCCCCCTTGCTGGGGATCAGGGTGGCACGATCTGTGTCCATGACATCTGCAAGTGAGCGGAATATACATACGAGAGCTCCTGCGATACCGGTTCCGAGAGGAGCGATGAGCTTTGTTTCGATATCGCAAAGCCCGGCACCATCCCACCACGTTGAAACATCATCCGTAGGCCATATTAAGGGGTTGATAAAGTTGAAGAAGTTGAAGATCACAAACCAAGCGATGAGACATGATGCAGGGAAATTCCCGGTACGTGAGTGCCAAACCAGAGGAGGAATGCACACAAGGACAGACAGAAAGGCTGTGGTAGGCAAGGCAATAGCTGCAGTTGATCTGTAATAAGGGCCGCTAGGTGGATCCATTGTGGTGGGCTATATGGACGAAGATAATATCTCAAGGGGGTAAACCCGCCGAGAAGACAGTTAACGTCCCAGACTCCAGATTAATGGAGCTGCCAGAAAGGGTAATTTTGAGACTCTTCTAACGGCTCACAAGGTGATACGAAATTCGAGACAGCGAACGAAATATCAAGATACGAAAGATGAGATATCAAGCGCGTAGATATCACGGCGGACATATAAGTAATTGAGAAGAAGCGATGAAAGCATGAAGCCAGAAACCGAAATCGAAGGGAATACAACGAGACTCATGGAGGCAACTAGCAATATATAAATTTGCCAACAATCGAGCTCCATGGTGGAAGACTGTAGCTTGAACCAAGCCTGAAACCTAGAACGTAATTGCTACTATGCGCAGTGAAAGGAATAGTACGTCCAATACAGTGAGTTATTCAAGACAGGGAAGTCAGAATAACGGGACATCAATAAATGGAATAAGAAATGAAAACCAGCAAATAGGTATAGATATCGCAGGAGTGAATGTCACAACTCTGTGCTTGAAAATGAGAGTCTGTGTCCTGCAATATTGATATTGAGTTGCGGTTGATCTAACCCGATTCGAGGCTCAATAACAACAGCAACAGTCAATCAAATCGTCTGAATTGCAGTCACAACTCCTGCAAACCGGGAAGAAACTTCGAAATCTTCAACAATTTCTGCAAGACATGGGATCTTTACCGGCACGAAGCTCTTGGGTCTGATAATTTGTGATAATTTGCTTTTGAGGCGCATTGTGAAAGCAGGCAATGCGTCCTTGAGTAATGAAGCTGGCCAACGCATCGACCAGCCCCAATAAGATATTTATCCTAAAACCAAATATCAAGCTTCCAGATATGTTGAAAAAAGAACATGTTGCTGTGGTATTCTCAACATTCTCAAGTCGCAGGGAGCAGTTGTCTGCCGGGGAAATACACCTCCAGAATTTTTTGATCTTGACGCATGTCGGAAAGTTAAAAACGGCCCTTCTGGAATAGAGGAAACATCAAATGGTATAAATATAGATATCTACAATTTTAAGTTTCGTCAGTCATTAAGTATTTGTGATCAAAGCAGGACAAGCCCAAATTGGTGACCAAACCGATCCATATGTAAGGGACTACCACGCGTGCTTGACACCATCCGCTTTTCTGGTATCAATAATGATTCCTTCACGCATAGAACAAACAACACTGGCCTGTTGGTTCTCACGATCACTTTCACTATAGCCACTAGAATAGGTTTTCGAGCGGGGTAGCGTATTTCCGTCGACTCGTAGGGCTACCAAAGTGGTCCTGAATAACGGGAAGCAAACAGCGCGGTAGCCGCTGGAACACAATTGCAGCGAAAATCCCCACACATCAGCCAACAAGGGCATGGAGCCCAGAAACTAAAGCGAAGGATGCATATTTTGTCAAGGAATGCACGGCCGCCTGCATAGATCTCGACCTTTTCGTATTCTGCCAATCGAGCTCTCATAGAACAAACGAAATCGTTAGTTACTGCGTCAATAGCAACTTTGCTAGGTTGTAGCTTGCAGAGGTGTTGGCGACTTTGATTCATGCTCCAAGTAACCACAAGATCGAAGTCGTCAGCTGCCTGCCATAAGGAAGTCCAGAATAGCAACTGAAATAAAGTTCTGGGGATGAGCTAGTTAAGTAAGGCAGGAATAAAGTTAAGGAGGAGGTTGGATTATGCTCCTGGAATCGTTGCGGCTCTGGGAGGCTCTTCCCCCCATCCAAGCCCGGGAACCTTGCGCTGCCAAGCTTCAACTTCCTCCCTTGGCATGATTGGCCGACGTGACGAAAGAGACCAGTAACGCCCCAGCCATTAGTTGGCATGTGGGCACCGGACACTAACTATTTCCAAGAACTTGATTGCGCCCATGCCACCAAGATCGCCGCGACATGGAAGCCTGGTGACACTTTGTTCGAGTAGCTTGACGTCTTTAACCATGCATCCTGGGCTGCCCCTCTTGCCTTTGACAGGTAACATTCCAGTTTCCAACGAGACTTTCTCACGATGCCTGAGCCGAGAACTTCTCCAAACCATACATCCTCGCAGCCAGTAACTAATCTGGCTGGCTCTGTCTCATACCTTCGTCATCGCGCCCTGAACCGTGCTGAACCTTCTCCAGGCGTAGCGAGATTGCGACGGAGCTCAACTTTCTCTGACACCGTTTCAGAAGCCCGCAACTCCATCAGATCGTCCACCGACGATCTGTTCCTTCCGCGGGTTGATGCAAATTCAAGGTCCCTAGACAGCAATAATAATGAGTCCCACTGGCAGTCTGTCCCACTGGCGTTGGCGTTGCTGCCCGCAGTCGGGGGCCTGCTATTCCCAAATGGAAGCGCGGTAGTAACAGACATCACTTTACTGGTTCTGGCAGCAGTATTTCTTAATTGGTCGATTCGATTACCCTGGTGAGAGAGCCTACAAGAGCATATATTTTATATATAAAACGCCTGCCTAATAATGTACAACTTTCAGGGACTGGTACATCTCAGCACAACAGATGTCACGAAGTCTCACACTAGAAGACGAATTCGACATGGATGTGATTATCGAGCAAGCTGAGGAACCAGAGCTTGAGCCGGGCAATAAAGAGGACCGTGATTCAAAGCCCAACCCGCAAGAATGCGCAGCTTCGACGCCCCAATCCGCAACTGCCCGGGCTGCAATGGCGGAGCTCCACCGACACGAACTAGCAGCTCTAACATCCTGCTTCCTCCTCCCCATCGTAGGCGCTTGGCTCTTGCATACCCTCAGATCGCAACTCTCCCGACCCTCCGAGGGCCTCGTGTCCAATTACAATTTAACAGTCTTCCTCCTCGCCGCGGAAGTCCGCCCATTCTCCCACCTGTTGAAAATGGTCCAAGCACGTACCCTCTACCTACAACGCCTCGTCTCTTCCGACACCGGGGAACCCCGCGAGAAAATCGACGCCAGCAAGATCTTCGACATCTCCACCCGCCTCGAGGAGCTAGAAGCTCACATCGCAGAAACAGCCAGCAAGCGCGAGCATCAAGACCAATACCAGTCCCCCAACAGCACCAGGCACGGAAAAGAATACTCCTCCGCAACCTCACCCGCAACCACCAAAGGCCTGTCCCCAGACAATCAACCATCACACCCGGACCTCTCAGCCCTCACCCGCGCCATGCGCCGTTACGAAAAACGCACCGCCCTGCACGCCCACGAGACCGAAACGCGCCTTCAATCTCTCGAAGAGCGACTGGGTGACGTCATCTCGCTCAGCACCGCAGTGGCAGCGCAGCAGCGCCGCGCAGCGTCGAATCGCAGCTCGCCGATATTTATATTGCTAAATTGGATGTACGACGCTGTTACGCTGCCGGCGCAGATGGCGTGGGGGTTGTGTCGCATGCCGTTTCGAATAGTTGGGTGGTGCGCTTGGTGGTGTTTGGGGTGGGTGGGCGTTGGTCGCGGCAACAACAAGGGAGGCAGAGGTCATAGGAAAGATGTGGGGAAAGAGTTGGTGAGGAGGAGGAGTAATGGCGGCGGTAGCGTGAATGGGGGTGGTGGTGGTGGTGGTGATAGTGGTGATAGTGGTAGTCGCAACGGTGACCCGAAATGGGCGCCTCACTCCATTCCAATGTCGAGGGAGCTGATGGGTTCTACTGCACTTGGTGACGGCAGGGTGCAACAACGAGAGATCGGGACAGCGAGGCTGCCGATACCGAGTTTTACGAGGTGAACTCTTTTTAGTTGATATGAAGTCTTTCCCCGCTTGTTTATCGGTGTTTTCCAGCCTTCTTTACGACTTGACTTGATTTTTTTCTCATGGGTTTCATTTTTGGGACATTTGTTAGTTATGTTCAATCTTAACGAATTGTACGGTATTTCCTATACATTGTGCATAGCAAGTAATAACGGCCATCTGTCTCCTTTTGTATCTTTCTCTTTCACTTTCTCAATCTTCATCTCTCTTTCTCTCAATATTCTTCTCTTATCCCCAGACGTCCAGCATCCAATACTATTGTATGGCCTCTCCGCGGTGGGAGGGGGAAGCGGGGAGCCACCATGTATTGAACATAAGCTCATATATATATATATATATAATATGGAATCAGTTGATAGGATACGTATGCACTAGAAAAATCGAAACGGGAGACTGTACATACATCACTACTCCATACATGAGAGGGGAAAGGCGAGGGGGAAGGGGGAGGCGAGCGATTAGTCTCCTTGTCTATTTAAGGAAAGAAGATCTACTTTGCGGACCTGGGATTTCTAGTCGACGAAGCAGGCGCAGAAATGTAAGACAGCCTCCATCAAACATGTTCCCCGGATATATTTATCCCCTTTTTCAAACGGAATTATCACTCCCATTCCCAACTCGCACCGCCTCATCAGCTCCATGCCCAGCAGCAGCAGCAGCAGAAGAAGAAATCTTTTTCTTCGCCGTCCCAACCCCACTAACGCCTTTCTCCTGATTAGCACCCAGCCACGGCTTCCTCGCCTCGCCCAACACCTGCCTACCCAAATAGTAAATCCCCTGCCCCAGCATGATGCACACAAACGCAATCGGATACATCCAATGCACCGAATACTTGAACACATTGATCCCGATAATCACGCCCCAAAAGTTCGCCGTGAGCAGGCTGATATTGAAAAACGCCGCCGAGGCCAGCCGGAACAATATCGGCGCCAGCGAGTAGAAGATGAACAGACAGAGCGTGTAGCCCGTCAGATACCCGCCGACCTTGCCATTCCACGTCGCGCCGGCGAAGGACTCCCGGTCGAAGATGGCAGCTTGCACGCCAATGATGAACATCCCGTACAGCCCCAGCTGGCCCAGGACCTCATACATGGGCCGCTTGCTGACGAGGTATTCCTCCGCGACGTTCGTGAGGCCGTAGCAGCTGGCGCCTACCAGGGCGAAAAGGTCGCCCTTGATCTGGTTGCTGCGGGATGGACCGTCGCCGTTCCCGCCGCCGCCGGTGATGTGGTCGGAGCCGAAAAGCACACCCATGCCGCCGATGGCGACGAGGATGCCCAGGATCTGGGCCCAGTGGTAGCGGACGCGGAGGAAGAGAAAGGAGATGATCACGACGACGACGATGGCCCAGAAGTTGATGAGTTGTGCGCTTAGGATTGTTGTGTATTTGTAGGCGAGGACGATGAAGTAATTGCCCTCGACGTCGCAGAAGGCGAGGATGATGTACTTCCAGGCGTCCTTTTGGATGACGCGCAGCCAGCGTTTGAGGCCGTAGCGGTAGATGGTGTAGCTGGTGAAGACGAGGTTGAGGAGGACGTAGTTGAAGAGCGACTGGAAAGCTGGAATTGAGGTGTGGATGTTAGAGAGGAGCTGGGAGAAGGTGTTTGTGGAGGTGATGCAGAGGGCGAGAATTTGCCTGTTATTTCTCACGCAAGTTAGCAACCAGGCGTTTACACTGGAATATAAAGGGAGGAAATGGATTTTTGAATGAATGGACTGCTAACCCAAGTACAAGCACGATATAGAACTCTCTCGTATGGAAGTAGGCGAAATAACCCGTCTTGCTTTTATCTACAAGATCGGCTACAGCTGCGTCTCCGCCTGGCCTCCCTTCCTGCCCACCATCCGCATCGACACCACGAGAATCCCTGCGGAAGTCCATATCCCCATCCGATATCGCATGATTGAAATCAACGCCCTTTGTTTGGACGTGGATGGGGTCCGTACGCTCAGCCATAGTCATCAAACTTTCTTGCACTCGTAGCCCAGCGGTAGCAAACCAAGATAGAAGGTATATAGAAATTGAAATAAGATATGGAAAAAGAGAAGGTTATAGTTCTAGCAATTGGAGCTTTATAGGCAAAGCAAGCGCAAAGCTCCTGAAGTCGCTTGCTATGGGGAATTGAATTCCCGTGGGAAGGGAGAGGGGGGAGAGGGGTTGAGAAGGGTTGGGATGAAGGTGGATGGAGGAGGAAGAAAAAGAAAACTTTTCCCATGTGTGCTCGGCAGTCCGTGCACCAATGAGGTCACCGGGGCCCCGATCAATCAGATAACAAGCTAAGCGGAACGGCTGGATTAGCGTGGGGATGCATCTTTTAGTTTCATCAAGAGGTGCAGAAGCACGGAATCAATCCTCCCAGAGTGAAATGCCTTTCGCCCATATCGTCATCGCCATCACCATTACTATTCATAGTAGTATTTTTCTCGGCTATATGCAAGGAGAGCTTCCGGTAGCCACCCTGCAGTTCTAAGAGCTAGCTAGACGCATGATGTCTAATGCATCATCCTTGAAGATACACATCCAACCACACCAGGGAACGTTTTATTGTCCGTCCTGGTCTTGGGTCACCCTGAGGGACGATCATATCTAGAGAACCCCGTACTCCTGGGATCAACTGGAGACTCCACGTTTGGACATTATATCCAGGGTCGCTAACTCTCACACTTTTATGGTGTGTCGACGCATTCACCAGCGAAATGGTCCTCAGGAGAATATCCTTTCCCGTCATCAGTTCCACCGCTTGCCGTCCTACTGACCCTCGTTTGATCGCGCTGCTTAGAAATAATCGGATTGAAGAATCAATTGGAAATAATGGCCAAATCGGGAACACTCTCAAGATTCACCACCTTTTGATACCCATCCGATCCCTCAATACGCTCCTGCCATCCATGTTACCAGCAACCAGGGAACCCTGTGGACCCAAATAACATCATGGCGGGGTTCTTTCGCCATTGCTCCAATGGATCGCAATCCTTACGGTGGGAGTCACCCATATCAATTTAAGATATTTATAAAGGATTTAGCATGTTTATCCATCCGATGCCATCTCCACCTGGGAAAAGACGGCCGGGCAGCGTGTGGATATCCGTTCCCGAGGGAAATGGAATTGATAAAATATATTCAATTTTATGGCGGGGACAACCCCAGAAGCCCATATTTGCTCCTGTCTTCACGTCTTCCGCCAACTTCTTTCTCCTCCTGGGCCCCATATTTTCCGGTTGTGTCTAGCTTTTCCAGGACGGGGGGCTGTCGTGGCCACATTCCATTACCACGGCATCCGGTACCCAGATGGAACATGGGATGGTGTTTTTATAAGTGGCGTAGGTCTTACAGGGTAATGATGCGGTGGAGCATCAAAGCATGCAGCTCCAATGAAAAGTTATGATGTACGAGTGGGGAGTGGAGGGAAGGAAGAGGCAACAGCAGATATCCACCTGAACAGGCCCAGCCATTATGCCTGAGGATAACAACAGGGGGTGAGCTCCTTTCGCTCCTTTCGCTCCTTCCTGTAGTAGATAGTATCCAAGGACATATAATCATGATCTGATGGGCACCATTTCCAAGGCTATGCCATACCGGAGCAAAAATATCTTTTTTTCGTTTGTTGTCGTTGATGCGCTGAACCAAGGACAAATGATGGGCCTTAACATCGCTATTGGTTAATCAAGCTTCACGGCTTATTGCCCAAACAAATACGTTATATGTTAATGGCATCACACGAGACATAAACCTGAGGGAGGTGTCAACCTTAAGTGATACGCTTTTTGACACCAAGAAGCTACAGAATTGGAAGCGCTGGTGGCAAGTTGGCATTTTCAGGGAAGGAAACATCGCCAATTGCATGGATGGGTGATAGATGGATGACCGGTAAGGGTATCACATTCTCTGGTTCAAATCGTGCCCATGATTAAGTGTAGATAGGGCGGGTGGCGAGATGCCGAAATCCTCAAGAATGTGTCGCAGAGGTTAACGTACCCAATCGAGAGCTAGGATTCTATGGCTGGGGAAATATGGATATACTAGTTAGTATATAACCAGTCCAGTTGCACAGGGGCATAGGTCAATCATCTTCATGGTACGAGCGACAGCATTTTTGCCCCGTAGTTTGGTTGTCGCATGCCATTTGTTTTAAATGGCCAGTGTTCAAAAATGCGTGACCTGGGGAATGATCGACCCAGCCCAACCCGATTGAGATTGACAGGGGAGTTGTGCCGGGCGGGACAGTCGACAGGCCATAGCATGAACAAACCCACAAAACGCCATGCTGGCTTGAGCATTGCATGAGCATTTGCCAAGGCTTCGTTTTGTGCTTCCAGGGCAGATACGGGCTGGCGCTGGAGTTGAAACAGAATGGGATATTTCCGTTGGGTTGGAGCTTCGGGACGGGGCAATTCCCGCTTACTCTTTTCAGAGGAATGCACGGGAATATAGAGGGATTAGCATAGATACTAGTAGATATTGCCAGGTTAAACGGAGGTCCATAAGGATATTTATCGACTCGCATCTCGTATACCGCGAGCAGCAGTGTCCAGATGGATGGTGGATGGTGGAGGGTGGAGGGTGGATGCACGTCATGGGCTCCTCAGGCACTGGCAGAACCAGCCTAACCCAAAGCATCCACGCGGCTCCTCTCGATGGCCCCGTTCCCCAAACCAGCAGCAGCTTCACCACCGGGACACCTCAGGACCAGGACATCCTCTGCGTCCATCCTCCACATCCTCCATCACCACCGCGCCGCTGCGTCTCCTGTCTCCTGGCTCTGTCTCCTGTCACTCTTTCGCTTCAGAGTATCTATCTAGGATCTTGGCCCCGTTGTCCCTGGTCGTGACTCTCTCCTGTTCCTTGTCTCCAGGCCTGGCTCCACCAACCACCCTAGCACCCCCATCCCGCGTCCGCCTCATCCTTCCCACGTCCATCATCAGCATCTCCCGGCCACCACCCCGTTGCCCACTGCTTTGACCCACCCGATCATTTCGGCATTCCTGTCTCTGCAGCTTCTATCGCTCTTCTCTTCCAAGTTCCATCGTAGCCCCTCCGTCGTCCATTTTCCAGCTCACTGCCCTGGCCGCGTTTCTCGGCGCTCCCATCATTTTTTTTTTGCGCCCACACACTGCGGACCCGTGGACCAACACTTGTCCCTGCCGAGGCACCCTCCAAGCACACAGCTCCCTTGTGCCTAGATCGCATTTCACCGGACTCGCACCATCGCTTTCCTAAACGACACATCAGTCGCAAAATCCCGCTGTCTCCTTTGCGAAAACGCTCGAAACAGTGTTTTCCTCGTCTCTCTTCTTTCTCTCTTGCCTCCATTTCGTTCTTCCTCTTGTTCCTGTTCCTGTTCCTATTCCTCGTCCTCGTCCTGTCCCTGTGATTTTATTTTATATTTTTTTTTTCATCCTCACCTTTTTTCCGAAATTGCCTGTGCCTAGTTTTCGGCTCTCATCACGCCGGGCCGGTACACTCGACTAGGGTTGGCACCGGAGTGACGAGACGCCCTTCTTCTCCCAGATAATGGCAGTGGTGGCACCACCGCCAAACGATCGAAAGCGGGTCAAGGTCTATGAATTGAGAGATAATGACTGGTTTGATAGAGGCACAGGCCTGTGCTCTGCCCAGGTCATCGATGTAAGCGCACTCTCTCACCCTTTTGTGCTAGCTACTCATCTCATTGTGATCGCATTAACAACGTTGGTGAGACACGCGGTTATGTTATCGGGACTACGTGCGGAAACACGCGCAAAACACAAATTCTTGCTAATAATGGCCTTTCACTACTTGTTTAGGACGAACCGAGAATCTACGTGGAGTCGGAGGATGAGCCAGATCGTATGCTACTGGAGTCCAGGATTCGTAGAGATGATGGATATCAGAAGCAACAAGGTCTGGCAGCGCTTTCCTGCGCTTGATCGCATGTGGGCAAGCGCTGATACTTTTGAGGACAGAAACGTTGATCGTGTGGACTGAGCCTGGTGGTACGGACATGGCATTGAGTTTTCAGGAAGCCGAGGGATGTGCTGTTATCTGGTTCGTCATAATCCGTGTTTTCTAGTCTTGCGATTCAATGGGTTGATATAGTTGCTAATCGATACTACGGTTTTCAAGGGAATTCGTGAGCAATGTTCAGCGCCAAATGCTTGCTTTCACTGGTCCAGGTTAGTTACGACCACTCTTTTCCCTTTCCCCGCGCGTTATTCCCTAGTCAACGTCTCCACCTCCGGGGAGAAATATATTGACTTTCCCCTAGATGATTCCCTCTCCGATGATGCTCTCGATTCCAGCTTCTCCAATCCCATAATCCTTCCTGCCCCGGAACTTGGCAACCTGGCTGAGATTGAGCAACGAATACGACAAGCCAGCATCGGTCCTGGACGAGATTCGCTCACCAAATTTTTAGTCCGAGAAGAATATCTCCTTAAACTTCTACCGCTGGTCAGCGACGCTGAGGACCTGGAAAGTCTTCCGGATCTACATCGATTATGTAATATTATGAAATCCATCATCCTGCTCAACGATAATACCCTAATAGAACTCGTCGTGAGCGATCATGTTATCAGTGGAGTCGTTGGCGCCCTTGAATGTATGTGGCTTTCTATCAATTTCCTTCCTCTCAACCGTATTTTTGACGCAAGGGCTCATTGTCCGTTACTCTCTAGATGACCCCGATTTCCCAACCCATAAAGCAAATCATCGTCAATACCTTAACGATCGCAGTCGATACAAGGAGGTTGTCCCAATCAAGGACCCCATAATTCTCCGCAAAATCAGACACACCTGGAGGCTACAGTATCTAAAGGATGTTGTTCTCGCGCGAATTCTCGATGATCCCACCTTTTCCGTGCTAAACTCCCTAATATTCTTCAACCAAGTTGATATCGTCCAGCACCTCCAAACCAACACGCCTTTCCTCAACGAACTTTTCTCTATATTCAACCCGAAAAACACAGACAACAAGAGAAAAGAAGACGCTGTGCAGTTCCTTCACCAATGCGCAGCCATTGCAAAAAACCTCCAAGCCCCGGCCCGCGCCAACCTCTTCGCAAACTTCATAGGCCATGGCCTCTTCTCAGTCATCGCATTTGCTGTGAAACACCCCAACCCCGCCCTGCGAACCACTGGCATTGACATCTTGGTTGCCCTACTGGACCACGACCCGCTCATGATTCGCGGATACATGCTGAAAGCTGTGAATGAGCATAAAGTGCCACTAACAGATACACTCATAGATTTGCTGCATGCGGAGACGGACTTGGGTGTTAAAAACCAACTGGCGGATGCGATTAAAGTTCTTTTGGATCCACAAGTGCCCATCCAGGATCCGATGAGTAGGGCTGGAGCAGATTTCCTAACAAAACTGCGCTCACAGAATCCAATTCCCGATACCTTCGTGCAGAACCACTTCGATGAATCTGCGAAAAGGCTCTTTTTGCCGTTGAAGAAGATGGAGCCTAGGCAATCGAGTAAGCTTTTTCTCACAAAGAAAACAGGGAAACTTTTAAAAAAAAAGAGAGAAAAAAGGAATTTTGTTTTACACTATGTTAATGCTTACGGGGATATATACTAACTGTTGAAATTTTGTGCGATTTTAGTAAATGACCTAACGTTCCAAGAAGTCTCGTTATATTCGCATCTTGTTGACATTCTCACATTTTTTGTTCGACAGCATTATTTACGGTGTCGCGGATTTATGCATGGGGAATCGCTTACATCCAGGGTGGCGCAATTATTAACAGTACCGCAAAAACATTTGAAATTAAGTAAGCCATCCATTTTCCCATTTCTCCATCGTGAGCTTGGGCGTGGAAGATCGTTATCAGGGACTTGGATTGGATCGGATGAACTTTTTACTGACTCTGTGTTCGCCCAAATCAGCCGCTTTGAAATTTTTTCGCACTTTGATAAGTTTACAAGATACCTTTTACGTTGCCCAGATGACCCACAACAACATATTCGAATTAATTCTAAACATCGTCTATGAAACCATGCCGCGCGACAGCCTGCTAAACTCCGCATGTCTGGATCTCTTCGAATTCGTGAAGCGCGAAAATATCAAAACTATAATCGTCCACGTTGTCGAGAATTATAGAGATATTCTCAAGAACATCACGTATGTTGACACATTCCAGAATCTGATACTACGCTATGATCAACTACAGGGATACGGAGTCGCGCCGGATGTGACGTTGTTCAGCCAGGACGAATCGGTGGGAACCCCGCGAATGCTCATCAATGGTGGTCAGCGATGGCATGGTGTTAGGGAGATGGATGCCGCGGAGGAGGAGTACTTCGATACCTCGGATGACGAGGAAGATGAGGTATGCTTCTCGTCTCGTGAATTTAAACATGACGAATGGGAGGGAGTTGGGCAAGAACATGACATGAGCGTCAAGTTCAGTCAGGCGCATTGTTATCGTGATGGGACATCGGTACTCATTGTCGATTGCCAACAGGACAAACCACAGCGGATGGATGCCACGGCGACGAATGCGAATGCGAATGCGAACGTGAACCCGCCGACGGCTATCGCGGTTAACGGATCTGCGTCGCCTATTGTCAAACCCTTGGTCGATTACCCGGACGATGACGACGAGGAGGACGTAATGGATATAAATGTCCAAAGTCAGCAACCGCAACAGACAGAACTCCAACCGTCAGACTCGCTAGCCAGCTCCATTGAGCAATCAGAACAACTACGACCGCAAACACAAACACAGTCCGAGCCAACCTCAACGACGTCACCAGACCGTTCCGCCACCCTCAGCCCACGTCTCCCCCCTTACCGCTACACAGAGAAACGCCGGCGCGAAGAAGACGATGACGACGATGAACTCGTCAAGTTATCCTCGGGCACGAAACGGCGGAGCTCAAGCCTTAGCAGCATCGGCTCATCGGGAAGCATCGGAATTGGTATTAGCTCATTGAGAAAGAAGAAGAGTTTCTCCGGCGTGGGGAAGAATGATGAACGCGAGCGTGAGAGTGGCAATTTTGATGATGGGACAGGGCCAATGAAATCTGCAGCGGCGGCAACGACCGTGACGACGACAACAACAACGACAGGAACAGGAACAGGGACTGCTGGTGCTGGTGTTGGCGCGGTCGGGAAGAAGATTTCGATTAATCTGAACTTGTCGACATTGAAAGCTGATCCGGCTGGGGCCAAGAAAAGAACTGTGGGAACGGGAACGGGACCCGAGCTTGGAACCGGGACCGAACCCGGAACCCGAACGAGTCCGAAAGCGGGCAGGCCCACCGCATCCACATCCATCACTGCTGGCGACGAAAGCGATGATGGTGGCGGTAGTGGCGGTGGTGGTGGTGGGGATCATGGAGGCCCCGAAGCCAGGGTTGATGTCGATACTAAATAGAAACTCGGATTCACACTTCTGGTCTCTTCTCTGCTTTTTTCTTTTTTTTTTTTCACCGCCGCGTTGCGTTGCGATGCGATGCGTTTCATGGAATTGAATTGAACTAAATTATCGAATTGAACTGTGCCAGTGCGCTGCGCTTTTTATCCCTCTTGTTCTGAAAACTTGGGATCTTTTTGCTTGTGCCACAGGCATTGGTTTTTGGTCTTGGTTTGGTGGGTGTTAAAAGGTTCTTCTCCGCCGGTTTTCTGTTTCTATTTTTATTTCATCAATTTATACTTTCATATTTCTTTTCCCTTTTTTTTCTTTTTGTCCCTGGCTCATTCCTTCTCCTGGCCGCACCCTGTTCTATATAAAAATTTTCTTCCCCTCCCGTTTTCTCGTTGTTAAGGTGAAGGTGAAATGAAATGAAACAGTGAGGGCGATTTGCATGAGTCGTTTTGTGAAGTTATATTACTCCACTTGTTAAAATCGGCCTTCTAATTCCGTTTCACCACATGTGTATGTATGTGATGTGTCTATCTATGCATTTTCCACTTTGAACTTTTTCGCACAAGGTTTGTTATTACAGCAAAGAGGGGGACAGGAAGATTCATTAAAGGAAGGGGGAGAAAAAGGGGAAAAGAGGCTGGTTATGTAATGAACATTCTCAGAATAAACTCTTGAGAGAAGTGGATATTTTATATCATGTGATTTAGTGTCCCAGGAGGTGGTGTGTCCCAAGAAGTGGTGAAGTACGTTAGCTACTCAGGCATTGAGTCTGAGATACTGAGACACACAGCCCGAGGACCATTCTTGACTGATGAGGGGTAAATTGTCACAGAGCCATCCGGACACTGACATCTGTGGGGCTTAACTATGTACTGTATGTATGAAATACAGGTTTCATAGCAGCATGACATTTCAAGTGATAGAGCCCTATCCGCCCGTATAGGCCCCGATGTTAACATTGATACTTGTCTTCTAATTGTAGAGCTTACTACATGACATGCTGTCTAAATTTCTCAAACTATTCAAATAATTCAATTTTTTATATAATAGACTTATTATTTATCAAATAATAAGTATATAATACTTCTGACATTCAAACATGAAGAGAATAATATCTATCATCTATATTTTTACAGGAATTTAAATATCTCAATCGAGACTGTCACAGAAAATGCAATTACGTATTATAGCACTTTGATTTTATCAGAAGTAACATAGTTGATTCTTCTAAGAAATAACTAAAGAAGGAAAAGAAGAACAAGGAGAGATGACATGCATCATTCAAGAGACAAAGTGCAACTATAGAACAAATGTTATCCACATAATTATGTGTGGTACAGGTCAAGTCTTTCTAGATAGTCACTCTCCATTTCTCCCTGAATTACCTAGATACAATAAGCAGTGCCATTAGGGCCGTCTTTGCAAGTAGGTCGACCACTTGGACTGCTTCGATTCCTGCAGATGGATGAGAGTTTCCAATTTCCTGATGAGGTACAGACATCAACCCAGCAGTCGGTCGATTGTCGTATACACACGCATCGATATGAGCCAGGCCGACATCCAAGAGAGGTAAAATCGGCAGCCGGAGGCGCGTCTTCAGTAGGGGCAGCCAACACGAGTGGTGCAAGGAGCAGGACCAGGGCCATAGCTTTGTTGATGAACTGCATTGTCAAATGATGAATCTGACTTGTCGCTGTCATGTTAGATTTGAGTACTCATGTTGCTTGAACAAAATATTGCACTATTATAAGATGAAAGTGAAACAAACCTTGATCTGCACTTTTTTAAGTGTTTGTTTTAAATATTAAGATATTTGACCTTCAAAATGACTAGATATAAATTCAAGAAACTAGGTTAGCAAAGTTGAAGTCTGAAAATACACATATATATAAACAGAAGACTTCTCACCTGTAGAATAGAATGAAAGAAAATTTGTTTGTTCTCTGATCTGAATTTTCCAAAATCCAAAACCTGAGAATAGATAGGAAGCTCTCTTATATAGTAATATTTCTTATACTCTTAATTTCCGAGGGTTACAATTCAACTCTATCAACTAATCTAGAACTTTCACACCTGTTCAGAGAGGGGTTGATGCATTTACCATGTTATACACGGACTCTGTGTTCGAATATCTAACGGTGCTACATAGTAAGCATTTTATAAGAGACCCTGGTGACTGAAGCACCGTAGAATTTACCGGACTACCACATAATAGCCAGATTCATTTTGGATTCGATTCTAGACCAGCTTCATCCATCTAATGCTGGTAGAGAATGCGGTGTTATACTAATATGTTTGTAGTACATACATACTCGGTCAATTCACTCATTGGAAGTCTCCGAGTCAGAGCCACAGCCATTTTAACTCTCCATTCTTCCCTTTTCTTTCCGAGCCAATAGCTTCATTGACCGCCAGGTTGTTTCAATTTGCGGAGTTGTCGATACTGGGCAGATCAGGCTACCTCAGGGAACACGTTACGATCAACGGCGGATATAAAACTTTACCACATGATCTGTAAACGAGGGTCCGACCAGAGGTTGAGGTGAGCGGTAGCTGGCGAATCATCTAGGGGAAAGGGAAGCCAGAATACACATAAAGAACAATCCCCGAGCGCCCACAAATGCCACGATTTATATAAAACAACTCCAACCCCCATCCCGATAACTAGTAATTAATTCACTTGAACAGCACGATCCAGCCAGCCCCCAAGTCTGAGGCTCACAATACGAGCCAGGTCCGTGGACCCATCCGCTTGCACACCCGTTTCCTCGAAATCCTGGAGTAGTTTATCAATATATTTGCCCGCCCCTGACAGGTGGAGGATATACGCAATGGCCCGGTGTAGAGCAAGTAGCCGGGGGGAGGGAGCATCTATCACCCTTCCTTCGCTGAGAAAGAGTTTGCGAGTAACAGGTAGGCCAAGACGCGCTGCCGAAACTGGATGGAGGAAACTGCCTATGCGATAGGTATGCTCCTCACCGGCGACGGCATCAAAGTATACCTGAAAGTTGCCAAAGAGTGCATGGAAAGTAGGAGTCAGGCTGATGGCATTGCGCGGGCTGTCAATATGATCCCCCTCAATGAGATGAGCCACGTCGCAATCAAACATGTTGAGGATGCCAATGGTGGTCCTTCTGGCGTCATTCTGTCTGTCATTTAGCTATGGTGAAAAATCTATTTGGAATAGATAACTTACCAGCTGTAAATTCTCGCTCATTTTTGTAAGAGAGTGGGGAAGTATATGAGCCACTTCCAGGGTTGTGGTTGTAACCTCATTGGTAAGCAGATTCCCATCATCATCTCGAGCATCAAAACCGTGCTGATTTGATCGCTTTATATCTTGTTGGATGTCAAAAACTCGGGAGATCACACAACGATGTTTGTCACGAGCAAGGCAAAGAGCTCGAAGGTATGAAACTCGGTCAAGGGTGCCACTGATTTCATGCGGTGAACGTACGCTTTGCATTGCTGAAAGCTGTGCAGGAGAGGGCTGTGGTGTAATTTTTCCATTTGCTTTCACTGATGAAGGTTAGTAAATTTGGAAATCATAGGTGTGGGCATAGCACAAACATGGGAAGAAGAACTGCTCGAGGAGCATGTCTGCAAAGTCAATGAATTTTTGACGGATCTGACTATCATCAGTGTTGATATCTTCACTACTGCTGATATCTAATCCCATAATATTGAAGAAAACCCGCAGGAATGTATCCTTGGACATCTCAGAGCGCGAATATTCGTAGGTATGACGGACGAGCAAATGACGACTATATCCGCTCTTGGAGCCAACGTGATTGGAAACGTGGTCGATAATATCGTTTAAGGCCCCTCGGGCGCGAGAGCGCTCATCTGTAGTTAAGGGACCTAGTTGGGAGCAGTTGATGATATCCTCTAACGATGCTTGATGACGATGGTGAGGCTGGGGTTGAACTTGAGAGCCGGAAGATAATCGGAAGGAGCCTTCATAAAACGACTGGGGACGGTTCTGGGATGCCATGGTGCAGTGGGTGTAAGGGAAAAAGTCATTTGTGTCGGACGTCTGAGTGGTTGAATTGATTGCTATCTGCATATGCAGTGTTCGAGTGCCAGTCCGTAATAGGCAGGCCCACCGCACGTGATGAACGCTATTGCAGGAGGTAATGTTGTTGTGTTGTTATTAACTGTTCTGCTACTGTATGGCTTGTATTTTCTTGTGAATGGATATGGATATTCAGAGAGGATACAACGGCGTGGCAGATGACTACAATATATTTAGTCCAATTCTAGGCTATTAGTTCCAAGGTGGCTAGCCGTCAGGCCTTATCGGCCTGATTGGCGTTGTCCTTGCTAGATCGCCGATGGACCTAGTGTACTAGTCGCCTTAAGAAACTGGATATATAGACTCATTTTGAGTAACCTCCTACAGATCGTCGTTCCGATATATCATCCGAGAGGAACTTTGATTTCAGAACACAAACCTGAGCTCGAATACCACATGGATCCCTACCAGAAACCCTTTTCTAAATGCTCTCTAGGTAATTATTACAAACCAGCTAGCCCCTCACACTGCTGTACGAACATGCAACCAGCATAATGTGGCAGTATACAAATCCCCAGTGACGTATTTTCCCCCAAATCAATGATCGAGGACTTTCCTCTTTGAGACCAGTGAATAGCCAACACATCGACAGCCTTCGTTCCTGATATTCCCTTCCACCCTCCACCCTTTCCCATCTCTAGTTCTCTTCCCGCAACACCGGCATCTGTTGTTATATCAGCTTGTGTGATTTTGAACCAGCGCCCCCCCACTACAGCTCTCTATTTTGAAGCACATCTATTGCCTCCGTTCTTTGCTATTTCCAGACCCGTTCGGTTTTCACAACCGGCTTCATGTCAAATTCTCCCTCCCTTCCAGATCCTGGATCAAATCCAGTTGAGGAAACGGCCCTGGCAGGTGGTAGACTGGTTTTACCGGCTACGGGCCCTTCCGGCACGAGTCCGTCACGGCCTATGCCTGAACTAGAGAGTGTAACTCCAAAACTGCCAGCTTGGAATGACACCGCTGAGGCGATACATTGGTTTGTCCACGTGAGAGCAGCTCTGAAAAGCGTTGTTTATCGATATTGCGACGCGTTGAGAAGGTCTATTGCTATCTTTACTCAACACAATGCGACCCAATATAGCGACTACCAACCCTTGACTGAACAGCTGAACAGTGTTCGGATTATGTGGAAAATGTTTGCGAGTCAAAACGATGTTACGCCAGGGTTTTTAGAGAGCTGTGTGGTTTCTTTTGATTTCAACGGTGCAGTGAAGCATATGAAAACACCTAGAACGGGGTCAAAGGAAAGTGCTTCCGAAATGAGACAGCTCCGAGACCTGACCAGAGGCATTATTGAGGAAGCCTGTGTGCTTCAAGGGCTCATTGAGGAGGCAAACCTGCGGTTAGCAGAAGAACAACTGAATGAGGAAAATGTTCTACCTCAGTTACCAGCATTTTCAGACCTCCCCGTACTTACTACCATACCTACAAGATCGACGTCGACTACAATGATGGGAAATACTGCTATGGAACGAATTTTCTCTTCTGTTAGCCATAGCTCGTCCGCAAGTCTCTCTGATGAGCCTGCAGCATTACCTCCAATTGCCAGTGAATCGCTTGGGGATACAAAACATGAAGCAGACAGCGAAGGGAATAAGGAGGATGATGATGAAGAGGAGAAGGAAGCGGAGAAGGAAGCGGAGGAATCAGATGAATCAGATGAATCAGAGGAAGAGGACAACCGCTACTATCCCTTCAAAGTGCGACTTCCCGATGAGTTAGATTTGACGCAATTCGATGCTGTTTGGACGAATGAAGATGGGTATCCTGGCGATGTCCCGGAGGAACTTAAAGATTATTTAGAATATACTCGTAAGTCTATGCCTAGTGCCTCAAGCAATCTATTGCGACTTAAACATATGCTGACATTTGCCATTTAGGCGGTGCACAGATGATTGGCTCTATTCGAAGCATCTTTTGGCTTGATGGCGTCCAAGAGATGGTGGATGCTATAGATGACCCAGCGTTCGTAATAGAAGATGAAATAGCCGAGTGTCCGCTTGGATGTCTGCCTTCAGCATTTCTGCTAGGACGCTACGCCGAGGAGGGAAAGGTTCCACAAAATGTTTTTGACAAGTATATGGTGGGCATCGAGCGTCCACCTGAAGACAGGGTTCAAGTCTGGGTTACCAGAGATTTTGAAATTCCACAACAGGTCACTGGGGATCTGCAGCAGCATCGCATTGCCAACATGTACCCATTTACAAGACCACGTTTCTTTCCAGAGACCGTGCGAGCCCTGCGGATAAAGCATGACAAGAAGAAAGAGCGGTTTCTTGCAACTTGCCACAGGAAATTTGATGACAATTTTCTGACCCGTGAGGATATTCTCTTCCGGGGCCTTAACCGTACGGCTGTTGCAGCATCCTTGGCGCTATTAGTTCCAACAATTTGTAATAACGCATACGATAATGAATTTGGTCCTGGGATCTATACTACACCAATTCTTGAGGCTGCTAAGAGCTATGCCGGGGTCGATGGTGCCATTATGGTGTTTGAAAGAAATCTGAAAGACTTAAATGTCTGGAAACCTTCACAAGACGAGTGGAAACGCCTGACCGCCACATGGCTACAGTTACCACTCAAGGATATAGCGATCCCAGAAAATTTCCGAGATGCTGATGTTATAATCGGTCCCATGTCCACTGGTGCACGCGATGCAAAGAAGCAGGCGCGATTCCCTATGCAGCAGTTAGAAGACACCCAGGTAGTCTTCACAAGCTATCGCTCATGTGAAAGGCTATGCAGTCTCCTTCGTGCTATTATTTTCATCGAAAATTGATGTGCGGCCTTGTACGATACTCTAGCTGGCTGCCAGATGTGTTTTAATGTATTAATAGTGTAGTCTATTCAAAAAGTTCATAGTTACATAATTACTAGCACTTAATATCCAGTATCGAGCTTACAATATGAATAAAGTTTTATTTGATCTTTAAGTCTGTTTTCCTGTTATTAAATTGCTTTAAAGTCCAATATGTCCTAAATGTGCTAAATATTGCTGTAGTTTATAATAATAACTAGTCTACTTGTAGTTAACTATAGATTTTCAGTGTTTCACTATGAAGGATCTGAATACAAGATCATCACAGATTCAAATCAATAAATACTTTTAAAATACACGATAATACTTCTGCTTTTGGTGCAGTAATTTAGTCCCGACAGCCATTCTAGCCATAAATGCGGGGGAGTCTGGCGGGGTAGTGAAGTTGACTTGTTGATGGCCGAGCAACGGTGTTTCAATGGTCGAAAGCTAAGTCATCCGGTTTAAATCTTGGGCGGAGAGAGATCCTTTCAATCGTCCGCTCGACAAATTTCCACCTATAAGAGTTGAATCCCCGAGACCGTCATAATCTGAGCCACTTCGCCATGCCTGACCTAAGGCATGCATGGGCCAGATGGTCAGCATAGGTCATTTCAGCAAAAAAGTGATGGCTAGGGACTGAAATCGCGTGCGAACCAGCTCGAAGTTGCACCAACGCCTTCATAGCCAACCATTATCATTGCTAACAACTGCGAGCTTGTCAGTGCGATGTTTCAGATTCACGCGGCGAATCTAAGGAGACAAAAAGATGGTGGCTCTAAAGATGTGTCATCTTGTCCCATTATTAACTACCACCCTCCTTGGCTCTCTGACCACATTTTGTTCGAGCATCTCGGCTGCCCCACCGGTGGTTCACAGGATGGATCATACAGTGGAAGCACAGACCCCTACCTTTCTACCACCAAAAGCTTTACTATCCAGTTAAGATTGGTCACGTTTTCAACAGTCAGTACCAAATAATTGCGAAACTTGGTTATGGCACATACTATACCGTTTGGCTTGCATGGGACGAGAGGTTTCAATTCCTTTTTGAACGAGCTATATCCTCATTGCTAACTTGGATGTAGAGCGAAAGAATATACCTCATTCAAGATTTGCATTCAAACTGATAATACTGAGTCTTCTCCTGTCCTTAACGAACTCAACATGCTCCACCGCTTGAACGAGTTCATCAAAGAGGACCAACCTTGGCTTAACTTTACGCCTCTTGCACAAGACATACTGGTAAGCCTACTCAATATATGCTTAACATGTTGGGGGGAGTTTGGCTTTGTATATTTATAATGAATCAACAGACATTTCGCTGCAAAATATTTTGATGGAAATTGATGATGATACCAGTTTTAAAAGATGTTGAGAATAAGGAGTCTCAAAACCCAAGTGTCCTATTGGTCTTGCATAATGGGGCTGCCTCTACTATTGTCTATAGATCTCAACCTACCATGTCAGGACTCTCCGGTCACCCCATTCTTACAGACTTTGGTCAAATGAGGTTAGTGGAAGGACGCGCAAATCAGGATTGGTGGATGTCTGATCCATATCGGGCCCGGAAGTGCGTTTACAGCTCCCTGGGGGGTTCCCAGTTGATATGCGATCAATCGGTGTGATAGTGAGTTCAATTAATACCATTGGAAGCGCATACAGATGTAGTCCAGAGCGAAAAGTTTACTAATTCATTCCGTTATAGACACTCGAACTTTTGGAAGGCAGAAGCCTTTTTTGATCTGATAGATCGTCCCCACGGTCAATACGTACTTCCATTGGCTTTGGCACAATACATAGGATATCTGGGCCTTCCGCCTCTAGAAGTGATCCGTCAGAGCCCACTCTTCTCGACCTACTTTGATTCAGAGGGTAAGTACGGTCCACTGGATTCTTCTGGCTACTTCCTTCGAATGCCATTCCTCACGTTAAGTGAAACAGGGAATTGGATATCCGAACCCCTGGTATCCAGCACCATTTAATTGGGATCGTAACGTAACGGGCATGAAATGTAACATGATCGGCCAAACCTCAAACCGCACCCTCTTGGGGCGGATCTTCAAGAGCGGCCTCTTGCGTCGCTTAAGTGGTCTGCGGCTGTCTAATTTCCCGCTGTGAAACCCCTTCAGCAACACTTGGCATTCGCTTATCTTTAGGTTCCCAAGAAGGAGGGTAGCGGCTAGCCTCTCCGTTTTGACAAAGTACGTACCAGCGCAGCTCTCCCCGACCTCTCTTCCTCGTCTTTAACTCTAGGATATCATCTATCAGCCACAGCGCTCGAAAGTGTATAACATCAAAAACTGAATAAGATCAAACCAAAAGAGACTGGATTTGAAATTCGTGGTCTCAGTGACTAGTCTACATATACAATCTATTTAGTTTAAAACTTCAGTTTTGTAAACAACACTTAAAATATCATTCTGTTGGCATCCCTATTGCTCGCTAGAATGCCACGTGACCACACCTATTTAAGCAGTTCTGCGCCCGCTAGATAGTTACAATGAACCAACCTTCCACCTCCATCACATTCTAAATTTAACTTCCTTATATGAAGAACACTTCAAGATTGTTGGCCCTAGGCTGCCTATCACGGACTAGCGCACCGCACATATATGCCTCAGCTGCCTACATGCTAATACAACCACTTAGACGTCTCACAAAAATTCCTCACAAGTGCCCCATCTTCTACTAGGACCAAGCACACAGGTCTGACAATGAGGATTATCTACCATGCAATCTATATGTACCCGACACATATACTCAGCACAGAAGTCAGAACGGGCAAATTGAAAACCATGATTATATTTATACTTATAGACTGTATTAGATGAAAAGCTATTTTTATTAGTTCTAAAATTCTACACACCATTAGTAAATGTTTTCAACAATATATTATAAATATTTCTATAATAGTGTATATTATATTATATTATAACAAAACATTTGTTGACAATGTTTTTCATCTAAAAACAATGATTATTTTATTTTTTATCAATCGCTAAGATTGAAAAAGGAAAATATATATATAATTAACACTTACTTTACTTTCTTGGGAAAATGCAGTGACACAATTCAAAATTAACATGATTAATAGATTAATCCCAATTTGTTTCATTATAAGTTAAATAATAAACTAGGATACTATTAACGATATATTAATATATAAATAAACTACTGCCATTACAGCAAAGTCATGGGGGAAAAAGCAATTAATATGTAATGCGCACGCCTTAAATTGATACGTAGCTAAACCAAATTGGTTGAAGCCATAATTGCTTATATACTGGTGGGCGTACGGCATATACAAATTCATAACCAGCTCAATTAAAATTACTCAGTTCCTTTTAAGAGAGGTGTGGATTTCATTGACAATAATTAGCAGTAGTCTATAAGCGAGTCGGCCAAATAAGCGAGTCACCTTGTGCTGCCCTATCAAATTTGGATGTAGAGATATCTATTTGTTTGTAATGTTTGTTTTCAGAAGTATCTCTACATCCAAATTTGATAGGGCAGTACAAGGTGACTCGCTTATTTGGCCGACTCGCTTATAGACTATGTTAATAAAATTAACTGGTGTGTTGAATCTCAAATACAATAAAAGCATGAGGTTACAGTTGAATGCAGTTTACAGAAACTGAATATACTATGTATTTAATGACAAAGTTTGATTGATTATGCTGGAATACCACGGGATTTTTGTTAGGGCCACCCTGATATTTTAGTGGCATCTAACCTTCATTTTGGGGGTTATATGTGGCATTCTCGCGTTGAGCGTGTTTTTCATTATTATAGAATGATATATATATGGAATCTATAATCATATTAATATCTAGTATAGTCATCATCTGTCTGTATAGCTGCCTGATAGTGAGCTGATATCTCTGCTAGAAGCTTCTATACCTGCTTCTCTATTATAGTGTCTCAGACAGCTCTAATCACTTCTCAAAGTGCATCATAAGAAAGATTCTTCTCATGCTCATGATTCCCCTGTATCTACAGCTTTATAAGATTTTATATAGTTTCAATTAAATTTAGATCTGATGAATATAATAGTCAAGATAATTCTATATTCTTAAAGGAATTGTGTATGTATAGAGGAAATAAGAATGAGAAGCTTATATATGGGGAAATTTGCGGACGCGCAACCTCGGGATCAAGGTTAGCAGGGCGGCCCTAACGAAAATATAAGGGTTGCAACTACCGGACATGTGACTGAAGGTTTTGTGTTGGCCCTAGGCTACCTATTACGGACTAGCGAACGGCACCTAGATGCCTCAGCCGCCGACAAGCTTCTCACATTTTGTAAGAGGGGTTGAACCTGGTTGGTTATTATGTATGATCTATCTAGCAGCGAGCAACTAATATATATATACGCAGCGTATATGTGTGTGGGTGGGTCACGTGGGATTGGGCTTGTGGACCTCGGGAGGACCTCCAACAGGGTTCAACATGTTGGGGGTTTGGATTGGTTCGTCCCCTCTACTCCCAGCATGGCGCTGGTGGTGATCAAGCTCTTTTGCCCCAGTGGCTTAACACAACACCTCCACTCACACTGTTCGCATCATCCATACTAGCTGAATCGACACAAACAGAAAACAAGAGATGAACCAGCTAGCCACACCCCATATCACCACAAACAGCTTTTTAACATTCACCAGTACGAGTTGCACAGCAGACGAGCCCGAATCTATACTGCTATACTTCATCCCTGGAAATCCAGGGCTGATAGCTTACTATCATACGTTCCTGTCCCTGCTGAGTTCAACTCTCATATCCAGTGCCGAGTATAGTGACTATGATGACGGGAGTGCCGAAAACAACAGCAGCACGGCCAGCAGTAGCCGCATGGGCAAAGTCCCCCAATACATCATCCACGGGAAAAGCATGGGAGGTTTCGAGATTGTTGAAAACGGGAAACATGTGAGTTGTTGTAGTCCGCCCCTCACCAATATCAAAGCAAATGGAGGGATGGAAACACAATCGCAATCGCAACCGCAAGCACATCATCACCCAACAACAAAGACAGACAAGTTATACAGTCTCTCTGAACAAATTGAGCATGTGGAGCGGAACCTAAACAATTTCGTGGATGCGTGGCATGCGAGAAAACGGGCGCAGACTAGGGGAAATGACCTCAGCGATGATCAAGGACGATGGCGGCACTTTGGGGGTGTCAAGGTGATATTGATCGGACATTCAGTCGGTGCCTATATCGCTATGGAGATTCTTAGACGGCATCGGGAGGGCATCAAGCAGAAGGGAGCATCAGCCGATACAGGGGGGGCCGGCATTGGTGCTACTATGGATATCGTTGGCGGAATCCTCCTCTTTCCTACCGTAGTTGATATTGCACAGAGTTCGTCTGGGAGGAAGTTGACTGTTCGTTTTTGCTCCCTTTCCACTCAGTTCTGTGCTGAATCATTGTTGTTTCCTTTCCCCCTACCTCAGCCCCTTAAATATTCTCGGTCTTGGGGCTTACGCCAACTCACCCCCCATGCTTCGCGATATGATATGTTTTCTGATTATCCAATCTTTGCCCTGGTCCCCTCTTTGCTACGAATGCTGTACGAGCTTCCTTCTAACGACTATTCAAAATTCGCAGAAACTTCTCTACGCACCTTACCTGGCGTTCCTTACAAGTCTACTCGTCAAATTCCTGATATTTATGCTGCCGGGATCCTGGTTACGTAGTATTGTGGGTAGAGTTATGGGTTCGCCGTCGGAAAACGCAATTGATACAACAGTGGCGTTTTTGAAGAGTGCACGGGGTGTTGAGCAAGCGATGTAAGTAATATACACTGTGTTTCACTCTTTTAAAATATGCTCCCTTCTGTTTGTGACTCTTTCCCTTTGCTTCGTGTTTATCGTTCCCTTCTTCCAAAAGTCCATTTCTCTGATTCCATATTTGCGCGTATGGAATAATGCCCATATGTATTGAACTGCTGACTGGTTGCACGATCCTCTATTCGTCTTAATGGCTATTTTGGTGATGTTACATTTTACATCAAAAGTGTGGGACAACAAATACCCACACAAATGTTCGTGGGAAATCAGAGAATTGAAGTAAAAAAAATGGCCTTTCCTTACTAATTAATCAACTGCCTCTCACAGACACATGTCCGCAGACGAGATGCGCGACATAACATATGATAAATGGAGTGACGAAATATGGGGTATAGCATCATCGTCATCTGAATCCTCGCCCATGTCAGCTTCAAGCTCAGAAGAGACGCCACTGAATCTGGTGCTCTACTTTGCGAAGCAGGATCACTGGGTAGCTGATCGGACGAGGGACGAGATCATTCGAGTGAGAGGTGGTGTGGGAAGTAGTTCGGGTAGTAATGGTCCCAGGATGCAGGTGTGCGAGGACGGAGTGGTGCATGGATTCTGTATCCGTGAGTGTTTGATTCTTTTCTTCATCCTTTCGCAATTTCTCATCCTCCTGTTCCTTGTAAGAACTTTATGCGTTCGGGGGATGGCCAGTAATCATTGCGGCATATGGCTAACTCCTTTCCCATTCCTCATACATAGAACATAGTGACATCATGGCAAAGAAGACCGCCGGATGGGTTAGGGATATTGTCCAACGACAACAGAACCTGCCGAATGTTCATCATAGACACATAGGCAGATAGATAGACAGTATACATGCATAGAACCATACTCTTATTAGCTCCCGTTCCGACAAAGAGATGGCGCCTGTGGATGACGGAGACGTAAGCCGGAGGGCGCCTGTGTATATCTCATGCCATTACCTAACGCCTTTCCTCCCAATCAAGGCACCAAGACAATCGTAGAATGTATATTGAAACAGCCTCCAAATCACTGTGCAGGAGATTGATACGCCTTTCTGAAAAGCGCACCAAGTACATCATTCCCTGTAGTTGTTGGCGGTTGCGGTGGAGCAGCCGGCGGAGTCGGCCAATCTTGGCCTCCCTGCGGCTGCTGTTGCTGCTGTTGCTGCTGTTGCTGGTGGAGCTGTTGCTGTGCTAACTGTGACTCTGAATCGACTGTTCGTAACTGGGGACTATGGACCTTGACACTCCACTCATCATCTTGTTTTCTCTGCTGCCCAAACAACTCTTTCAGCGAAATCTGTCGGCCCATGGGTACACCACCCTGATATAACCCCTGGTCTCCATGACCCTGGGCGTCACCCTGATTCCGCTCCGCGGTAACCCTCTCTAGTGCAAATCTCCTACTCTCCCCACCATGTACGGCACACTCCTTAATAATCTGCGCATTCAAAGCCCTAGTCTCCGCCGTAGAGCTGGGTGGGGGCTCCGAGAAGATCCACAGCCCATAAATAACTGACTGGCGGCCGTCTGCCGCCTTGATCGTAGTGGCGCCAGGCTCCGCGCCCGTCGACGCGACCTTCAAAATGACATATTCATCCGTAATTTCCACATCATCGCCGTCCGCAAGATTGGCTTCGAAATTCTGCATGCCACGCCGGTTCAGGACCAGCACGCTATAGCGCTCCTCGCCCAGCTCGCCCTGGGTCAGCTGGCAGACGAACATGGTGCCTTCAATTCCGCTCTTCTCCCACAGCTGCGTTGTAGCGCTGAAATTGTAGACTACGGCGTACGGGGCTAGGGAGAGGATGGAGAGGATGTCTGGATAGTGGCGCCGGAGGACAGCCAAGTTCAGCTCCTCGTTCGTGCGCGTTGGGGGTTTCGGCTGTGGAGAGTCAGTGGCTATAGACGTGGAGCCATTAGCAGTAATCTGGGTGTCTGAGATGTAGTTATTTTGAATATCTGATTCGTAGTCGGAGGGCTGGGCGAGGTTTGAGGGATTGCGGTTGTGGGAAGATCGGTGGGAAGGTTGTTGAGGATTGCTGTTGGACACGTTATTGCGCCGGTTTTGACCGCGCCTGAGAGTCATGGCTGTGGCTGCTGTGTTATGATATTGTATAACAGATATATTGCTGTTGGGGGAAGGGAAAGCGACGGTGGAGAGCGTTGACGTTGGGGGGTTGAGGCTGGTGACAACTTTCGGGCGGGCCAAAAGCTCGGCGCCGTCAATGACGTGTGCATGAACAATCAACAATCCTTACACATATACCAATCCTTCATTACCCTTCGTTTTTCCTGCAGCGAAATGTGATTCCAATTGATATGCCCTGAATTCATTTGTTCCTCCCGGGTCTTCATCTAATAGCAGGACGAAAGTTTATTTAGCCACCAACTTGGCACAGCAGCCTAAGAAGCATCCAGCTGACCAGTTGGCACAAGGACACAAGGGCTGGTGGACATATATATTTGTCTCCACCTGCTCGATGTATCAACGTTCTTTATTTCTGCCACCATGAGGAGGAGATAAACGAGGCTGGGGCTTTGAAATATCTAGTCATCCTCAAACTGTTATCTACCTCCCGCAAACCATGGCCAGCGGTGGTTCCCGCAACCCCGCTGTCAACTCCGCAGACCTGCCAGGCGCTTTCCCCGACACCCTTGACAACTATGACGGAGATGACTCCCAATACTCTGGTCTCCGGTCTATCTCTCAAGCTCTCAAAGCCAGGAGATCTGAATATATCCGCCCGCATAAACTCCACGTGAAAATTGGGACGTGGAATGTCGCCGCCATACCTGGGACAGAGGACGACTTAACGTATTGGTTCGTTAAGCGATCTGGACGATCGTCGAATCCACAGCATAATGTTTCTGGCGGTAGGATGGATAATATACATGCGGGGTTAGGGTATATGAAGAACGGCCGTAAGCACTCTGGCGAGGCGGGAAGCTGGGTTGACCAGCAATTAGCGGGGGGTGGTTTTGCGCAGTTGGCAGCCGGTAACCCTTCTTCCTCTGGAACTGGGGCTGCGGGTGCAGATGACATTGATATTTATGTGCTGGGGCTACAAGAAATTGTGGATGTTTCATCTCCGTCAGAGTCACTGAAGCCGTTTGTCGACTCCGCGCCGTCCGATCGATGGAAGGAAGCGGTTCAAAATGCGTTACCCCCGGGATACAAATTGGTAGCGTCACAACAACTGGTAGGACTGCTTTTACTGGTCTTCGCATCTCCATTGGTGGCGCCAACCATATCTTCTGTTAGTTCTGTGGGTGTGGGCACGGGGCTGATGGGGTACATGGGAAATAAAGGCGGAGTAGCTACGCGGATAGTTGTGGGAGGAACAACTCGACTCGTCTTTATCAATTGCCACTTAGCAGCTGGTGCAGACAAGGGGAGTTTAGATAGGAGGAACTGGGATGTTTCGCAGATTATTAGCCGCGCTAAATTCGACCCTATAGATGCCGAAGAGGATATCCTTGAGGACTACGGTAACACGATCGGGGATGAGGACTTTGCGTTTTGGTTTGGTGACCTCAATTATCGACTGGACGATATACCTGGAGATGATATACGCCGCCTACTACATTTGCATACGGGAAATACGTTTGGCGCTATGAGGTCTCCTTGGATTCCTGATGAGAATATGCCACTTTCCCCTTCATCACAAAGCAGCGATGGCGATGGCCATGCTTACTCTGGCCAACTGCCAATACACCAGATGTCAAATCCAGGATCTCCTAAGCCGCCTATATCCCTGGAGGACAATTGTATCGTGGAACCGCTTCTTGATCCAACATCTCTTGAGACTACCCTTTCCTCTCTACTCCCTCATGACCAACTTCACAGACAACAGCGTACCGGGAAAGCACTTCAAGATGGTTGGAGAGAGGGAGATATTTCATTTCTGCCAACCTACAAATACGACATTGGAACCACAGGCACATTTGACTCGAGTGAAAAACAACGTGGGCCAAGTTGGTGCGATCGAATCCTATTTCGAACACGGCGTGATCGTTTAGAATATAAACGGAAGGTTAAAGAGGCTGAGGAAGCAAAGAAAAGAGACGAGGAAATGAAGGCTCTTGGTCTAGGACTGGGAGCGGAAGAAGATAACATTCTTTTTGACTACGATCCGGACTTAGATGGCGCCAACGATTATAACGATCAAGAAGATGTGGGGGATTCTACAACTCCTTCTTGTGATGGCCAGGCGGAACCGAAAGACACGATCCAGATGCTTTATTATACATCACATCAAGAGATCGTGTCATCCGACCATAAGCCATTGGATGCGGAATTTATCCTCAGTTTTGATGCCGTCGACCCGGAGCTGAAGGCTAAAATCCATCAGGAAGTTGTTCGGGAAATAGACAAAGCAGAAAACGAGGGTCGCCCGGGGGTGACAATTGTTGTAGAAAATCAACCAGAGAATAATATGGGAGACAACGAAACGACTTCCGTTGCAAATGATCCGAATGCTGTCAACTTCGGTCAAGTACGATACGATGTTCCCGTGTCGCGAAACTTGACTATTGCAAATACAAGTGGAGCCCCGGCGATGTTGAATTTTCATTATCGGCCTTCAGGCAAAGGGGGCGAAGGAAGTTCGACTCCTTCCTGGTTTCATATTCGGGTGGATGCATATCCTGATGGTGATGGCCAACATCCAAAAGATCACCAGGAGTACACGCTACAGCCTGGTGAAACGATGAATGTACAGCTAATTCTATGTATATACGACATTAACTATGTCCGAGATCTAAATAAAGGGAGGGCGAAAATCGAGGACGTATTAGTTTTACAGCTCACTAACGGGAGGGACTACTTCATCCCGGTATACGCTTGCTGGCTTCCGACATGTTTTGGCTTCTCTCTAGATGAGCTTACGCGGATGCCTGAAAATGGGGCTCGACACCTGGATATCAACGGTCAATCGTTACTCTCAAGCGAAAGTCGTGAAGACGAAGGTAGCCGCGTATCAGCTCCTCGCGAACTGTTCAGATTGACAGACGCGATAGCTGAGCTTACCGAGCGAGCTGTCGTGGAGTGGGGAAAGCTTGGGGATAAAAATTACGAAACCGATCCACCGCCGTGGGATTCTGAGATAACAGGATGGCCGTTCGAAGAGAAAACATGGGCCTTGACAGATAATCACGAACGATATCACCTGCTTTCCTGCACCCGAGATGCCCTGGACACTAATGCGTCTCTTTCATCCGTATTTCCCCCTGAGCTCCCATGCCAATATAAGGTCGAACTCCTCTCAGAGACGCTCCTAGCATTTCTCAAATCAATTCATGGAGGCATAATCACCGCTCCACTCTGGCGCGAATTAGAACTGCTGCTAATAAGCAACGAAAAGTCCAAATCCCCATCACTATCTTCTGAACAGTCCCAATCACGAATCCTCGAAGTCCTCTCCTCCTCCCCTGTCCACAGCGTCTCTTTCACCTTCCTCACCTTCATGCTAAATCGTATCATCAACAAAATTGCCCCTCCCTCAACTACCGTCGCCCAATCAACAACGGAATCCCCGATCACGCCCCTGAACGGCCGGTCGATGTCGGAAACCTCCCTTTCCGAGTCCCTCTCATCAACACCAGCTTCTCCCACTTCAGTCACCTCAAGTTCTGCAACCGCACCCTCTCCCACATTCTCCCCAACCAGTGGTGTTCTAGCTAGAGCCTTTTCTATCCGCCGAGGGAAAACGCTCAGCCGTGCAATGCCCAGTGGGACCTACACAGACGCTTCCTCCACCGCTATTCCCGCGACAGGAACGCAGACTACGACCGCGGCTGCAAGGCGTCAAGCGGTCCACAAGGCGTTTACGAATATATTTGCAGATGCAATCTTCTCTAACGAGATCCCGCGACCGGAGAAGGATAAAGAGAGGCGATTGTGGGAGGACAGACGGAGGCGGGTATTGGAGTCGTTTTTGGAGTGATCCTAGCTTCCTTGTTTCCCCTTTTTATTTCCATTCCACTCCCTTTTCTTCTTTTCTTGCTTCTTTTTGGGTGAATGGTGAATTGCGGTGGTTCTTTTAATAATCTCATATACATATTTATATTCTTCATGTTTATAGCTACCTCTGTTTCCATGTTCATTCATTTTTTTATCTTAATTTTTAATTCTTGTTCACTTTTATTCATTTATTATTTGGTCCCCCCCTCCTTTCCCCCCCGACTTCATCACATAGTCGCTACTGCTCAATGTGCCTTCCTTGGTGACCCTTCTAGATATATACATCTATCCGTCGCGAGACGGTTCTGACCTGGTTAGAGAATAATACATCCCACAATGCCGCATATACAATGCCGCATATTCCATATATACATGTCCACCCCATCATCCCCACACGAAATAACCCACAACCTCTCCCCCGGATGCAGATGCAGCAGACAGAGATGGACCTTCCGGAGGTAATCTTGACCCAGCACCCTGGTTCGGGTGGTGCGGGCGCTTTTCCTATTTAGGTTTAGTTCCCGACACTTACCACCAACTGGAAAAAGGATAGTTAACAAACAATATCAAGCATCTTCCCTGGCAATTTGCAAACGAAAATTATGAGTCTCAAGTATGGCTGGATCTACGCCGTATATATGTGTGTGGACTCGACATGGGTATAGAAGGAAAAGGCTCTTTTAAAATTAACGGGAGCAAAATCCGTGTCTGTTCGGGAAACAGCTTCCAGCCCCTGTCCCGGCGAGTAGGAGTGGTGGGAGCGCTACGGAGGGTGTAAAGAAGGGAGGAGGAAATGGGAAACAACTCAGAGAGAGGGCTGAGGGCTCCTTTTTTATTTTTTATTTTTTTTTCCCTTCCACATGTGTCTTAAATTTATCTTCTTTATATAGAATACGCGCGGTATTGCTCAGTTTTGAAAATTGCGGTGGGTGATGTTTGACTGAAAGAATATCGGTTCTCAACAGAGGCAGGTAGTGGGGTCCGGTTGTGGAACAAATTGCCATTTCCCCTGTTGGCCCCGGATCATTTGTTCATCCACTTTCCTGGAATCCACAGCAGTAAGGACTTGGGGAAAGAATGGAAACAGCAAAATTGGAGAAGGTAGACAAACCCTGGCACCAAGGCGGGGAAAGAGTAGAAATGCTGCTGATTAGAATCAGGGGTGTTGCTGACTGAGGTTAGGACACAGTTAGTTAGTCAGTTATCAATAAAATAGCAAGTCATCATTGTAATCATTCCAGTAGCAAGCGAAGTAACCTAGCGGAGATTGACAAGGCCCAAATTTTCGAGACAATCAGGATGAGAGAAATTCAAGAAAACAGGTCCGATACCCATACCCATACCCACACCCCCATACACCACAAAAATTATTCGACTTGGATATTTCCCCCATGGTTAAACTCCACCGACCTGCCCTACCTTCCCTGCCTGCCCGAGTACCTGCGCGCCCATCGCACGAACAAAGGATGGAATGAGTAGGGTCCAAGGCTATCGCGACTGGTAAGGGGAAACCAACGTGAAATAGGAAATTATGAAAAAAACTAGGAATAGGGATTACAAAGTAGATACAAAACAAAATCAAAAGAAAAAAAAAGAAAAAATAGCATAAAAAAAAGCAGAAAAAAGAATAATTCCAATCCAATCCAGAATTCCAGCACAAAAATGAAAATCCAAAATATAATCGGAAATAGGAAAAAAGAATAAAAAAAAAAATACCTCGATGCTCCGCCCATTCCTGTCCAGCCGTCCAAAAATCGAACAAAATCAACAATAAAAATGGGGCACAGGTGCAAGATCAAATCAAATCGCAAGACATGCACATACCACCCGAAAATCAGAAACCTAACTGAACCCTTCACATGCCCCCGTTCTTTTTCAGAAGGAAAAAGGGAAAAGTAGAAAACAAAAAAAAAGAGATAAGAACATGTCCTAGAAAAGAAGCTTCCCAAGCCAAAATTCGACCCAAGACATAAGAAATCGAAAATCAACTCAGCCAAGGAAAACTACCACAAAAGGAAAAGTTATCGCCATCCATGATTTTCCTCCTTTTTTTCATTCGCCCCTACCACAAAACCCCGTAACATCGGAGGGGAAAGAAATACGACATGAGGGGACAGGGAAAAACGATTTTGTTCCAAGCGTATCCCCAACGCCGGCAAACCCCCCCCGGGAAATACAAGCAACAATCCACTGTTTCATTCCCGAATCGCGCGCCAACCCACCCCAGAAGCAAAAGCAGAAACAGAATTAAAACAAAACAAGAGGAGCAAATGAAGTTGAAACGCCGCTGGGCCTGCAAAGCGCAAAAAAAACAGGAAATGTCGTGGACGACGTGATTTTCTTGTCTTTCCTTTCCTTTTCCCCCTTTCCCTTTTTTTCTTTTTTTCTTTTTCTTTTTTTTGGGGGGGGGGGAGAAGGGGGTGTACTTTCTCCCCCTTGATAAATGCCTAGTTTTCCACTTATCTAGCCCCAGACAGACGCCTGGACACCCAACGAATTCTTCGATCGCCAAACGCCGCTTCCATTGCCCCAGCCCAGACCGACATGGCCAGATGATTCATTCACTCCCGAGCCAGAGGCCGGGGCAATTGTTGAGGTTGAAGGGTTGGATGCAGAAGAAGTAGACCGCTCGTTCCCACTTCCGTTCCCGTTCCCATTGCCGCTCGTGTTTGTATTGTTGTTCGCTGCCTCATTTGGAGAGAAGCCATAGCCCAAGGGAGAGGGAAGTGGAGTAGTTGAGCGCTTGTTCAAAGCTGCATTAACTGCTTGGCTGCTCGCAGATTGCTGCACGGTAGGGCGAGAGCCGATGGGCCCAACAGATGGGACATTTTGTTTCGAACCAAGCTGGCGAGAAGAGACGGACTCGTCGCCAGGGGAGGCGGACGCATGCGGCTGCTGCTGCTGGCCGGGGTTGGTGTCAAAAATACCGTATGACGTCGGTCTGGAGCTAGGGGAGGCATTGCTGTTGGTTGGTGACAGGGATTGAGGAACCGCAGGAGATGGTCTGGCGTTCGCTCCCTGTGTAGGTTGGGGAACATTTTCGGAGTTACCTTGCCCCTGGGTTTGGCCAAGGCCAAAAGGATCTACACCACGAGGGGAAGGGCCTCGTACGCCGGCTGCAGCGGTTGTGGCGCTGCCAGAGGTTTGGTTTTCCTGGCGAGAGTTGTGATGCTCCTCTCCCATGCCACCATTAGGATAGAAATCAGGACTACCATTGCCATACAAAGCACGGCGTTGGCGTGCAATCCATTCGCGTCGACTTTCTTCGCTCATCGCAGCGGGACTCATGGAACGATCGGATTTGTTTCCAGACATTTCGGAGGAAAGGCCTTTTTCCAAATGGAAATCCACGTTAAGATACAAGTACAAACATTTGAACATATAGAATTTGGCGGAAAGAAGAAAAGAAGAAGTAAGAGGGAATCGTATAGAATGCAAGATAGTAATGATAACACATATTTGGTCCGAAGAAAAAGGGAATCAGGATACGACAAAACAATGAAATCAAGGAATAAAAAGAAAAAACAAATAGCAACGCTCGTCACGTACGATGGATCTGCTGCTGATGGTGATATTTGCGGAGTTCTCCCTCACGCTGCGCTGCCATACGTCGTTTCGCCTGCATCATCTGCTCTACTTCGTTTGGACGGCCCTGGTAACGTTGGGCAGCATAGAAACCTTGTACGTTGGATGCTGAGTGAGGCCGGAGTGATTCGTAGTCTCCGATGGCGCTATGGCGTTGGGGCATTACATTCATCATGCGAGGATCTTTGAAGCAAATTTTAGGATACGAGAACCAAAAGGAGAGGGTCTTTCTTTTCCGGGGTGTGCTGATGAAACATACCATAATCCGGGTAGGGACGGCTCATCATCAGAGGTACAGAGTCCCGACGAGGAATAGCATTAAACAATTTCCCGCTCTTCACAAGGTTGTCGATGGCGCGATCCACCTCTTCTTGCCTATCAGTATGTGGTTGTTGCAAAAAGAAGGCAAAGGGTTTTGCCAAGCTTATGTAATGTTGTCCCAGCTACGTGGAAGAAAAAAAAAAAATTCCATACCGTCAAACTGCGACGAGAAAGCAGCTGCATCGTCACGCTGAGAGGTAGAGCTGGTGCCTATAATCAGGAATTAATTGTGTTAGAAGGTCATCTTCCATCCTATCCATCCTAACACCAGCGTGGATGAGCACTAACCTGACCGCGACGGAGGAGCCGGTTGCTCCCAGGATGTTTGGCGCAGGGGAGCCTGCCAACTTTGGGGTTCGTAATACGCCATATTACCGATCCAGAATGGCTCTCAATATACACGGGCCAACGACTTGCGTAGGCTTATAGGATGGGCCGGTAAAGCGGGATACGTCGAGAAAAGGGAATGTACGTCCGCTCGGGAGGTATTGTCACCTCTTTCTCAGACCTAAGAAATAACAAAGCAGGTGGTAAGTATTAAGATACAAATAGTGATATAAGATTACAAAACACAACAAACGATAGATGGAGGGCATTATGGGATAAGGTAGAATTTGAGTAGACTGAACGATATAGGTGGTCGAGGGGTGCGAGAGGAAGGATAGTAGATGTGTATTTGATTATTGCACCGGGTCTTCCAGGGCACTTCACTTCACTCAAAAACTTCCACGTCTTTGGGGTAGCCAGGTAGATTTGCATGAAAAAAATGAAATGCCGCTTGCATTGGATAGTGATGGAGGTGAGTGGTGCGGTAAAGAGAGAAGGCAGCTTGAATAAAAAAGGGAGAGTCAAGGGAAATGGCACCCCGGGCCATACTCACAGTACATACAAAATGAGTGTGACACGACGATGTAGAATAGGTGTTCCCTTGAGTCGATGATGGGGGAAGCGGAGCCAAGAGCGGATAGGCAGAAATTAACCCCTTGCCGTAACGAGGAAGGGAGGGGGAAAAAGGAGAGTGTGCGAGAAAGGGAGGAGAGGAAGAAGGAGAGGCGAAGGGAAGGCAGATGACTCGAGAGTGGTTGAGCACGCTGGGGAGGATGACGATGATAGAACGAGTGAGAGGAGAAGGAGAGGAGAGAGGAGCGAGGAGAAGAGAGGTTGAGAAGGAGAGTGAGCAGTGAGGAGTGAGACCTGAACGTGAGGGCAAGAAAAAAAAGGCGACACAAAATAAAGCAGCGCCTGACAGAAAAGGGAAAGGCGGCTGCGGTAATCGGTCCTTAGCGGCGGCGCTGGTCGGGTTGGCGATGGGCGCCTGCACCATTCTTCCATTATTTCCTGCTGTCAGGTTACAACGCTCTCGTGCGAGGAGTGCTCCGGGTATCAGGGTTCTTCCGCCCTTCAATTCTCATGGATAATTCATTCCGGCTGGGCTGGTGCAGATCGAGGATCGAGCGAACCTCCAAAAGTTTATTGGTGAAACCTAAACACGCTTTGCTTTCTTCCCTTGGAGCCATAACCTGCCCCAGCAAAGCCCAGCAACAGCAACAAGCTCCTCTTCGCTCCTTGCCCCTCCATGCTAAGCTCTCTCCCTCTGCATGAACCGAAGGGCATCCAACCCCAGACCCCTTAGGCGGGCCCTTCCGTCGACCCGTGAACGCATCGAGTTGCGTTTATAATAACCATACTAGTCCTCTACCCCATCGCTTGTTTATCCACCCAATGATACTAGTTAGCTGAACAGCTATGCATCTCCTTATACATTCTGGATCCCAATAAAAGGGAATAAGGGGAATAAATAAAGGAATACTACGCCACATTGGGAAAAAAAAAGTTAAATAATTCCTGAAGAATCAGGCTGGAATATCCTACCAACGACACGATCCTGGGCCACTAAGTACACCATTTACCTTGTCGGAAACTGCTGACGTACAGTATTGTACACGCATTGTCCCGACTAACTAACTATCAGAGCGTCGTACGCTGCTTGACGTAGAAACAATAATAGTAAGGCCAGGGACTCAGCGGAGTTGGTATGCAGTTTGGCAACCAACTTTATTTCCCTTTCAAGTTTCCCATTCTATCTTGTAGGAATGGAAAAGATGGATTAAAAATTTTTTGGTTTATTGCCTGGACTCAGATCCCATTTTCTTTTCTTTTCTTTTTATTTGCTCTCTTCTTCAGAATTACGTAGAGAGTTGCGTCTGAAATCCTGCTCACTCATGTACGTTAGGCTATCTTTTTTTCTGCACAGGTCTAGGCTTTTGTCCCTGTTATGCCTTGATGGGCTTTTGGATAATAATATCCTTATTGAATCAAAGAGAGAGAAGAAGTGAAATAAACGAAAGGGAAAAAAAAGCTGCTGCTGAAAACAGGAAGAGTACCTGTTAATTTTTTTTTATATACCGCATGTATATTGCGTTGACATTCTCTCTCGGAGAAGAGTGAAAATACGAGCACGAATATTTATAATGACAGATACGCATCCAGATCCGCTATATGGATTTTCCATGACCACTGCGGGTAAAACAGATGAACAACAGAACTGAATATTTCTTGAATGCAAGAAAAGAGAGGTCACCAGAGACCGCTGAATACTATTTTGCATACAAGGAAATACTATACTCCCTTCTAAAAAATTCTCATAAAAGCCTCCAGATAAAACATAGAATGAACGAAGGCACAGACCCCTCCTACGTCCTATGCCCCTCAACGTCATTATGCCAATCATCATACATAATTAACAACCCCTTCCCCGTCCGTGGAATGGGCAGTGATGCCCATCCCTCCACTGTGCCCCCATTAAGCAGCTGCTTGGATATCGACAGCCATGTTAACACATGCTTTTCTGAGACGGACGAATTTGTCATTTGATGTACGGGTTGATAGCCTTGCTGTTGTTCCAGAGATGCAACTTGAAGAGGCCCGCATGGTATTTGATGGGCCATCCACGTCTCTGACAAGCGATTAAGGGAGCGACTATATCGGTTTTGACAACGTACTTCCTAGCGGAAAAAGGAGGGGATGAGTGCAAATAATTTTGTTGGATATGTATTTTATTCCTCTTCATTTTTGCTTGCGGTGCAACTGTGGGAGGCAGGTGATGGTAATGGTCTCAGGCGCCGACCCTGGGATGTAACCTGAATACGATGGAGAACAAACCAAGGCTTCCGAATCTCTCCTACTCGTATGTCGTTATTTCTGGGAGGCACACGCCAGGTCCGGCCTGTTCGTAGTTCTGCTCTGCCGTTCCATTCCCGCTAGGATGGACTGTAGCCTTGCTTGTATAGGTTGTTATTTTTGGATTGGAGTTCTTGCAGGCAGGAGAACTAGGCCTGTGCTAGCTATTATTACCAACGGGCAAAACCTGGAGACCCTAGAGCAATAAATTTCAGCCCGCGACGAACTGATCCAACCCGTGAAAGTCTATGAAAGATAACATAACTTGGAGATATAATAGCAGGGTGACAGGCAAGGGCTTCAACAAGATATGATGTAGCACCAGTCAGAAGTAAGGATGATTTATCGGGCTCAGTTCCATCGGACGGGATATCGGGATAGTTGCCCTCGTAAAACATACATGGTGTAGACCTTCGATTTCAACATAGCCCTGACAATTTGGGAAATTTTTGTGTCGTATTCTGTCATCAATGTTCAGTTCTCAAACCTGACCGGCCATCAAAGGCCGTTCTGCAGAAGATGCGGCTTTTGGGCTCTCTAGTTAAATTGTTATGAACAAGTCTCATGCTTTTTTTTTTTTTTTTTAAACGCCATATTTAGATGGAGGATTTGCACATGTTTATTATTGTTAGGATGAGATCCACCAGATGCTGTACTCAGAAGATGGAGAGATATTTCTGCTGACGATTTCTAACCTGCAAAGCCATTCCAGAAGAACGGCCCTAGGGCAGGGAAGAAAATTTGTTCTCAGAGTATCTGGTGATAAAGAACCATCGGGAAAGTTCATAAACACGGCTCTGAAGGCCAGAAGCGGAAGCCGTTGGGGGGACAACGATTCACAGTTGCTGCGCACGTCAACCATCCTGGTACAGTCTGCCGGCGGGAATGGAATCGCCAGGCGCACAGGACCGAAGCCCCCCGACCGCCAGCATCAAGGTGCTTCAAGTCTGAATCTTTCTTGGTGGCTTGGCTTGCTCTATGAGACGAAAAACTGGGTTGCTGGTGATCTGCATCAAGGCCCCCAGTATTCAAAAGATACATATACGCCGTATGTCCCCTGAATCTACCCCGTATAGTTAGCTCACATCCAAACATTTCCCAACACTCAAGAGAAAAAAAAGATGATAAAGCCAGAGGGAAATGCTAGCTGAGTCTAGATTTAGTACTAGGACTCGCTCACTGTGGAATGGAAAAGAACGCAGCACATACATACTGATTTATTCAAAGATTAAAATCACTATCAGAGAAAGGCCGAGAAAAGGCCGAGAGCGCCTCCAAAAAATATAATTGAAAAATAGGTTTTTTTAATGCGAGAAAAAACAACTGTTTCTTGATTAATTCGTGAATGTGAAATCAAGACTGTTGGAATCCTCTTTTTCTTTGGCGTTGTCATCATCGCCTTCATGAAAGCTGGAACAAACACACGCCGACAGTGGTTGGATCACCGGCCACTAAGTTATGAACTAGGGATGCTGGCAAAATGAAGTAACTAGGTATGATCCAACGATATGGAGTATCCATTTCGATTCAAAGAAAAATTTGGAAGATATTGGCAAATAATGATGTGGTGTTTATAGTACTATTTCGATGTTAGGTAGAGGGGACAATCCAATCCCTTCAACAGTTGAGGTGGTTCTCTTGGCCATAATATTGACCTGCTCCTCTCCTAACTTCTAAGCCTATCAACCTGACCTGCAAGGAATATACTGCACGTCTCTGTCATATCATCACCCCCATGTTAAGCCATGCTTTCACTCAAGACAGGGCGCAATTTGCATGAGATCCTCAGACAAGAACGCCTGAAATATGAGATGTCTCGCGCCCAGTAGGATGTTCGCCTGGAGGAGTTACAGCACATCAAGGCTGTCGTTCAACATGTTTAGTGTCCAATAACGATGGTAAACCCTTGCTGCGTCCCTGGCTGTGATGGCACATGCATGCAAGCCAAGAGCATTCATCCCACTGATATTAAACCGCGGGCGAGTCTAGCGCCATGGACGACTTCGTGGCAAGGCTGTGGGAGCCTGCTCGACTTCCATCTTTGTTTCTCGAGTGAAACCCGCCTTCGGGGGAGAAAGTTGTTGACTTGATTTGGAGCAAATTCGAAAGTACTGACGGTGTTGGGGCTAATATCGAGGAAGAGACGTCCGAAAAGATGATCGTGGATATCACTGAAAAGAGTGAGAAGCTGGTCTCCCACTGTTTGTCGCAGATGTTAACTTAAAAAACAGTTGGCGATGTTCTATCAAAGCGGAGGTCTATGTTGGAGGTAGAATTGCGCCAGGTAAGTTCGGCTTTCTTCGCAGCCACATAAACTAAATAACTTACGCAGCGGCTTTTCTCCTGCAACTCACTAACTTCGCCGAAAACAGCAGCCCCTCAATTCTGTTCGTATCGCGTCAGTATCGCCTTCGTCTGCCTGTCAACCAATTTTCACTTCCGATCTCGCTAATACAATTAAGTACTATAGTTTTGCCGGTAAACAGGAAGATTGCAACCGATGGGTAAACGAGAACCCAGCCATTATCGCAAGGCTTCCAATTCCTCTTCAGTTTTGGGTCACTTCCACGAAGGACTTAAATGGATGCTCAAATGCCATATACAACCATCATGATGACGGAACACTTGCAAGTCTCGGTAAGAGCTCCTACCCGAAACAATCCCACTCATTCGCTCGAACCATAAGTTAACTATCGGTAGATACATGGTCTTGTTTCAAGCTTAAAGAAGCAATTAGCAAGAATGAATATGTGTGGCATCAAATGACGATGTTCATCAGATGGAGACCGAAAGAACAAAATACGTTTATCTTTTGTTCAGACCTCTCTGAATCGTTGCAAAAGGCATTGAACCATCGCATTTCTGGCATCGACCCAAGTGACCCGTATACTTGGCATGCTGTTTTTTTAGACGAACTTAGGGAGTGCTACGATGATTGTGTTTGGAAACTCAGACATCTAGTCCGTGAAGCTGAGAAGGTGCCAATTAACATTTTGCTTTTATTTTCTTTCATCTTCATCATTTTCCTTTTTAAACTAATGTCATGCAGTTTCGAGATGTGTATCAACCCATGGGGCCCGATTTCCCAAAACTGCACGATATTGCAAGACATGTGATCCACTCAAATGAGACTCTTGACGTCGCAATAGAGACAATTGACAGCATTCTTCACGAACATGAGCTACTTATCTCACGTGAAGGAAGCACTGGCTCTCACAAAATACAAAAAATAAGTGCAGAGGATGTTACACGACGACTGTACTATCATTCCAGGGAAATTCGTGCTATTAAAGCACGATCCGCATCGCTATATGATCGACTACAGAATGAAATTAACCTGGTTCGAATTTCCTTTGCCGGGCCGTTACGGTGGTGATAATTGCTAACTTCAATTCATCTCGACGCAGGGATTCAACTCGTCTCACAAACTGACACAGCCGCAATGAAAATCATATCCGCGGTAGGCTTGGTTTTCCTCCCTGGAACATTCATATCAGTAAGTCCCACCGGTACCTATGTTTGGTTATGTTCAACCGTTTAACATTGAGTACCACAGACACTGTTTGGTATGAACTTCTTTAATTTCTCCGTTGATGAAAATACGGGGAAACAAACCTTTGCCATGTCGCATAAATTCTGGATTTACTGGGCAATATCGCTCCCGGTAACTGCAGCAGTGATACTGGCTTGGGTCATTTATGATCGCTCTTACTTGATAACCGAAACTCTCCAACCACTGTGGGTAAAATACATGGAGAAATTTTACTCGTTGTTTAGAAGGAGAAAAGTTAAACAGGTTAATTCAAGTTCGCCGTCGTAACGCAGACAAAATTGAAATTCCGCCTCTCTATGGCCTCTGGGTGAGAAATAGGAGCGAGCAAATTTGTTCAACGTTGGGCGTCGATCGGCACAAATTGCATCAATGGCATCAATCTGGACAACAGTGAAACAGATTTGCCTCAGATGTACGATAAGGAATGTCATGATTTTTGAAACCAAAAAGAAGCATTTGAAGTCGGATAATATTATTATACGAAAACACCATGGCCAGGGACGATCTATAATGACTGTGAGATACATGAAAGCGAATATTTCTGTTCGGTTTTCCTTTCTTATGGTTTTCGATGGCAGCAGGAGTCCGCTTAATTTTCTGCTTTTTTGAGGATCATATTTTCTAATTTTGATGCGTTTTTGGACATCACATCTATCGTTAGGGTTAACTAAACATTTATCTGTTATCTAATAATCCCTAGGTTTTTCGACGTTTCTAAACCGTGTATCTCCGGGCTTGGACTCCATAAAGTGGTTATTTTTAAGTCTACCTGGGTGGTTACGCTGCTTCATTCGCTCACATTTTGCCTGTTCGCTTGATCATAGCGTTCTCCAGTGATGCAATATCACAATATCACAGGACCCTCGATCTCTGAAATGCAAAGCCTTGCTCCCATTCAGAGAGGCGGTGTTGGGTGAACTTCGATCTGTGAATATTCCTAAATCCCTTTCGTTGAACCCGGCTTATATTCACAATCCTTCATCGAGCAGTGAGATGAACCGTTCGTGAATATGGAGTCCCCTTTAAATACAAATTTCCTCGTTAGCTATCATCCAGCAAGACACGGCTACCCACCCTATTTTTACAAGTATTACTATCCTACGTTGTTGCCAGAAATTTTAACACAGCTACTACTACTACTACTACTATGGACTCTGATTTGTTGCCAAAACTGGTTTAAGAAATATACTAACTCACTTACGATGGGGACCATCAATAACCTTATTAATTTTCGTTTATCTGCAACTGATGAGCAATATTCCATGATTATTCATAACTCGAAATGTGACTGACAGAAATCTATAGAGCTATCAAAAAATAGTCCAGGATGGCCGCGAAATGCAAAGCTAAGAAACAATATGAAAAGAGATCCAAAATTTCTTGGAAACCACCCAACAATGCTCCTTGAGTGGATTAAAACACAGAGATCCTTTTCGCAAGTTCCTTCTACATATTGTGGATCTCTGCCTGGCCATTGTTATTTGCATGATGTGTCTGTCGACGTGAGGGAAGTCCTTTAGGTCGTCCGCTGGATGCGCGTCAGGATGACAAATGCAAAGACTATCCTATACAGGGTGCACTAATTGCCGCCTTCAAATCCGATGTGGACAATTTACGACCTAAAAATGACGGGGTTGTCCATGATATGATTTCTCCTTGCGAGGATACGCTGAATTTAATTTAAATATAGGAAGCCAAAGCTGCTGTCCCTTTCCAGAGAGATATCACCAAGACCTCCCTTGAAAACGCAGTGGATACTTTGTGGTTGAATATCCTGAACGTGTACTTTTATCGAAACGGTTTTATGCCCTAGTTACTTACCACTCTCAGGAGACAGTAGCATGCGGGAGAATATTTGATTATGTACATGAATTATTCTGGGCTTTGTGATCAGAATGCTTGGTGAGATGCGGCCATTGATCAACTGAGGTACTATCTCAAGATTTTTCTTAATTCTCCCAAAAATCGAATAGGAAATCATCTGGAATTGTGGAATAACATTGCTAACGTGTTTCAATATTTAAGTGTTTAGCAGTTACCTAGCCTATCGCGCTCGCATATATACGACAATATATATTAAGGAATCGATATATTCCAATACGTTCCGAGGATCTAGCAGGTTCGAATGCCACAGGCTCCGACAGCCTCACTCCTTGGGTTCAAATTATGAGTTATTGAAACTCTCTAGAGGCCGTCAAACCGCAAGTTTTAAGCTCAATGTGCGGCGGGAGCCGGTCTACTTGACATCGTTGATCACGAGCGTGTCGTCTGGAGCTTCATCGACCACCGTGTTATCATTTGCGGAAATTTGATATCTGCTTGTACTGGATTGGACTGGTTTATAATTTTGTTCATTTCGAACAATATCATCCAATCGAAGTTCGACAGCCTCCCTATGGGAGCATTATGCGCCCTGTTGCTCACACGCCTTACACAGCTACTCGTCCTCAAAGCTGAAATACCCCCTTCCAGTTCTTTATCCAAATTATATGCGCGATCGATATCCTGTTGGGGCAGTCGGTATCTTACAGAGCAACGCAACGATACAAACAGGAGACCAAAGTGGACCAGCTCTTGAAAACCTAAACACGCTCCTTGTGGTCCAGCTGGTGCTCCTCCTGAGAGCATGAGAGATGGCATTGATTTCCAGGGGTTCCGCCGGACTAGTAACCACACCGATTTTATTCTGCGTATATCTGCAAGGTCCCGGAAAATATAAAGAACTCGAGTCGATGCGGCGTCGTTTCGTAAAAGATATTAATGCCTATTATTTATTCGAACGGAACAGAGTGGATGGGGACCTCCCCAATGCCTCGCGGCGCCGGCTGGCCCGGGCGGCCGCAGGGAGGCCCCCCTAAGGGAAAAGTTGCTGCTGCTGCCCATGTCCCCGCTACTGCTCGCGTTGTCGCGCCACCCCCATCCCCCTCCCCCGATATTCTTGCAGTCCTCCACTGAATTGAGGCCGCTCAAGAAAATATAAGCAAGAAGATTGCGAACGTAGCAGAGCATATGAGGGAAATAGCGGAATATATCGCAAGGAATTTACGAACGCTGCCTCGAGTCAGTCGATCCGAAATTCCCAGCCTGCAGCGAGCGTCCACAACGACAACATACACCTACATTTCCCGCTCGTGATAACCCAGATGTAATCCGCAACCTCGAAAATAGAAATGTGTTGGCAAATGTCTCTCTGACAAGTCTCTGCGGTGGTCTGTTCTAACCAACCATGAACTGTCCTCCGAATCAGGAATCACTGCGCATTCGCGGAAGGTTTGAGTGACCCCTGTCTGCATCATGTTTGTCAAACTGAGAGAGGGGTGACAGGGCCAGATACAGAGTGCCGTGTGATCCCTGAGAGGATGTCCTAGTTGTGAAGAAACATTCCTTGTGCTAGAATTCGGCGTGGTTAGAAGGAAACACAAGTTTTATTTTTTCCTACATCAAAATCGCTGACCTTGGAATTATCAAATAGTTAGCTGAGACGACCATGGAAGATATTCTTGTGCTAACAACATAAAGAACTCGATCAAAGAATATCAAATTCTTGTTGCAACTAGCCAGAAAATGCTTCTGCTGAAATCAGCCATGAATTTGATACAATCCTAGAATACAATAAGGGCAGAAACTATGACCATTTGATGCTAGGGGCTAAGCCGAGTTTGAACAAGTCTAGGAGATGAGCGACTACCGGGGCGGAAGCACACAGGTCGGCGTGGACACCCATTCTCCAACATATGCATCCGCCTTGTCCTTTCTAACGTTTATGATTTTACCGGCCCGTCACCGTTACCGCACTCCATAATAGTTCTCCTAGGTGTGGCGCCTTTTCTAGCCCACAAAAGGGGCTGGAAATACTCGAGCCTTTCTCAAGCGAAATAAGATAGATATCCGAATCCCGGAGGGGGCGACAATCTAATATCCATTACATATCAAAATACCTATAGAACTCGCCTAATGCATGCGGAAAGTTTGAACTCTTACCCGCCATACTGCACCTCCTCAATTACCACCTGGGGGACAGTGGTAACCTTTCTTCGGGCATCACTATGATACCCGTATGCAGGACATGCATAGAATGAAGCTTGCAAGGAGCTTTCCTGGGAGGGATCCTCTTTTCCATCATCTTCGCTTTATTATTGTATCCTTAAAAGGGGGAATCCCCTCTTATTATGCTGTTTGCTAATCATGCCCTTATGAAATAAGGGTCAGAGCTTGCATGGTGATGCATTTTTAGATAGTGATTAAACGCATTCCCTGACGAGCCTTTCCTAAATCCACACCAAATGGCATTAGAAAAGAAAAATCAGAGACTGAAGCTCAATTCAAGAAAGTCCGACATCAGTATGCTCGGTTTTTGTTATTCTTGAGGTTTTTGTTAACAAAGGGCCACTCGTAAGTTATTGTGGACGAACAACAAGCAAACCTCCTGGATCCTATTTCAAAGTAGCACATTTAACTGATTCAGAAATTTTACTGTGGTCCTCAGATGTTATAGCCAATCTTTGTCTTCAATTATTTGGCATTCTGTTTCATTGCGGGTTCTCTGTGAAGTGCGGAGACCGATTGTGCACTACCTGAGTGCTCATATCATTGCCAAAAAAAATGAGGCCCGGAGGCGAATACGACCCCAGGTCGATTTAGAGGTTGTGGACAAATTAGTTTGTGAAATAGTGGAGATTCCTAGGCAATTGATTCATCTTTCAATACCTGTTTATATTTCAGGAAGCCACTCCAAATCCTTGAGCTTGATGAGAATCTGCTTTTTGAAAATGTTGTCTATCTAGTCTACCATCTGAAGCTCCCTCGAGAACATACATAACACGAATGGCGTCATGGTGGAGGATACTCGGGAGAGCCAACCTACATCATTTGCTGCTAGACTCCTATAAGTCTCCTTCAAGAAATGAAACAACCTTTGTTTGATGTTGGTCGAGGAGAAGTCAAAGGCAAGAGATATCCTAAACGGGTGAAGTTTTAGGTAATTGGGCATGCGCACCGTGTCAGTCGACCAGCTTTATAATAACAAAAATACTTTCAAGACGTTGCAGCAAAGGATTTCATTTCTACATACTCTTCCATGGCATCGCTAGTGGCATCAATGATCACTATTGACTATGTATTTCCATTTCCCCAATGGCTACACCCAGAGAAGCTAGGCTCTTCGATGTTGAATTCCTTACCATTGCTGTTGAGTACTAGGGTAATTCATGATTCTGGAAGATCCGTATACCTGGCCAAGCATCCTCTCCTGAGAGCATTGCAATAGTCCTAGTAAGCACTCGGGCCACGCCTTGCTGTGCGTGACTCGGAAGGTAAATCATATCTTTTCTCGTTGCAAGTAATTCGCGATGGAGTGCTGAAAAGCGTCTCTACACCTACAAATTCAAACCCGAAGGCAGTTTTGTCACCAGCTATGCAGGCTATTTATTTTCATCTCATATCAGCCATGTCTTATTCAACCCTTGTTTTTTCAGTAACCTCAGGGGAAACGACGGATCATGTCTTAAAAATAACTCTTTACATCTGCTGAGATTGTGTGGTAAGATTAACGTCCCAACACAATCAATTATATTCAAACATCTTGAAGCATATAATTTTTCGATCAGTTTTTCTACAAGAGCACCAGGACCCTGGGGGTTGGTAAGATCATCGACATGGGCCAGCATGAGACCAGCTATCACAGTCGGGAGAAAAATTCTAACGAACCAAAGCAAAAGGTACCTGACGCTTTGCTGAGTGGGTTGACGACTTCCTGGCCCGCGGAGTAAAAGCAACCGTTCCTTGCAAGCATTCTCAAGAACTTGATGTCCCATCCATTCGGCTCGTAAGGCTATCCTTATTTGAATAACTGGTTAGTTCCCTAGGAACTCTCTGTACTCTGCTGGTCTAGACAACAAGAAAAAGGATTCATATGTTGAAATAAAACATTTCCGAAAACAAACAACCAAGAAGGAACCTTAAACCGCAGCTATCATATAGGGGTACCTTACATCATTTAATCCTTTATTTTCCGGTCCATGCTTTTCTTTGTTTCTGTTTCCTGTTTCCCCCCATATTTTCTGGAAAAGCTTTTGAACCCGATCTCCTGGTGCTGTGGGGCGTTGTGGCACTGATTTAGCTCGTCCTCATTGTTACCTTCGACGTAAAAGGCAATGACAGTTTCTCTTCAGGATAATTCTACCTTTTATTTATGCTTTATTCGATTTTAGTTTTAGTATTTTTTTTTTCTTTTTGCGGGAGTAAATACAGTCGTACAACACACCAGAGCAGCCAACAAGGGCTGAATGGCATCTGAAACACATCCTGTTAAACAGGCAGGTCGAGGTTAGGACGCATTGTCATGGCGTTACTAGCGGTCCGTTGAGCGTTTGGAAAACGAGGAAATGGAATGTGTGGAGGAATACTCTGTAGTATTGGGGCACGCTGCCGGACTTGGGTGATATTTAATGAATGGCTATCGTGTTCTTGCCTCTGTCTTGATAGGTTTGGAGATAAACGTTCAGCTTGAAGGTTTCATGCCGTATTAGGTTTTTTGGTCGGGGCTCACAGACCACATCGAGGCAACCCCAGCATTTGAGCAGGCTGAAAACAGCCAGGATATTCATTGATTAGGGTTTCAATGGCCATAGCTCTAGCTACCAAATTACTGGTGTCTCTCCGATTTTAAATGGCCTGCGCCAACATTTGAATTCAAGAAACGCATAGCCATTATGATCCAGGGCGCTGGCTAGATCTCTTATTTTTGCTCTATGCAGGGAGGTCAAACGAAGGAATACATGGCTGGCGTACTCCGTACTGTCGAACAACAGGGGCATCAGCAAATAGGGTTTAACATTCGGGAGGCCCATGGCTCGCAGGAGTTTATATGAACGAATGGAGGTGCTAATATATCCCCATCTCAGGAGTGGATAATCAGCCGTCAGTGCTTGACGTATATTTTGCAGTCCACGATTTCAATTGGGCCTGAGGATACGGTGAAAGCTTTTGCTGGTGATTGATTGCTCACATGTCACAGCGCCATGTCTGTCAATTGGTCGATGTCTGGCGAGCAAAAAGCAAAGCGTAAAAAGGAGATGGCGTGGGGAAGGGGGCGCTAGATATAATTTGACAATGCTCATTGGAAAGCCATGAGGGCATCAGAATGTGAACAATGCAGTATAAACGCTGGACATTCAGGAAAGAAACAGCATCCAGGAACACGAGGAAGCTCGAAGCAGCAAGCAGATTCTTTTTCCGGGACGAAGAAATCAGAATGGAGATTGAGGTCCACTGTGAATTACTGCGTAATGCAGCAGTGGAAAAGGGGAACAATTATAATCATTGTACTGTCCCTGTACATGGCATCGAGGAGCTTATCGATAGTTCGTTATACGCAGTTCATGTAGCTAGTATTGAAGGTGATGTGCTGGGCATGCATCCCATTTTCTAGTTATGGGGCAGCAGCTCGCCATACTCACTTCGAGGGTCGCAAGGTGAACGAACAGTTGGTAGTGAGTTAACTGTGTTATTCACATCAAAGTAGCCAGAGCCAGCTCTTTGCTTCTAAATCTGTCCATTTTTGGGCTTTATAACGTCGAGAGATGACCATGTGGTAAGGTTTTAGCGAAATTTGAAAGCAGATCAATACCGATAAGTACGAAGGTACTTTGAATTGCGTTGAATTTGCGAGGTAGTGGAGGTATCCTCCTTGACGCAGCCATACCATATCATGTAATACCACACTTTCATAGTTACCAGCGGTACCATCGGTGCCAAATTGCAGGCAGGATTGTGCCCGTTGGCTCAGAGGAGTTTAGCGGGAACTGGTATCTTTCGGTCTCCTCGTCACACTTTTCACGGCGGCTCGGCGACTGGCTGGCTCTGAAGCCCCTTCCAGAGCGCGACACCCCATACCAGCAATACCGCTGAATCGCTGATACAAGGCTGTAATAAACATTGATCAATTTGATCAATCAGCCTCCATGCTCCATCTCAACCTCCATCGTCCTCCCTTCGAAGCCGCCATTCCATACTCCTTTCCTTCCCTCCGGCCTCCCTTTCACCATCAAACGCCAGTTTTATCCTATATCTCTCCTTTTGCCATCGATCTTCCGCATATTCTTGTTCGTGATCCACACTGCACGTCTCCTATCCCGTCTTGGCTGCCCGATTGACAGCACTTCGAGTCCGTCTGGTTGCCGTACTTTTACGGTAGCGGAGGAACCTCCATTTCACACTCAGGTTCTTGACGGGCAAAAGCCTGTGAATGTTTGCAGCGACAACTAGATATATTGGCAGAAGGGTTTGGTTGTGCTTTCACTACCACTCCATATATCTGACGGGACTCCCCTCCCCGCAAAGCATCAATTAGGGGCTACGAGTCTACTTTAGCGTCTATTGACTGGGGCATTTATTTGATCTTTTGAATCTAGGACCACGGTCGACACTGGTTGTCAGACTTTCTCGCGACCTGGACGTGTTATCCCCCACCATCTTCGAAAATTCCCCTTACCCATTCCAACGATATCTATCTATCTGCTCTTCGGAGCCCAATTTTTTTTTTTTTTTTTTATCGACCGTGGCGAATTATCTCCTTCGTTTCGAACTCTCCCACGAAACTTCTATCCTCACGATTACTTCTGCGGGCCGCCTGGTGTCTGCAATACTACTTTCTAAGAGCCAGTGCTGGAACCGATCGCAATCTCCTCTTCGGGTCCCAAATTCCTTGACGTTTGAGGCTCCTTGGTGCAGTACTTGGAGGAGTGAGCAACTTGGTTGATATCGTTACGACCACCTTATGAAATCACGTACCCATGGGAATGCCGTATTATCTCAGATCACAGGTGACCTCTCACCGATAGCGCCGAATACGTCCTCCGAAATGGCGTGGGCCATCCCCGCCGACCTTTCGCGACACATTCCTCCCAGGCCTCCATTTGCTTCACAACACTCGAGCTCATTACCCTCTACTCCTTATCAACACCCTCGTGGTCTCCAGTTCGTATCGAGATCTCCGTCGCCGAACCGCAGGAGCAGCTCTCCACGATCGACTCACTCAGAATCCACCCACCTACTCCCATCACTACGACGACCCTATGGAGGCTGTAAATACGAAACTGGAATGGCTCATTTCCGCCGGCGGATTCCGTATTCGCTGGGGAGCGAACTCTTACCCAAGGAATTGGGTCCATTGAAGGACCAACTGGATTCCGCTGACGAAAAAAAGCTTAGTGGAGATATGAGAGAACTTTATGATAGGCTTTTGCCGTCAGAGGAGAGTGAATCTCGACGGTTGAAGTTCGTGGACAAGTTAGAGAATTTATTAAACAAGCAATGGCCAGGGAACAACATTCGAGTTCATGTGTTTGGGTCTTCCGGGAACAAACTTTGTTCAAGCGATTCTGATGGTAAGAATTTGCGAGGACGGATATAATTAGTGCAGTGGGCTAATGTTCTACTATCCTAGTTGACATTTGCATTACTACGACCTACAAAGAGCTGGAGAAGGTTTGCATACTGGCTGACTTCCTTGCAAAAAGTATGAACTAGTCCAAAGATGATTTTCCTAGTCGTACTTCAGCTGATTTTCTCTCTAGGTGGCATGGAGCGAGTTGTTTGCGTTTCCCATGCACGAGTTCCGATTGTGAAAATCTGGGACCCCGAATTGCGGTTGGCCTGCGATATGAATGTCAATAACACCCTTGCTCTCGAGAATACCCGAATGATCAGAACATACGTTGAGATCGATGAACGAGTTCGCCAGCTAGCAATGATTGTTAAGTACTGGACTAAGAGACGAATTCTGAATGATGCTGGTCAGTCTTTCTTGGTTTTTAATTCCAGATATTGATGAACCTTGACTTATTATTTCTTCAGCCCTTGGTGGTACTCTAAGTTCCTACACGTGGATTTGCCTTATAATCAACTTCCTCCAAACAAGAAATCCTCCCATCTTGCCTAGTTTACAAGAAAGACGTGCCAAGCAACCGAAAAAAGCAGATGACCCCGGTTCATCGTTTGATGATGACATGGAAAAGCTGTCTGGGTTCGGGCAGGAGAATAAGTCGTCGTTGGGCGAACTTCTGTTCCAGTTTTTTCGGTACTACGGCCATGAAGTTGACTATGAAACTAAGGTCATGTCAGTACGGATGGGTACTTTGATATCAAAGGAAGGGAAAGGTTGGCATCTGCTCCAGAATAATCGACTTTGCGTTGAGGAGCCGTTTAATACATCGCGGAATCTTGGTAACACTGCAGACGATACCTCATTTCGCGGATTACATATGGAATTACGGCGAGCGTTTTCTGCAGTGGCTGAGGGAAAATTAGACGAGTGCTGTGAGCAGTATGAGTATCCTCCGGAGGAAGAACGCAATTGGGAAAGACCGCCACCTCAGCCACGACCTATACTTGCGCCGACTCCTGCTGTTCCCTCGCGAGGAGGTAGAGGGGGAGGAAGAGGAGGTCGCCATAATAATAACCACTACAATCGGGGACAGAATACTGGACGCCGATCTTCCAGCAGTACGAACCGACCGAACAACACTCGACATACAAATCCATCATTCGCAGCAGATATTGCACTCCAAGCCCAACAAGCCCAGCAGGCACAGTATCTGCTGCATGACCATCTTTATCAACAAATACAAATTCTGCAAGCTCAAGAACAAGAGTTGCGCATGCAACTTCAAAACCAAGCGCTCATCAGTGGCAGGGCACCTCCCACACTACTTCGACAACCATATTTGCAATTCCCGTTCCAGCAAGATGCATCCGGTCCAGATGAAAATTCAAGAGCCCGAGCTGGGACTGTAAATCACCCGCCTCTAACCGCTCCCGTCCGACAGCACGTGTTTTACAACCCTTCATTCATCCCAATACCCATTCCCACTCTCCAGGGAGCCACCACAGACCCGCCATCGCCCTCGACGGCTCCCTCCGCCCCTGATACTCGCCGTAATCATCGACGATCATCTGTTGCTAATGGATCCCCTCGCGGACCACTGCGAGCTCAATCCCAACCAGCACGACCTTTACAATCTCCTGTGGTACAAAATTTTGGAAACATATACCAGCCCGTACCTTTAGGTGAAGCTCCCCACACGCCAAACACAAAACTGCCACCAGCTTCTCCAAAGCGGGCAGGTGCCGAGGTCGAAAGACCTGTCACCAACGGCATTCCTATGTTTTCAAGATCGTATATGGATGAAAGTCGCGCCTCAGAGTACGTTGGGTACTACTTAGGAGACTCCCCTCAATCTCAGGCAACCCTTCATCTGCCAATGACAACTCCCCACTCTATCGCCACTGGGTTGGCAATCCAAAACAGTGGGTTGTTCTCACATCTCCGGAATCAAGCAGACTACCATCACTCCATGGGAACTTCTATTGAGAAGACCATTCCATCCACGGAACAAGCGCATGTACCTGACCATATCAAGCATTCGAAAAATACACCACCCTGTGGCCGACCCAAGTCCCAAAAAGATCGAGGTCCACTCATAGTTGATGGTTCCCTTCCGACCAACGACCGTCAGTACTCTTTGTCCACAGAAAATCTAGATCATTTCGCGCCAATGAGTTTCAGTACTTCTGCATCCGAGGATAGACCATTTGATACTTCTGGAAGTCCATCAGATACCCTCTCTCAAGGATTTCCAGACCATGCCCCTTATGATGAGGAATACGAAAAAGCCTATGGACGGGGTGGACAAGCCACACAACCACAACACCACATTAACGGTTGGGATTCTACCAACACAAAGGGCGTGGCGATAAACGGCCACCTCACCCTATCGGAGCGGCTCCAAAGGTATCAGATATCCGACACTAGTCGTTCATCTGATTGGCATGGAAAGATGAAAACGAACCAGCACAAGGGAGCTAAACAATACGCATACAGAGCAGAAAATGGGCTGCTTGACAAAGATCAACATGGTCCACATGATAACCATGTCCAGTCATCTAACCAACTGTCTGCTCTCTCCCCGGTGAAGGAAACGCGAACCGTCTCGCCCACCACAAAGCGACGAGTAAATGGTGTAGATTCCGATAGATCCAATGGGTCGAGTCATAGGAACAGACAGCGAGGGCGACATGATTCCGTCAACACTCAACATCAATTGGAAAACAGCAAAGACAAACAAACAGAAGCCCACCATCGAAAACCCAATGGCGTTCCATCATCCACCAACGGAGCCGGTGGAAACGAACATCATCAACACACTGGATCAGGCTCTGCGGGTTGGCAAACAACAACGAAGAAGAAGAACAAAAGAGGGAACAAAACCCCCGCTGAACCGGTACACAACAGCCTTTCCAATGGCGTCGAGCCTCTTCCAGCTGACGAGTCATTGAGAAAAGGCGGCTGAGGCGGAACGAAATCATCTATGAACTGTGGGACTTGCATGCTTTCCAGATTTTGAAATGCGTGGATGCGTTTTAATTATGATTATGATCGCCGGGGGTTGCGTTCAATACCTACAAACTCAACTTCGAATTTTTGTTTCAGTACTTTGCTTCGTTCATGCGTTTCTCTTGTGTGTACTGCAAATGTTCTGTACAAGTCAATTTAAAGCAACTGAATACCGACTCCCGTAGACGAGAGTTCATCCAGCCCAGTCACATGTTTGGCGCAGCCTCGCGTCTGACGAAGCACCCCTTTCTTCTCCTTCATCCAGCTCGATAGCACGAGGACTCTACGAAGTGGCTCTTGAACGCACGATGTGGTATCGGCTGTCTCAGATTCCAATGACAGTTATTCGTTCATATCATGACGTACCACTCAATGTGTGGTATTTTTCTGAGCCGGAAAAGAAAACATAGAACGGAGGTCCTGCTGTTGGTCCACCACTCTATCGTATTAACAGACCAGCATATTACTTGTATCGGTTACTTTGAATGGGAAAGGGTGACACAGTGAGCAGAGCTCACGAAGATGACAGCGAGGAGAATGGAAAGAATGATTAGGAATGGAGAACAAATCATTTCTGCGAGAAATTACCACAGTTGTCCCTTCGTCTTTTATTTCTGTTTTTTCTTATTACCTATTTCCTCTTTCTGCAGTCATGAAACGTGCGTGTTTTGTTCAGATCTTTCTTGACATGTTTTCTCGGTTTTCTTTCTCCTTTGCCATTTTTAGTTCTCAGAAGAATCAAAAGAGAGCCAAAGAAATGTTACTCCTTTTTTTGTCTATCCAGACGGTGGAGTTTGTCCTTTTTTTCATTTTTTTAAATTTTCCTTTTTGAAGCAATGTTTTGATGCTTCTTTTTAACTGAGCTTGTTATTGTAATCTGCTTTCTGCTGCTCTTCAAGGTCGGATTCCCCTTTTTGTCACCGTGGTGCCATTTTACTCTTTTAAGTACGAATATTATTCATATCTCATACTGGTGTTCTATTTTGCCTTGACATCATGACTGGATCGTCCTGTTTGTTTTCCTTTTTGTAAGTTTTTTTTTTTTTTTTTTTAACTATTTTGTCTTTTTCAAATGTGTTTCGTCCGTTTGCTTGTGCCATTCCTTTCAACTTGGATGCGTCAGGTTTATCATTGTTGTCAGCGCCAAAAATTGCTCTTGTACTTGTGGTTTATATAGTTATGCCTTTGTCTCAATCTTTATTCTTCTGTATTTCCATTTGCTATTTTTCTATTCTTTCTTTTTTCCCGCACTGCTTAATTTTTGTCAACACCACCACTTCACACTATCATATCCAGAGAACCGTGGGCGTTTTTTTTTTGTTTTTGCTTATTCCTTTCTTCTCTCTTTACCTTTTTTTCTCTCTCTTGTGCCTTTTATTTATCTTCTTCAGTTGTTTTACCATCGTTCTATTTCTTTCCTCGTTTGCATGAAACTTTCTCCCGTTAGCTGAAATAGTTTTAGTTTAAGAAGAGCACAGGATTATATTACAATAAAAATGGCCAAAGTTCAGAAATTCGATTCATGTCAATTTACACCACTATGGAAAAAATGGTGCAATATAGATATCTCTAATATGCTCTGTAGAACTTTGCTTTGTCAAGCACACATATCGAGCAAGGTAAGTGATTACAACACAAATAGAACACACCAGGAATTGGAGCTGGAAGGAGATGAGTCGATAAAAGATTAGGGGTCTTTCGTATCGAGCAAATTCAGATTTGAGGTGGCTGAGTGCAGTACAATACAATCGTGGATGGGAACATGAAGAAAGGGAAACATTAAAAAAAAAAAAAAGGGGGGGGGAGGGGAAGAAAGAAAGACGACAGCCAAAGAAAAAAGAGACAGAGATTTTATATTATAATATACATTATGTGAAGGATGCAAGAAATGAGAAGTGCAAGTCATTAAACAAAATATGAACAGAGTCACATGAACGGAAAAGGGACAAAAATAAAAATAAAAATCCAGAAACCCGTAGCCATCCTGAGAAAGAATTCTGTTGGATGGCGCTGCAGAGGAAGAAGACAAGAGAGGATTAGAGGGTGTGATGGCTGGAACATAGAACGGCCACATGCCGAAAAACATGTTAAGATAACAGTATATATGCAAGTGCAGAAAAGATCTGAGGAATCTTGAAGCGCAAGAACATGAAATCTCCAAAGGTGGCAGGCAATGCGAGACATTTATGTCTTTTCTCTGGGTTGTAATGAAAATATTCCTACCTGTATACACACTCGAAATATTAATCCTACACAACCGACGTGATTATAGCGCTTCCTAATAGGATCATCTAAACATTTTTTGCATGCATCGTACATATCCCCTTCCATTTTATATTTGCTCTTCTCAACTTCGAAGCTCAGCGAATATGTATGGAAATATAACTCGACAAGCTGTCCAGAAGACGATAAAACATTGGACAAATGTTACGGGGAACATATAACCTGGCTGGCTGTGGATGAACTCCCATATTGAGAGGAAAGCGACGGAGTAGAAATGTCGAAGAAGAACCCATGGCCTTGGGGTGACAGCTGCAAGAAGGCCGATGGGGCCATCTACCTGGCCTAACTGGAAGTAGCGGAAGCAGCCTTGTTGGAGCACTTTAAGGTAGGGGTCTATACGAAAGGTAGTTAGGCGGGAAATTAGTAGTTTAAATTAGGGTAGAGAGAGAGAGAACAGGGTTCAGGGAAGTTAAAAAGGCCGATACAGAAAAACATGGAAGGACACATACCATCTGCAGCATACAAGCTGTATAACGCCTGCGCCAAGATATTAATGACGCTCGTCAACCCTTTTCGTTCCCAATGGAACTTAGACATTTGTTTCAGGACTTGTTGTTTATTGGAGAAATCAGGGACGTTTTCAGGGCTGAGGAGTGTGCGGAGGAGGACAACGTCGCTAAATGCAACCGTCATTCCTCCACCTGTTAATGGGTGTCGCATATTCAGCGAATCGCCCAGAAATACTAGTCCAGGCGTCTTGTTTGTGGTAGGGGGGAGGAAAGAATTGGGCATAGATCGTAGGCCCCCTTTCTCGAGCGCTTTGTCGAAGGAAGGCTGTACGCATTTAGGGAGGGAGGGCAGGACAACCTTCCGCAAATGGCCCTTGACGCCGCCATTCTCAACCGACGCAGAGGGCAGGTTTTCGGGGATATCGACTAATATTCTCGTCTCGCGTGTACCGATCTGATAGAGCAGGACAGGAGGGCCGTCTGGCAATACGACGTGGCCAAAATTCTTCCGCGGAAGCTCTGCGTCTATAAGCTCCAGGCCCCAGAATTTTGACTTCACTCGAGGTGTTGTAGGGAGGTACTGTTTACGGAACTTGGAAGCGTATCCATCCGCAATAAAAGTCAGCGGGGCATAAAAGTAATCCTTCTGCCCATTGGTGGTGCATTGGACTCCCAGAACCTCATTATCCGTTGACGAATGGATGACTGAAACGGCCGTAGTCTCAACAATGGTAACATTAGGCGTCGCCCTCGCTGACTCGCGCAGGCGCATGATGAAGCGACCATGGTGAAAAGAGCGGCCTTTGAACGGCGACCCTTGTTCGTCCATGGGATACCGGATAGGTACCTCGTTCCCATGATATATCACGTCCATGCCATGACACTCAACGGCATCGATATCTTCCAGACAATGCTTCAGCCCCAGCTGATCCAGCGCCCGCACCCCTCCTGGTTGTAATAGTTCACCAACGATGCGGTCTGGTTCCTTCAACCACCTCTCGAGAAGAAGCACACTGCGCCCTTGCTTTCCCAATGCGACAGCTAGAGCACAACCAGCAATTCCAGCGCCCACTATTACAACGTCTGCCTCATGGTCCTCGCACCGCCGTCGTTCGCCTTCATCTGAGTACACTCTTGGGGTCTTGAGAGCGCCATTTCCGTTAGGTAACTGGGGAGGCATGGCCATGCTGTGGGGAATGCGAACGAGGGTACAATTCTGCACGAGTCGAGACGAGAATCAGAAAGGTATATTAACGGTGTATAAGGATGGCATAATTTCTAGAGTTAGATATAGGGGGTGACAGGCCAGTAGAAGTTTTATCTGGGAGAATTGCTTGGGAACAAAATTTCCCACTCAAAAAAAAGTTGGCAAGATACATGCATGCTGTGATTGGTGGTAAGGTCAATAAAACGAGACAGTAATGATTAATCATCGACTTGGCAAATTTAGTGACGCCGCTTCCAAGCATGTGATTGTCCGAATGTTCCTGGCTAGATTTTGCTAGTTCAACCATTGCAGCGATACGGAACGTCGTACGAGACTGGTGATGCCACTGGTGTGCTACTAATTACAAATAAAGATTATATGGTGCTATATCAAAGCCAGTGGCTCATTACGGGAACAAAAACTCCGGCCTTGACTGTGAGGTCTAGAATCGTTACATTATTATTCCTTAACACTAGCTTGCCACATGTCCATTAGGCACAAAATTGTCTAGGTATGAGTTAACTCGGCCAAAAGAAACAGGATGAGACGAAAAGTGCGAAAATGAAAATGAAAATGAAAAGCCAGGAAAGTGGAAAGATACACAGGAAAGATATGCATTTTTTTTGAAAAAAAAAAAAAAAAAAAAAAAAAATATGAAAATGAAAATGACCGTTCTAAACGCCCAGGGTAGTAACTTTACTATATACAGAAACAGGAAAGGACATCTCGGTGGATCATACGACACGAAGCCGCGCGGATTCCTCCATAGTTGGTTCCTCGAAGGGATCCTCGGCTCCGTCTGCAAATACGCCACTTTCACTCCAATCCCGTTCCTCGGCCGCATCTGGCGAGAAACATTTCTCCAACTCCGCACGCTCCTTCCAGTTCCTGACAATATAATCCGTGTACCGTAAATCCTCAAATTTGTAACCTTTAAGCTGTGGACCCTTCTCCAGGCCGTTACCGGAGCCAGTGTTCGAACCAGGCGTCCTGGCCTGGCCCTTCAACATTTCTATGGCCTCCGGGAACGAAATAAAGCGATCAGGTCCGAATTTTCTAGCCTTGAATGTGTGACGTAGAATCCGTGCCAATTTCGAGATATGCGCCATCTCCCGATTGAAGCTTTCTCTCGTATAGTTGCTTGGCAGGGGATAGATATTCTTGGATCTTGAAACGATGAAACTGATCTCATCACAAAGATCGCGGTTGACTGCTGATGGGCGTTTGAGCCCCGTAAATATCGCCCACCTAACGCCCTTGAAGTTTCCCGAGCGATAAAATGCTCTGGCAATGAATTTTATCGCAACGGGATCGAATGGTGCGAACGCGGTGTATTTGGATTGGTTGATTGCCCGGAACATATCAAGGACTGCAGCGTTATTGCCGATATCCAGGAGTCGAGCTGCAACGGTAGACGCTGCGTGGTGCTTAACAGGCAGGAGTTTCTGTTGTCGGATGTTGTAGAAATTCAAGACTGCCATCTTTACGGCTTCTATCTCACCCATTTCGCTTGCTTGCATAACCGCCTGGAAGAATTGGGAGGTAACAGGTTTGCTCGGGAGCTGCAGTGTCTCGAATTCCTGCAAAATTGTTTTCGCATCCCGTGTATCTCCGTGGAGAAGAATACTAGCAGTCACGGCCAAATCTAGGTGTAGATGTTTCATGACCATACCGGATTTTTTGGCATCTTGGAAGGAAGTTAGGGATAATTCCGGTTTTCCGGCATTTATGAAATACATCATCTGTGTATGTAGCGGTGTAAACTGTCTTATATGTCTTGAAGACTCCGGCATCGACATGGCTCGTCGCCACATAGCTGCGGTTTCTTGTGAATTAGGCTTCTTTTCCGATTCATTGAGTGGGAACGAAGTTGCATCATATCCCAGCACTTGGCGGGATGTGGCTGCGTAGCCATACTTCTGTTCAGTCGCACGGAACATTCTCCATAAACCAGTGGGGCTACATTTTGCAGATAGACGCGCTTCCTGGAGCAGTTCCATGAAGTACGGTCGTTCCAGTTTGAGCTTCCAACCCTTCTCTTTCACCGTTTGTAAAATTTCCTCTACCATTTCCACAGTCCCTTTCTGTATAATGGCTTTGATGATTTGATCGAAAAGCAGTTTGTCAGGTACCAGCCCATAGGTATTGATGGCATCGAAAACGAACTGGTGAATTGCATTCCCCGAATTTGCAATCCAAAACTCGAGGAAAACACGGTGGAACATCTGCGTGAATCTAAATGGATCTTTTGCTGACAGCCCAAGTTCATGCATCCGTGCCAAGGTGTTTCTTACCCCATCCCAATCGCAGTTCACTGCCTTTCCGTACGCAACGAGTCCTAGCGTTCGCGTTTTGAGCGGGATATTGTAGGTGTCTTGCATAGTCTTAACGAGCATATCAGCCTTGTCGGACATTCCAAACTCGACATATGCGCCCAGTAAGGGGTCGAAAAGCTTCTCCGTAGGGGAGATTCGACAAGATGCCAAAGTGTCCAGCAATTTTCGAAATTGCGTTTCCATGAGGACGATACTTCGAGTTCTGCTCCACAGCCCACCAAGATATATTCCGCATGCGCCGCAGTCCGTATCATTTCCGACGTATTTGAATAACACGGTCTTAGCCTCGGATAATCGGTGTGAACTGATAAGAGACTTAAGTACAACCCTCAACAATACCGGAGTGAGTTCAAACTCTTTAGCATATTTTAGGTATAAAGTCGCTAACGACTCAAACCTCCCATTTTTCCACATCGCCAACAGCATGATCTCCCATAACGGGGGAGTGAGCTTTTGGTTTGCTTCGAACCAGTAGAAGAGCTTCTGTGCGAGGTGGATCCTGTTTCTATGCAAACTTGTGTACAAAAGATGGACAGCAATGTCATTCCTGGCTTCCTCGTTGGCTTTCGAAGTTGCATTCGCATCACGTAAAAATCTTAGAGTAGCTTCATCAAGCATGTGGTGATCCAAAAGTCTCTGCACGGCAAGAGAAGGGTCATTCGGCGGTAAATCTTGGTACTTTTCTCGAAATTCTGGCGGGACACTCATGGGATAGGCCAGATCCGTACGCACTTCTTTGCGGCTCTTCAATTTAGGTTTATATTTATTTAAGAAAAATGATGGCTGAGGGGGCACTTGAGCAATGCCTTGAGGTTGGCTGATCGCTGACGAGCGAACGGGGGGTTTTAAGGCCTCACGTGGAGTTTGACCGGCGGCCTCGAAAGATTCGTTGGCCACACCAATGCTATTATCACTGACTCCCGTCGTGTGAGATTCCCGAGGGTTTGCACCATCTGCACGATCCATGTTCGCTTCTGGGCTATTGGCAAGTTGATGCCTTTGGCGCTCGCTTCTCTTCTTAAAGGATGCCAGACCAAGGAACTCGCCAGCTTCCGCAGCCTCCATCATTTGGGCTACAGTCGCAGCTCCAGTGCCAGCATTGTAATTTGGACATGACGTCTGGAGACTTCGCTTGGATTCGACAATGCGTTCGGCAAACCGAACCCGGCGATGGAGGTCGTAGGTAATAGTTCCGACGGCACAGAACCCCCCAATGGCTCCAATGGCTGACCCAGCCAAAGCTAGCTGTCGGAGAACACGTAATGCATTACGAGACGGAACCCCAGTTCGAGCGGATTGGCGGGGGAACATTGTGAGGAAGGCTGTTTAAGGGAGGTTCGGGAACCAGGTCTGATTGACAATCCATCAAGCGAAACCCATGGACCAAGGTTTCCTAGGCGGAATAGAAGGCGCAATGGCCGCTTCTACGGTGAGCAATGTGACGAGTGGCGTTCTGGGAAGAGATGGTCCTGATGTAAATGAAAAAGTACCAGCAATTCCATGGGAGTTTGTCGATGACTTTTTTTCCGGATCTAAGTCGTTGGAGATAGGATTACTTCTTGGCGATAGCACGTGATCTTGCAATTGAGCCGCTATATAAGATGCTTTTTTTGCTACATACAAGTATATTCTATAATTTCAAGAGCTGTATTTACAGGTTGCGAATGCCATAATGAAAAACACTGAACGAAATTCAGGCCGCAAAACAATATAAACAGGAAAGGAAATTTGCCTCATCTACTGCCCACCAACACCACCAGGAAAACGCCGGAAATCAAGGGCAAAAAGCTATACTTACCTGCACCAATATCTTCAAAGAAGCCAACGAACCAAATCAATCCAGACTTTTAGACCCTACAAAAGAGTTCCAACTTGAAATTTCCTAGATTTACGGAGTACTGATACCTATGCCAAAGTTATCTTGGGGTTGACTGGTGCAGGTAGGTTGAGAGGGCACTGGAAAAAGGACGCCGAATCGGTCACAAGAACTCCACAAAACGATACCATATCCTCAACTAATCTTGCTCTCCTGTCTCCAGGTTGTCGTCGTGTGGCTCAAAGTTGTCGTCCATATATACTAGCAATGCAGTCAATAGCTTGGATATAAAATGGGATTTGGGGATTGATACTGCCGTGACATACCATGAGGTTTAATGAAAAAGGATGCCATCGCTATTAAAAATAATGTAGCGACTTGGCACATAAATACAGCTTGTGGTAGCGTACCGACGGTTGAGCTGTATATCAAGTTGAAAATTGTCGGCGCCACCACGCGCGCAAGTGCATGAAGCAGACCAAGCGCACCTAGCAGCTGGCCGGTCCTATTAGCGGGGATATGCTTCGTCAACGAGGACGTGAGCGTTGGCGAAGCCATTGCACTCATCGATGCGAACGCGCCGGAGAGGAGCAGCAGCCCACCAGTCCGAACAGTGCAGTACCCGAGATATCCGATCAGATCGATCATCGTAGATATCCTGATTATGATTATATCCAGCATATCGGAGCCAGTGTTGACCCGACTCCTTTGGCTAAGCGGGCCACGGACCAGACGAGTTATTGTTGGAAGAGCCACAAGTAGCATAACCACTCGGACAGAGCTGGCTACGGACACAAATATGCTAGACTCAAAATTGCCCCAGTCGAACATGTACTCGGAATAAATCACAATGATCGACATAGTCCCCATCCCGACGCCGAAGAGAACAGCGTCCATGGATGCAAGGATTATGAGATTAATTCGTAATTCGCGAAGGGAGCGTCTGCCGAGTGAGCTCGTGGAGCTTGGGAACAGGATAGAGAGGGGCTTCAAGAGATTCAACGGATTAAAATCCCCTCGCGACCAGGAAGGAACTTGACGGAACTTGAGAGGGCCTATCCCTTGACTCTTGCGATTAGCCAATTGGCGAGCTTCCGACAGTGACTCTGGCACAGCGAAAAGCATAAATAGGATGAAGAATAGCAGGCAACCTAAGACGGAATAGAATAGGTAAAGGATATTGCCCGTCCACTTGATGAGATATCCAGCAAGCAAGGGACCCAGAGCAATGCCACCAAATAAAACGCCATAGAAATATCCGAATGCTACGTTTCTGTTATGTGGCGGTACGCAATCTGCCGCGTATGACTGAGTAAGAGCTACCGCTGTCGTGAAGGATCCAAACAATCCATCAAACATCGCTGCTAGGAGCAAAATATTGACCGATATCCTACCATCTTGAGCCGCCACCATCGCCATGACAAGTTGGCCGAGAAACATGCCAAATCCCGAGAGGGCAATGATCTTAGTTCTGCCATAACCATCGGTTAGAGTCCCAAGTCTCGGGCTTGTGATGGCTGCGAGGATACCAGATATTAAGTTCAGTTGCAGTTGAAGTCTCGAGGCTCGGGATTGGATCTCGGGAATCCGACATTGCGGGTTCGTATCTCCAAAGATGACGGGAGCAAAAGTAAAGGTAGGATCTTCTATCGCCCTGTCGGATAGATATTGGCGGCAAATCAATGTCAAGGCGAGATTTATCTGCGGCACGACGACTCCCCCGAATGCAATCGTGAATGGGAAAAGTGGAGGTAGTACCCAGAATATCTACCCGAAATCCAGATGAATATAAAAATAATTAATAGATTAGTATAGAAGGCAACGGGAGAAGGTGCTGTACTGGGCCGTAAGTACCGGTAACCTCCACTGCTCTTCTGCCACCCAAAGGAACCATGATTGTGGTGGGGGTTTTCCAATACTTATGGCCTGGCACTGTATATAAAAACGCCAAAAGGGATATGCTCACAGAAGGACGTTTCCACCACGGTTTGCGGTCATTTTCCTCCTCCAACAGTGCATCCTGAGTTCCGTCCTGATTGCTTGAATTGCCGCTCTCGACCAATTGCGATGTTGGGATATCATTGTCCACGAGCAGTCTGGTGGTTTCTGTTGGCACAGCAGGGCTCGCGGTCCGTGACCTAGACATAGAGTGGGGCCTCGCAGAACAAAGCGAGGAAGCGGAAGAAGCTACCCATTGGACTGGCTCATCTCCTTCTACTGCAAACGTAGTCTCCGCTTCCATTGGCGTGGAAGGAACCGATTCGGGTCAGGGATAACGGAGCAGGACTGAGGAGGGTCTCGGCGCATCAAGCTCAGTGATAGGTCGAGGATAATAATTCCTTAGCAGGAAAATCCACAGCACCAATCTTCTCACAACAATCCCAGGGGAATATATATAGATATATGCATGTATGTATATGTATGGAGAGCTTGTGATTGTTTTCCGGTGGATATAGGCTCCGTCAGAGTGCCATGTTTATTGAATGAACTATGAGGAATGCCAGGTCATGATACTTGTAGGAATACCGAGCTGGCGGACTCTCCAAGAAACCCCGGCCGGAGTTGATTTCTAAGCTCCCTGATAACAAGTAATGGAGCTAGCGCCCTACTGTCTAGCATCAGCTCGGAGGGATTGCTGTCTGCGAGAAGAGGGAGAAGCTCTCGGCAGTGCCCTGGTCCGACTCGGGGCCGTCCCGGCAAAAGAAGGCTTGGGACTCGGGTAGGAGCAATTCCATGGAACCAGCACTGAACTGGACTGTTGGAGGGGATATTGGGAATTTGGGTGGTTCGAGACCTCTACTACCACAAACTCAGTGGCCTAACTAGTTAACCAACCCGACCCAACCCATGGAGTTGATTCGCTCATTGCCGCAGGATAGTCATATTTGCATCTGTCGGCGATACCAGTTTAACTGCTTCTAACTCCTTTAATGCGCTGATTGTCTGGGGAGAAAGCGGGCAAACTGAATGGGCGTTCCACCCAAAATGGCTTTGTATCCGATATCGACAAGAGCACTATCTGATTCGAACACGTTCCTTGTTATGTACAGTACAAGGACCAGGATGCTGTGGATATCTACCCCCGATGTCCATTGGTGACACCGCATCGAGGGCCAGATGGTCAGGTATAAAGGAGCGGGGCGGGGGAGACAATCGAGGACGAGAGAGGGCAAAAGAGGAATGAGAGGTAGACGACAATTCCAACCCAACTCCATTCACCTATGCATATATCCATGCAAAGCACCCAGACCTCGTCATTATTTTACTGCCTGTAGCCATGGTACAATCAATCTGCAAGACTACGAAGCAATGGAGCCTCGCCCACCAGAATGGCTTCGACGCGCTCAAATTCACTGAGGAGCCGGTGCGTGAGCTCGAGGATCACCAGGTTTTGGTAAAACGTAAGTTGATCACATACTCCCTTCGGAATCAGAAGCAAAGCACGAAACAAGATGAATGCGTGGGGGAGGCGTAGTGGAGGCTTGGGCGGGCACGGATGCAAAATATTATAATCCGCTAACATCTATATAACTCAATCCATCCAAATAGTCCAAGGAGCTGCGTTAAACGTATGCCACCTATCCCATCCGCTCCCAAGACTTCTCCCCGCCTTCTTAACCATCACAATCAGGCCCGCGACCTCATCATTATACACGGCGTCTATCCCATCCCCATTCAACCCAACGTAGTCCCCGGCTCCGATGGCGCCGGCACCGTCCTTGCCGTTGGCAAAAACGTTACCCGCTTCAAGCCAGGCGACAAGGTCACGACCACCATCAACCAACAGCACATCGCCGGGCCGATGACAATACAAGCATCACGATCCGGCCTTGGCTGCATCTACCACGGCACCTTACGCACCGTGGGCGCGTTCGACGAGCGCGGGCTGGTTCCCATGCCCGCGGGCCTAAGCTTCACCGAAGCCGCAACACTCGGCTGCGCCGGGCTGACGGCATGGAATGCCCTGTTCGGATTGCCTGGAAAGCAGATCCTGCCGGGCCAGTGGGTGCTGACGCAGGGCACTGGCGGGGTAAGTTTGTTTGCGCTCCAGTTCGCGAAGGCCGTGGGTGCCACGGTGATTGCGACGACGGGGTCGGCGGAGAAGGCGCGCTTACTGGAGAAATTGGGTGTGGATCACATTATCAACTACCAGGAGACGCCCGGCTGGGGCGCTGCGGCGAAGGCGCTGACGCCTGGTGGACTGGGGGTTGATATTGTTATCGACGTTGTGGGCGCGGCGACGTTGAAGCAGAGCGTCGCGAGCGTGAAGCTTGATGGGATCATTAATCTGATTGGGTTTATGGCCCCGCAGAAGCACGAGGAAGTAGAGCCGATGCCTGGATTGATTGATGCTTTAATGGGTGGGTTTACGGCGCGGGGAGTGTGGACTGGCAGTCTGCTGCAGATGGAGGAGATGTGCAGGGCGATCGAGGCCAATGTCGATAAGCTACGTCCTGTGTTGGATTCTAAGGTCTTTACTCTTGAGCAGACTCGGGAGGCATATGAGTATCTGGCGTCTCGGAGGCACTTTGGGAAGGTGGTCATTAATATCTCCTAGAGCGAGGCTCATACCATGATGATTGTATTGATTTTGGGATGCCACTGTCGGAACGAATTAAATTTGTCCATCTTTCAATCATGAAAATTAAAAGACATGATACACACTTCTGACAGGGCCTTTATCCGGTTTGGAGGGATTAAATAGTTCGTTTTGAGAAGTATCTCACATGCTCAAACGGTGTTATAGACTTTACTTTCTTTAGCTTAAACATGCGCACGTAGGCAATTTATAGCAACAAATTTAATGCGGGACTTTTCTTTTGAATTCTAAGGCGATAGATTCAGGGTATATTGATATATTGATATATCAAAATTGTTTCAAGTTGATACAAGGTGATATGCCTATTCATTCGTCCAACACCCAAGAGTATAATCACACGCCTAAATACGCATATGTGAAACCTGACGAATAGAAATTAAAAAAGAAAAAAACAATTCCTTTCACTCTAGCTATCGTACAAGAGCCGCCAAGTCAGATCCGGCAAAAAATTTCTTCTGTTCCAGACACCTTTCACTGGTACAGCCCTGGCACCGTAGCGTCATCTGGCGGGAGCAAGTTTGTCCGCTGCGCAGATGTGCAGCAGCAATGTCCGCAAGCCCCTGGATGAAAACCGTGCTCCCATTCAGGCTCTCAACTCGTTTGACGCCGGGGCTGTTGGCCTCATGAATGACTTCCTGATCTAGTTCGAAAAGGGTTTCGATATGGTCGCTGGTAAAGGCGATGGGAACTAGGAGAAGGTCTGTATGTCCTTTCTCCACGTAGTTTCGAACCGTATCGCTGGTTTGGGCTCCCAGCCAGGCTGAAGGGCCGACTTGGGATTGCCAGCAGAGGCGATAGGGGTTCGAGAAGTTGAGTCGTCGCATGACTGCATGGACGGTTGCAGCGACTTCTGCTGCGTATGGATCTCCTACATACTTAAGTCAATATATGAGTTGATTGGCATTTCACACAGAAGGCATACCTCGATTGACAACGCTCATAGGCAAGCTATGAGCAGAGAATAGGAGAACGACGTCATTTCTCCTTGCTTCAGGGTATGTCGCAAGTTGTTTTTCAATGTTCTGAGCGAATGCCTCTATTAAGCCCGAATGCGTAGGCCATCGGTCAATGACACTCCATTGGATGGCTCCCTCTGTCTCGCCTCGCCCAGTCGCGCGCTTGCCCTCCAATCGGTTACGCCACTTCCATAGTTCATTCAATGAGCTGCCCGTTGTGGAGCAAGAATACTGTGGGTATTGTGTAAACGCCACTGCCCGACCTCCTTTGCCTCCACCAAATCCATCTTGGATCATCTGTGTATAGGTAGTTTCTGTCAATGGGGCCGCGTATCGGAAAGCAATGTACGGTTTGTGCGGTGCAGTTTCTGGGGATATCTTGTCGAGGATCTTGCACATCTCCTTGCATTGGTACTCAGACCACTTTCTAATCGGTGAGCCCCCTCCTATAGCAGCATATTGCTTTTGGATTTTGGGTGTCCTACGATGGGAGATGAGGGGTCCTAAGTATGACTGGAGCCGGCCGAGAGGTATTATATCGGGATCTGCCTGGAACACAAAAGCGGTCGTCAGCAAAGATGCAAAATCGGAATCGAAAAACAACAACAATAATAATAATAACAATACAATGCAAGCGGTTTCTTACAAATAATCTGCTCAAGTAATCGCCAACATCTTGTGTTGTTTGAGGACCCCCCATGTTCAGGAATACCATGGCTGTCGGGCCCTTTGATCCCATTGAGTCCTGAGTGACAGGCGGAGCCGTTGTTGCCATCCCACGCCATTGCTGTTCGCCATAACTTGAAAGCGATATCGACGTTGTGTTCTCCAACAGGTTCTCCCCAACGCCTGCCGGGGGAGCGTAGTCATGGAAGTTCGTAGTGACATTTCTGGAATTGATCTGTTGAAATGTGGTGACAATCAGTCAGTCAGCACAATAAAAATGGGCGTCGGCCGGGCACCAGGCCAGGTCCTGTAACAGTAAGCACAATAACTTGACCGACGGAATGGCTAGTGGGATTGGAAATATGGCTTGAGGGTGTCAGCCAGGAACATTGAATGCTGACAGCTTGGTGATGTCCAACAGCGATCCCGACCCGTTTTTGCCGCCAAACTCCGTCTGAGGAGGCTGAATCTCCAGCTTCAACCAATCACAAGTTGAGGAAAGCTAATGCAAGCCAATTTTAGTCACATGATCTGGCGTCTCTTCGCGTTTCTTGGCGGCTATTTCGCGCTGACATCATATCAGGCAGAAGCGAGGTTAGAGGAGCTTGATAGCCACCCAGATGTTGGCCGTGTCGATAACACCGGCTCTTCTCCTTCTTCTCCTTCTCAGTTTTATCTGACTCTAAGCTGTTTTGCGGCTTCAATCGATCATCGCGGCAGCTTTACCCTTTTTACTACTACTCGAACATGGCTGATGAGGCGGCAGCTTGGCAGCAGGATGATGCGTTTGAGGAGGAAGAGGACATTGATGAAACGGTGCGGTAACTATCTAGTTATGTAGGCTCAATTGCTGTATCCCATGCTAACAGTTCAAGCCAGGGCTATAAATCTGTCAAAGATGCTGTCCTTTTCGCCATTGAGATCAGCGAGTCCATGTTGACTCCGCCTCCTGAAACTGGCTCCAAGAGAGCTGATAAAGAATCACCTGCCACTGCTGCCCTGAAGTGCGCATACCACCTGATGCAGCAGCGGATAATTTCAAACCCAAAGGACATGATTGGTATCTTACTATACGGGACTGAAGAATCCAAGTTCTATGACGAAGATGAGAGTGGCCGGGGAAGTCTATCATACCCACACTGCTATCTGTTCTCGGACCTTGACGTGCCAGCAGCAGAAGACGTGAAAAAGCTCAGGGCATTAGTGCATCAGGAGGAAGAGGCAGAACAGATATTAGTCCCGTCAAAAGAACGCGTCTCAATGTCCAATGTGTTGTTTTGTGCAAACCAGATTTTTAGCTCTAAGGCTCCCAATTTCTCCTCCAGACGATTATTCATCGTAACGGATAATGATGACCCTCACTCCAAAGACAAGGCACTGAGGTCCGCAGCAACTGTGCGTGCGAAGGATTTATACGACCTTGGCGTTATTATCGAGCTCTTTCCAATATCCCAACCAAACAAGGAATTCGACCGGTCAAAATTCTTTGATGTATGTCCATACTTGTTTTCTTCTATTCATGTTAGCTCCGTGACTGATACAAATACCAGGATATTATATACAAAGCATCTCCGACAGATCCAGAAGCCCCAGCCTTTCCCACGGCACAAACCAAAACCTCAACTTCCGGTGGTGATGGTATCTCACTCCTAAAGTCATTGCTCTCTTCGATCAACTCCAAATCTGTACCTCGTAGAGCACTATTTTCAAATGTGCCATTGGAAATAGGGCCTGATTTCAAAATCTCCGTTACTGGATACCTAATATTCAAACGACAAGAACCTGCGCGTAGTTGTTACGTATGGCTAGGGGGAGAGGTGCCACAAATAGCCAAAGGTATCACTACCCAGATGGCGGATGATTCTGCTCGAGAAGTGGAAAAGTGGGAGATTAAGAAGGCATATAAATTTGGCGGGGAGCAAATTTCTTTTACTCAAGAAGAGCAGGCTTCACTCCGAAATTTCGGTGAGCCTACAATCCGCATCATCGGATTCAAACCGCTCTCGGCACTTCCAATATGGGCCTCTATGAAACACCCAACGTTCATATATCCGACCGAGGAAGGATATGTTGGTTCCACGCGCGTCTTCTCGGCCCTCTATCAAACACTTTTGAAAAAGGAGAAACTAGCGCTTGTATGGTTCGTCCCTCGTAAGAACGCTGCTCCCGTTATGGCTGCTATGATTCCTGGTCGTCCAAAGCTGGGCGAAGACGGCGAAGAAGTTATCCCGCAGGGAATGTGGATCTTGCCTCTCCCATTTGCGGACGATATTCGACAAAACCCAGAAACAAACCTTATTACAGCCCCAGATTCATTAGTCGATAAAATGCGGACGGTGATTCAATTACTTCAGTTGCCAAAGGCACAATACGACCCCCAGAAGTATCCGAATCCTTGTACGTTGCTCGCCAGATTGATTGTTCACCCTTACTTTGAGTATGATTTTTACTACATTTACGGAACTAACAATTTTCATGCAATTAGCTTTACAATGGCATTACCGCATTTTGCAAGCTCTTGCTCTCGACGAGGATCTCCCAGAACAGCCAGAAGACAAAACAGTACCAAAATATCGTCAAATTGATAAGGTTCGTTCTGTCCCGTCCACGCCCTCATATGATTCTCTCTTGAACTAATCACGAACCCAACTGACTCAATCTTTTGTCTCATAGCGTGCTGGTGAATTCGTAATAGCCTGGGGCGAAGAGTTAGAAAGTCAACATCTGATGATCGAAGCGAAACAACCAGCAACCTCAACCCTCGTCAAGCGCCCAGCAAGCAGGGCGCAAGATCAAGTCAAAGGAGACTCACGCCCTACAAAGAAGACGAAAACCAGCCCTGATGCCGCTGGAGTTGGTGATGAAGTAAAACTACACTACGAGAAGGGAACATTGAATAAGGTTAGTTGTATATTACTTATTTTCATACCCTCCCCAGTCTTCTCCGGTTGTATTATGCTGCCCTAGAGCTAACCAGTCCTGCTATGAAAATGGTGCAGTTGACGGCGGCTGTCCTTAAAGAGTTCCTCCAATCTCAGCACCTGTCTACGACGGGTAAAAAGGCCGACTTGATAGAGAGGGTGGAGGAATTTTTGGAGCAGAAGTGATATTTAGATTCGGCTTTCATTTCCCCGTTTCTACCCAGGGGCATTCCAAAATTTTGCTCTCCCCTGCTCCATCTCCACGAATATCCTTTGCTTCATCCTTCTAAGCATTCAAGATACCTGATTTACATTTCTTTCTTCCACATTTTAGTTTTATGCAGATTTTGTCCCTTGAAAACGATTGACTGGTGCTATGACGAAAAAAACAACGGAGCTTTGAGAGGTTATAGGAGTTGGATAAGTATTTTATTTCTTTTCCTTTTTAATTTTGCCCTAGCGCAAAATGCAACTGTTAGTTGATGAAGCAAATTCATTTCGTTCTATGTAGTTTCGTTTCTACCAAAGCTAGCGATGGAACCTTGATTTGGTCCAGTATTCGGGTTGCCAAATATTAAAATTACCCCCCAGACACAAATTTCCGATAAACGCTATTTATGTTCGGTCTTTAAACACAAAATTCCATTCACGGAGAGTCAACAGATAACAGGCTACAATGGCGTGTCCTATGGCTTCTGTCTAACGTTACGCTAATACGCAACCACACAGTCCACATCCATTGCGAGCAGTAAATGACAACCCTCCACGCCAATGCATGGACCAAACTAGACGGCGAGCCCCCACAGGCGTCGCGTTATTTCTGTATATTTCTCGAGACACATACATTCTGTGCTCGCTTACTACTACTCGATTCGAGCTTCCAATGACAGATTGTGTGGACCCAACAACCCCTTCAGCCTGCAAAACATGAGATTTAGTTCACCATGACGGGTGATCAACGGGGAGGATTTGCCCCTCTGCTGGCTCTCTCTGGACCCGCGCATACGGGCCTGCGGGGCCCTTTTGAGAGGATGCTGTGAACGAGCGTCGAGTTATCCCATTGATTTCTGTTTTAAAATTAAAGCAGGGGCGGGTGCTCTCAGATCAGCATAGAACCAAGATCGACGACCGGATGTGTTGAGACCGCTGTGCAGTACACACGCAGCCTGAAGCAGAACCACAGCTCAATAACTAGCTGCGTTTCATGAACACATATATATTTAAAAAGAATATGGCAGACAATCTGCTGCGTTTGAGTTTTATTGCTGGAATCCATTCCGAGAACTCAACAATGAATCAATGATAACTGAATCAGACCTGAGCGCTCTAATATCCCCCCCATTGGCCCTAGCTACGAGACACAACGGAACAGACTTCGCTACACAAAGAAAAAGCGGAAAGAACGAAAAAGAAAGTGAAAAAGAGAGTTAAAAAGAGATAATAAACAATGCGCATACCCATACACACTGCTCTAACATTCTGCTGGGCCCACACCACAGCCCCTCGCAGCGATCCCGCCGCACCAAGCGCTTCGACCTTACGAAGCCCTCCTACGTCTCGCGGCGACTTCTCGAGGCCGCTGGTGGATTCCAAGCAGCCGCCGCTGGATGCGTTCCGGTCGAAGGTGTTTCAGGGCTATGCAGCGTATGGGCCGCATTTGTACGTGCCGAGTGGCACGTCGTATGATACCAGTGGCGGGGTGGTGAATTCTCAGGTCGCGAGCATCGAGATGAATACGGGGAAGATCGTGCAGGGGCCGACACATTGACGAAGGCTGGGCCGAGCCTGTCGTTTCGGGAGTCGGGAGGGGATGGCGGTTTTATAAAACCAAGGCTGGCGAGGTGAGGCTGTTCTTGGGCTTTGCGACGGGGAAGAGTTGGGGGCGGACGGAGATCGAGTTTGTTTTTATAAGAATGTGTTGGTTAGAGTGTGGATTGAGAAGGGATCTCCGTAACTGATTAATTAATTATTCATCAACCCTATAGACATCTCGTTGAGATTTTATTTCCTGGATACCCTTCTTTAAGGCCTCTAGAATTAACCAAGGCAAATTCAATAGTTAGTTAATAGGAGTAAGCAGAATTAGAATCGATCGACTAAGGATGCTAGCTATCGTGTGCTGCGAAGAGACATGACCTCAACTCACATTCACACAAGAAAAATTTCCCAATCGAAATGAAACAAACCCCATTGATATTGCTATTTACCCCTGAAGGGGTCAATATAAATTAGTTGCTCGATGTGGTGAATAAACTACCAAGACAACGAAACACAAGTCAGCAAGGAGACTAGGGGAACAACTCCTTCCCTGAAAAAAATTAAAACATGCGCAACCCAGTCCATTTTCATCGTTAATCAATAGCACCATACCCTTCACTTTATACATGCATGATGGCCGAAAGAAGGACAAAAAAAGAGAAGAAGGAAGCAGGAAGGAGAAGGAAAAGCATCAATGAAATGAAACATTCAAGTAAAAATCAGCTCTGCGCCAAGGGGTTCCGAATATAAGGGGCGTCGAAACTTTACACCTCACAATGTAAACAAATAAAAAATAATGATGAAAAGTAAACCAATCCCCGCCCCAATTGCCCCAATTTTTTAAACAAAGAAGCAAGTCAATAAACCAGAGAGCCAAACTTAGCGAATGAAAAGTGTTGATGGGGGAAAAAACGAACAGGAACACCTTAAGGACTAGGTTGGCCATATGCCTCCATAACCAGCCGAGGCAGAAAAAAGAAAGAAGAAAAAAAAGAGTATAGAAGAAAAAGACAAGAATTTAAAAATGTTAAAGTTCAAATAAGCATGCATCACACTTCTCTAGCTAGTTACTCGTGATATGGAGGCGGTGGGGTGCGCTCACGAGGCGGCGGCGGTTGCGGAAGCGGAAGTTGATTTTGCGGGTACTGCGGTTGTTGATATGGATGGGTATTTTGTGGACGGGGCGGCGGGTGTGGTTGGAGGTGATGTTGAAGCGGTGGTGGATGTTGGTGTTGGTGTTGGGGATGCGCTGGGTGATGCTGTGCGCTAGGAAGGGGTGGCGGTGGCGGATGTCCGTAAATTACGGGATGATATGGCGGGCTTAATGCCGCATGCCCCATTGGTACATGCATGTACTGTGGTGGTGGGGGTGGTGGAGGTGGAGGAGGTGGTGGGTGATGGGCATGAGCAGCATGAGGTGGAGGGGGGGGAGGGGGTGGTCGATGATAGGTTGCCGGAAGATATGACATACCCTGCGGTGGGGGCAGGTGAGGAGGTGCAGATGAGAATGGATCAGGAAGTTCGTTTAGATGTGGGATGGAAGGGTATCGATCGGAGGCGGGTAGGATACGGCGTGGCAGGTTGGGTAGTCCTCGAGAACCCGGTTGCGGTGGAGGAGGAGGTGGGAGAAGAGATCGTGGGTCGGTTGGCGGGATCATCTGGCCAAGTACAGGCTGGGGGAGTATTGTTCGGTGCAATCCGCGGGGATGATGGTCTGTTAACCGTGGTTGATGAAGTGGAGGGTGACATGGCTGCGGGAGTGGCTCCTGAGGTACAGCGGGAAGGTTGCGAAATGGTGCCAATTGCGGGCCTGGTAAGGGAGGCTCATACGTGGGCTGTTGTGCTAGCCGCTGACCAATGTCGCCCATGGCGGCATCAGCAAGAGCACTCAGCGCAGTAGGAGGTTCTACTGGCATTGCAGTGGAAGGTTTTCCCACAGCTGTCCGACCTTCTTCCTGCTCGCAAAGTTCGGTTAGAGCCTCCGTGAGCTGCGAAATTTTGTCGCTGACTAGAACTGGAGACCGTGTTGTCTCTTGGGCTATCTCCTTTATTTGAGGGGAAATGTCATTTTCCATCTTAGCTCGTTGTATAAACTCCTCCCAACCATAGGCAGCCCAGTCATAGAGTGCGGCACCCTTCGGGTCTCTGACAAACGAACTGTTGAATCCACGAACAGAGCGACGATGAGAAGTAACGCTTCGCTCCGATCCCGATTCGTCGGTCTGCAATTTCCTCCATCAATATATTATTCTTTTCCATGTTCTGAGCTGCCCATATCTGAAGAGTTGGAGACTTACCTCAGTGTGATCCTCGTCCTCTGCTTGGCGACGCTGTTCCACATAAGCCATATAGCTCCCTTGGGCAGCGAGGAGATGCTCCTTCCTAACATGCCAGGATTTATCCTAGATGAAGTTAGTTTGTTGTAAAGTGAAAGGAAGGAGAGAGGGCAACAAAAATCTTACATGGAAGTTACTATTGACAAGTTCTTTGTTAGCCTCGAGCATGGCATCCGCAGCTTTTTTACGCCAATTGTATTCATTTTCAATTATTTCCAGTCTCTTGCGCATTCTCGCTTTAAGACCATTCATTACTTGGTCGTATTCTGGGACAGCCATGTGTGCATTGGGATCTTTAATGAGTTTAGACTCTGATCGATTTGCAATGACGGTGAGCGCTGTTCGCTGCGCCGCTGCGACTCGGCGAAACACCTTATCCAGTTCCTTTTGTCTGTCACGGAGTTGCTTGATGACTGGGCTGGGCGACAAAGACATCTCGCGATCTATTGGTTGGAGTCTGCCACCACGCCCTCCTCTCCCAGCACCCCGACCCCGACCGCCTCTCCCACGACCACGGGTCCATCCTCTACCTCTTGCCCTTCCTCTAAATCCACCGCGTCCACGACCTCGGCTCGGAAGTGTTGACAACGGGCCGGCAGACAACTCTCCAGTTTCAGACGGGGTTGCAGCTCGGGAATCCGATATCTCCGTTGGAGTGGATTCGCCTGCCCGTAAAGGAGATTCCAGTTCTGTTAACCGAGCAGGCGAGTCTGCATTGCGGGTCCTAAGTCGCGGCAGCGGCCACGGGCGCCTGGCTTCTGGGGCTATTATTTCCATATCATCACCGCCAATTCTATCATCCTCAACTCTCTCAGATGGTGGGGAATCCAATCCACTGTTGGCAGTTGACATTTCCATGTTGTTTAGAACCTCCGCCGACTCATCACGCTTGCTGGCGGAATTTCGCTTCCTCGTAACCACATGGCTGGCCTGCTTACTCGCAGGTCTAACGTCTGGTTTTGTAGCCGGATTTTTATCCTTCTCCGCATTGGCTTCTACAAACTTGCTTTGAGGCTTCGGAACTTCCTCGGGAGAAGTTTCCAGTTCAGTTTTATAGCCCGAACTGCGACGAGGTCGAGAAGAATCTGTCCATGTCGATCTTAATGAAATTGACTGGGAATCGGATTTCCTAGTAACTGTACTAGGCGATTTTGACGAGGCATCATCTTCATTGGCCTCCAATTCGTCGGAACCAATATGGATATCAAGAGGCCTATTGAAGTCTGGTTGTTGTATGGCCAAGTCGTCAAGCTCCTCAGGTACGGAGCTCATATGATGAAACTTGGAAAGAATCCTAGCAGATTGACGGGTTGGCCGGGGGGTGCTCGATTCCGAAATGCCATTTTCAGGAGCGATCTCTTCCTTTGCCTTTCGAGCTCTTTTTGCTCGAGGGGTTTGCGGGGGATCCGAGTGAGTTTGACTCGGCAGAGGTTCGTCATGGGTGCTCCCGTTCAAAGATTTTGAACGACCAATACGCGCACGGCCCTTTCCCCTTGCTCGCGATCGCAAGCCGCCACGGCTTGCACCTCGTGAGCGGCTCAAAGATGAAGTAGATGATGATACTGGATGCCCAGCAGTTAACAGGCGGTATTCGCCATTGAGCTCCTGGCAATAATACTCACCCTGAGGAGAATCTGCTAGATATGCACTGCCCGATTCGTAATTTCGGTCCAGCTTGCGCTTAAGGCTCGTCATTCTTGTGAAATAGAGAAGGAAGAGAGAGTATCTTCACTACCTTCACTATATCTTTCTCTATTGGTTCGGATGAGGTCAGCTCACGTGATGGGAAAGAGAAGGACGGACACAGAGAGAGAAAGTGAACAACAAACACAAAGAAACAAAACCAGATCGAGAAGGAAGATCGGAAAGTGCAAAGAAGATAGCATCACTCCATCAAGGAATAGTCGTATTCAGCAAGCAGGCTGGCAAGGAGATAAGGGATGTTGGGAGTGTAGATGTGAAACAACCACCGAGGAACAACAATAAAGAAAAAAAGAGGTAAGTAAGCAAGACGACAGGAACTGAAACAACCAAGAGCTAAGAACAGTAATTAGAGTTAGGGGAAATTTGGAGAGACAAAACAGCAACGCAACATATTGTTATTCAAAACAAACACAACTTGGAAAAAATAGCACGGCGATGTAGTTGGTTGGCACAGCGTTAAACAACCAAAAAATGGGGGAGGGAGAGGAATGAAGGAGACAGAGTGAGAGAGAGAGAAGAGGGAAAAAAAGGAAACAAGAAGCGCAACAATAGAACTTGGTTTCCTCACATTCTCATTGGTCGACAGCGAGCAGCGACTCTATTTTTTCTTTTTTCTTTTTCTCAATTCCAGCAGGCTTATACTTAGCTAGGCTGGCTGGGTGAGTAGTAGTTAGTATACGGCCCCGTCAAATGACAAACTAGAAATACGAAGACGGATAGATTCCCTCAGCAGGCGGTTAGATCGGAGGGGAGCAAGTGTAAGGAGAGGGAGGCGACCAGAAGTTGAGAAACCTGTAGCAGAAGGAAAAGAAGCAGAAAGCAAAAAGCAGAGAGCAAAGAGCAGAAGAAGACAGTGTGAAATGACAGTGGTGATGTTGTATGTTCCAAGTTTTTCTAAAAGAAAAAGAAAAAGAAAAAGAAAAAAAATGGCCAGAAATATCAAAACGGGGCCGAGTTTACAGTAAGCAGAGCAAACCACCCAACTGTCAAGACGTCACAACAGTTAATTGACGACGCATGCATGCACGTTACATGAAGCCGGACGGACAGCTGGAGACAAGGGCGAAGCGCAGGACCTTGGCCATACCGAGACTACAGCAATGGAATAGAGGGAAAAACACCAAACAACAAACCAAACAAGAAAGCAAGGAATGTAGAGTAAACTATTGTATGGATATTGGGATTGGGGCACGGATCACCACCCAAACCAACTCACCTCCAAGTTGGGTGGTAAGAAGCTTCTGAGTTTTTCTTCAGTAAGAGCGAGCCATGGGAGAAGAAAGCATATCCTGAGAATAGCCGTTTCTTGCCCCCTGTATTCCGTATGTAGGCTGTGGAATGAATGATGGAATGCTGCGCGGATGAAGTAGGAGAAATGTGTTTGTTGTCACTAACGAGCTATGGTTAACGAACTATGTAAGGTAGGTAATCTGTAATTTTCGTAGCTAAAGGTTAACTAGTTAAGTCAACTAAAAGAGAAATTTCCCTCCCCCTCCGCCTCCAGAGAGCTATGTGATTACCTAGAATATAAGATATCTTCTGTAGAGCCAATTCAGGCTACTTTAATAATGCTTTGGAGGAGTACAGCCATGCTATAAAAAGGCCGGCCTTGACGCGACACTCCCTGTCGAAAAGACACTGCCGGCGTCAGCCCTACTCGCCAGCAGCTAAGCTGCTCAGATCAGACGGGTCAAATAGCCCAATCTCAGTCACCTCATGTGGTCGAAGTTTCGGCTAATGGTTCTCCCCTATCAGAGGGGATGCCTAATGGGTCATTGTAACTATCTAGCGGTCGCAGGCACTGCTTATATTGGTGTGAACAATACTGATGCCAACAACCCCCCTGGCTACAAAGACCCAAAACGCAAAACACCATGTAGCGGTCCTGGATATTATATACAAATCTTGCCTGGTTATCCCATCAAACCCCATTCCCACTCCCATTCCTTCATTGAAACCATTCCTTATCCCCCTACTTCTTCAACTATCATCATCTTCTTCATATATCTTCTTGCCCCTATCCTCCCTGAAAACATTCCAAAATATCCTGCCTTATAAACCTCAAAACATGGAAACCAATAGTTCCTTTTCCATCTGGCGTGTAGTCTTAGTCGATTCTCTTCGAAGGATTTGTGGTAAACCTCATAAATATAGGGCAGGGTAGGTTCTTGGCAGTCGATAGGATGGTAATATCGAATAGAGGATCAATCACATACGTTAGATTGAAGGGTGATGGTGAGGATGATCGATTGTCTGATGGATAGTTTCCATTGATATTTGAGTAAATGCGCCTTCAACTAGAGAGGGTGGCGCAATATGAGAGGCAGCAAACCTATCAGGGGCATTTGCATGCATAACAACTTAAAAAAGGGAGGCAGCTGGCCTCTTCAAGGCACTTTAGCCTGCTCCAAAACCGACAATAATAACCATCACCTATCGCAGGGAGCACGGAACCAACCGCTAGGTTTAAACTTAAAGCATTTGATGGCGCTGAAGCACCAAGGGGCCCATACCCATAACCTGAAAGTTGGGTTCATTGTGACTCTCGAGCGGGCGCAACAAGGAGCCTAGGCTTCCTAGTACGGGCTAGCGCCCCACACACTGTGTATACATCCGCCAACTACGGAGTATGCAGCTAGCACCAATAACAGCCACTCAGACTGAGCCCGGATTGCTTGTTTTTTTATCAAAGAAGCTTCCGCAACTACTACTTTTTCATTTATAACGTCTCGCGAGCTGCTACGCGGACCAGCAGAAGGATCCTGACAATAAGCCAAGGGAGCTTGGATTGCGGGAAAGGGGATTAGAACTTGATTAATTGATTGAAAGGAGAAATGAATGCCTTCTAGACCTAAAGCTACCAAGGGGATGAAAACCGCAGCTAGCAATGATGAAACTGAATACAAACCTACCTTTGGGGCACCGAGCGCCACGATTGATGATACCTTGATACGAATGATTGAATATCTGAAAAAACCGAAATGAATGGCTGCACAGAACGGACACAATGATAGAAAGATCTATAACAAAAGCTGAATGAAGACTCTGTCCACAAGAGATTCAGAGGATGTCAAACAAGGGGACGATGATGAGATGAATCAACTGACTACGCGAGCCACTGCCACAACTCCTCCAACTACTGAAGAATAACCCTGCAAAAACTACCGAAGAATCTCCTGCAAGAACCGTTCTAATGCCTACAAGAATCACCAACAGAACGGCCATGAGAGCCGCAAAGATACCCATGATAAGATTGGCCATCAAGAATACCACCACCACCACCACCGCTGATGAACGAACCAAACGTCGATACTACTACCACGAACCGAAGCCTCACGAATGCCGAAAAAATATAGAATGATACGAAGAATAGATTGATTCATATGATAAATAATGATGGATTTGAGCACTAATCATGGCAATGTAATTTCATGTATCAGGCCTAGTTCTAATGAGGGATCTAGGTGCTACTTTGTGTAATTGATTATGATGATTGCGGATTTGAGCGATTTGAGATTGAGATTGAGATTTGATAGCCCAGGGGAGGAGCCTAGGCTTCCTAGTATGGCCTGGCACCGTTCCAACACTTCCTGTTAGGTCCCTCTGTAGGAGATTGCCTGTAGATGCCGCGTTCTTCTTCCCTTAGTCGGTGTTTCTCTGTCTTTATTCCCCTTGGCAGACGCCATTCGGGGCCCGGGTAAGGGGCGATCTGGTTCAGTCAAATCGGTGTCAGAGCTGGGATCGTACACTGGATCGTTGTCTGTGTCGGAGCATGTGCTGGGGGTCATTTCGCTCGTAGTGTGCGGGCGGCTACCGCGAGAAAAAAAAAATGATAATAAATGACAAGTAGATAAGAAACGAAAAAATGAAGGGAGAAAAGAAAACCAATTGAAAGAAATGAATAAATAAATAGCTGGGCCAAATGATAGCAAAACTTCGTCCAGGAAGAGATAGATATCTATATACAATACACATGAGCCCTCCAGATTGTTTCAATCATTATCAAAAATCCATTCACTATTACCACCAACCAAATAATAGTGTATAAAAAAAAGAGAGAGAGAGAACGAAAAAGAAAACCTATAAAACCATGAACGATCGTACATATCTAATGCCTAAGAAGCCACCTCCGCTCCTTTTTCCCCACGCCCGACAAAAACTATCTCCCATCATCCCTACCAGGGCCCCTACTGGACTTCCTCTTCCCATAATCCACCCAACTCCCCCTATTCCCCGCCGCTAGCACAAACCCCGGGATCGGCATATCCGTCCGCGTCGTGATATCGTCATCCTCGCAATCCCCCTCCTGCGCGCCCTCATCCACCCTGTCGCCAGCGATGTCCAGGTCCATCATCGCTGTCTGCGCCAGGGGGCTACTCGACACCGGCAGCGAGAACGAGCCGGACTTGATCCTGCTCAGCGTGTTCTTGGATATCGTTTGGCCCGCGACGGGGGAGGCGGTGACGACTGTACCCCGCGTGGTGCCCGGCGGCGGTTCCGGGCTGCTGGTCCGGAAGAGCGGGTGGATGTTGTCTTCGAAGGAATGCGCGCGTGGGCGCCTGGGGGTGAATTTGGGGCGTGGGAGCGGGGTGTGGAGATCGTGCCGGTGCTGGTGCCGGGTGGCTGCGATGGGAGGGTGTGAGATGCAGGAGCAGGAGTAGGCGGAGGGGGGTCGAGGGCGATACGCGCGGGTGTAGGGAGTGCTGGGGAGGGAGGAAGAGGAGGGAGAGGAGGTTAGGTTTGGGGAATCAGGGAGGATGGAGTCTTTGTGCGGTTTCCGGGGCGTCTCTGAGGATTGCTGGCGTGCGAGTGAAGGTTTTGAGGTGGTGACTGTCATCGAGATGCTCGCGAGGGAGGGCGCTTCGCTGTTGGGTCTGCTGGTGGTTTGTTTGTAGCTGTTGCTGCTGTTGCTGGCGCGATCTGCAGGGGCAATGTTTTGAATAGTAGATTTGAGGAGGGCATCGCAGATCTCGCGCGGGACGCTAGAAGTGTCCCACTGCTCAAAGGTATGTTCTGGCTCCTGCGGGCTGCAGCTGCGGTTGGATGGGTAGATTACTTTGTGGGGTTTCGAGTCCTGCACTTGTTGGTGGCTGTCGCTGTGGCGGCGGGCATGTTGTTGGAGATGTTGCAGAATGTGCGTATTTAGTATTATGTTGCCTACATAGAGCGATGACTTGTGATTCTTTCGCTCCGAGTCGTGATGTGAATCGGTTGGATTGTTGGGGGGTTGTTTGTGTTCTGGAAAGACGGCAGGTTGGAAAGAGCTTGAGGGTCGCGTCCCTGTCAGCTTTGGCTGCCTCCTCTTTGGCCATAGAAAGCCGGCAATGTCTGAGGCTGGTTTAGATATCGAGACGCTTCGCAAGTTCGGTCTATGATCGGGGTGGACTGCTAAGCACACGTAGAATAATATCTGGAAGAGAATCGCTCCAGCCCATACCCCACACCAAACATAATACAGCACCCGAGTAGTGCGGGGGAACAGACTAGAATCCTCGCCCTTGAGTAGGGAATCGCTTTGTCGCAAGGCAAATGCGACGAATATGAGTGCAATGGAAAGGATTCCGCCAAGTAGGACGAATGCCAATCCATTCCACGATTTCCAGAATCGCCGTCCTCTTGCTGCATCCAGAGTAAACGAGACGAGTAGTAGGCCCAGGACAATAGAACTTATGGCCGTCAGCACCACGGCCATATATGTAAGGAATGCGCAATTGGGGACTGCATTTTCAAGCGATGCAGCGAACGCCCCATTGACAATGGTTGATATCGCGGTGAATAGGATTGCCGACAAGCCCAGAGACAAGAGGACAAAAGGCCTCCCCATCTTCGGCCGCGCGCGTGGTGCTCGCGCAGTGGTCGACCCGCCACACTCCAGTTGATTAATATATGCAAATCTTGTAGAAAGAGAAATTCTGGGTCGTGGATTCTTGCGGCTGAGAGGATAATTACTGCATACTCCACCCGACTGGGACTGGGTACAGATAGAGATTGGTTCACGTCAAAATCTTACTCTTGACCATGGACGCGGTACAAAGCATATGTAAACAAAATTAAACAACAAAATATAGATAGTGAAGGAACCAGGTGCTGCCGACAGCAGGACACGATCCTTGAACGCACAACAAGAACAAATGACTTGCGATGGGCAGGGGAAAATTAAACCATTCGAGCAAAAATTAAAACACAATGCTGAAAGCTCGTAGGGAAGTAAATGGTTGTTTGTGCTGCCCTTGTCCATGGTGGGACAATAGAGTGTTTTAAAGCCGGCCAGCCCAACCCGCGTTGTTTTCCGCCGCCTTAGCGGGATTCAAGCGCTGCAGGAACATACAACAGGCTTCCAAGGCTTTGCGCGACCAGAACAGGGGAGCAGGCCAGTGGAGACAATAATCTGGGTAGGGGCGGGGCCCATCGATCAGGAAACATGGCGTCAAAAAAAGCCAACATGAATAACTCCCCCGCCGTTCCCAACATCCAACAAACATTGAATGATGCGCGTCATCCGAATTCGTTCGAGCTGTGCCGTACGAGCTGTTAACTAGGGGAACATTCTAGACGTGGGAACGAAACAAACTGGTTAGGCCTGGGGAAACATGGAACAGGCGCGCTAATGGCAGACTGACATCCAGGAGCTGGCAACGCCTGGAGCCTGAAGCGTTATGCCTGGCGAATTCGCGGAAGGAGGTCGAAAGGGAGAGTGTTTCGATGTATTTTGGTATAACATGGCTTGAATGAGAGGCCCCGTACCGGGGTGGACAGGAGCATCAGTTTGCCGTCATCCATTTTCCTCATCCACCCTCCAACCTGCCCAAAACCAGGCAGGGTGTATCAGCTTCGTGAAGAGTGAGGTTGGAGGTTCTTAGCATCGGCCTAGCTTAGCTGGGGTGGTGGAGACGACCATCACATCAAAACCACACTATGTCTATTACTCGAGCCGCCCCAGGGCCCAGAGTGGGCCATGATTACATTGTGGATTACATCGGCCCTGTGCCAGGCAGAGCTGGACGGTGGAGATAGAGGTAAATGACGACATGACATCTACGGATACGATATTTTCGCCCTGCGACTCAAGGAGCCAGGACGACGCGACAGGGGCATCGAACCCATTTTAGCCCATCGGTTAGACCAGCATTCTCGAATTTCCTCAGTCAGGATCGTACCAATGTGTACCGATGTGGCAGACTCTCATCAGCACCAACGATGAGATTGACAGGGTCGCAAGGGAACCAACCAGCCTTGCACAGGGAAGGGATTCAGCCGCTACCGATTGGCTGCGAAAAAAAGTCCAATCATACAAACTCCGTCAATAATCTCCGCAAAGAGCAAAGGAGAATCATCGCCCAAGTCCAATGCTCTTTTGACAAACAAAAACTTGTGTTGAAGACCCCAACCAATAATCCATGCATAATGCACCCTCGCAGGTCATAAACGTCAACACCCTGTTGCGATCTTGAACAGAATGAAAAAAGAAACGAAAAAGCAAAGAAAAGAAAAGCAAAGAAAAGCCATAAACCGCCATAACCAGCCATAAACAACCAAAAACGGCAAAAAACAACGCGTCCCGCGTTTCTTCTAGAGTCGCCTGTGGCTTCGATATTTCAGCAAAAAGAACCACAAACCCCTTCATTAAAACTAGATGACACACGATACTCAGGTATATACCCTCACTCACCCATCAGAACATACTCTGTGCTTTAGACGAGTCAGAAATGTTGAATGTGATCCGCAGAGGCAGAAACTCCAGGCCCCGCTGAGAATTGTTGAGTCCCATACAGAGAGGAGTGAGGCCAGCTATCTCATCCAATCTGGCAGCTTATGGGTTCCAGTTACTTGGTCTTTCGTTCTTATTTCTTGAAACTATTGTTCGGGACTCCGTTTCTTTTCCATCGTTGCCAGAGAGATATTTTGGCATCGTTTGCCTCTCTGGACAGAGAATGAGAACATACACCTCTTACCCATCGGTTGAATGAGGAGGATCGGTTTAACCTAGGCTTGCTGACTGAGAAAAGAAACGAGTTTCATTAAAAGCTAACTATTCGAAGAAAGTAAAACAGCGTTAATTTTACGGAGTGGTCTACGGAGTATTTTTATCAGCAAATGAAACAGAGCCATTAGGGGATCCGCTTTGAAACTCCAGACCCTTCTGAGTCCTGAAGGAGTGCACTATGCACTGTATATATCTGCCTTTTATATTGAAGGATCCTGCCGCCGCCATAGACTATATTTATTGGTGCTGACGCTTGCGTCTCAGACGGGATGGTCTGGCATTGGCTGGATTTTAATTCTCCGAAGAAAACGATCTATATAGCAATCTAAATCTGCATATCTATTAAGATCAATGCGAGTTATTGATTACCCGGACCCGCTGCATAGCCGTTAGTTATCCCGCTGGCTGAGCCGGCGTCTACTATGCTGTGGAACGAGGAACTGCGCGGGATGCTTGTATATTGATCTTGGGCGAGGGAAGAAGATTTCCCCCCTGCTTGTCTGAAGAAGAAAAACTAACTCATCCGTTCTGTTGGATATTGACAGTAATGCATTGGAGAAGAGAACGGAAAAGAATAGGATAGAGAGACTAGTTGTTGCTGGTCAGCCCGCTGGTCTCGGCATTAGAGGGCAAGGAACGAAGGGTTGTTATTCTTGAGTAAAAGAGACCCGCCTGCACCAAAATGCTCCTCGGATGCGGCGTTGATAGCTCAGTCTAGATTTTTTGGGCCTCGATCCTCAGCGCTGATTTACATAGATAGTATGTGCGTTGCTTCGGCTGGAGATCCATTAGCATTTGCATTTGCATATTCTTTTTCTTTTTCTTTTTCCTCTTTACTTCCCTCTCTCTTCATCAATGATTACATTCCACTTTACAGCCTGAACTTGTAGCTCGGAAGGCCAGTAGTTATTGTTTACTTTTCATCAAAAAATATTTTCTATCACATTAGAATGAGGAACCCTTGTTTTTCTTTTTGAAAATAAACCTGATCGAGGAACTAGGATATTCGGAATCCGGCGATGTTGGGACCTCATCCTCCGCCTCAAGTAAGGTGCTGATCGAGGGCCTGGATGGCGAGGATCAGGTTGTCTCTCTCTATCTTACGCGGAGCATCAAACAGGCTCGGTTTGCTACCAGAACGTCCGCAAAGACTCAGTTCGTGATGGTAATCGGTGTTCTATCTAACTCTAATCTTTAAAAGATATTCTTGTTTCCTATGCGAGGAACATATTGATATAACATGCATTGCAGTGGTTATTTAAGCTTCGTAATGATCTGATGGTTTGTAAATAAGGATCTCTAAAGTTCTCCGTTATTCGAGCTTCAATAGAGTTTCTTTTTCTTTTGTTCTTCAAGTCATTGACCGATCGATGACACAAACATGAATGAATGCGTAACTAGTTAGCTAGCTGTGAGGGGAATGGAATATGCAAAAACTGCAAATATCCAACAAAAAAGGCAATATAAAAAACATTCGGAGTAAATGAGAAAACGGAGAATACTCCGCTAAGCTATCCCTAACCCTCATGTGAGGTCGGGAGAGTGGGGGAAATGAGTGATGTGGATTCTTTGCTAACCAAACAGGCCTCAATATCTTGCAAAGGATCTTCCTGCTAGAGCTACCCAGCTGTGGGCAATGGCAGTCGATGATATTGCGTTTGTCTTAGAAACAATTCTTTATGTTTGTACACAATTCCTACTCTGGTTCCTCCCAGCCAGGCACCGAAGTACTTCGAGACCCGGACGTCTGGCTTTCAAGGAATCATCGCCTCAAGCCTCAAAGGGGTCTAGAATCCATACGTAGTGACTCTACTAGATGGGCCCACGAATAATTATATAGACTCGAAAGATCATCGGAATATCATGAGCATGTCGGATCGGTTGTATGCATCAATAAGAGCGGCTGGAAGAATGGGCAGATCGGTTTCAAGAGCTATCTGATCAAGAATCGGTAGTGGGCAGACACGGGTAGGCGGATCAACGGGCAGGCAGCTCCAATGGCCGATGAGCAATTGATTGCGAAGTATCCTGCGTAAACAGGCACAACGATTCTGAGGAACCATGCGTGAGCCATGGAGGACATTTTCAAGTTGAGGAGAAGGAGATCTCCAGACACGGGATGGATGATCAACTAACTCAGAGAAGCTAAGTCGCCGGGAGCATGCTTAGCACTGCAGCCCAAGGGAGAGTCCGCAACCGCTAGCGCGGCAGTCGGCTAGTGGCGAGGCTAGTGGGCACATCAAATGTTGATCATGAATCGACTATAGACCGCGTCGCCACCATCAATCGCAGATTTGCCCGACGCGGCAAAAAGCGGCCCTTCTGCTGTGCACGGTGCTGCTGCGTTGCTGTGAGCAATGAAAATGCCGCGGACTGTGGCTCACTGACTTCGAGTTATGCGTCAAGATGATGGTAAATTGGGTTATGGGGAGGTCGCATGCCGCATGTGGGTATGAGATGTGAATGTTGAACATTGAATGTTGATGTTCCGAGGTCAAACCAGCGCCCCCGATATGCTATACCAAGGTACCTGCGCCAGCTCAAATGGATATCGACAATCTACTCGTTGCTGTGCCACCTCGGGCTGCGGATGCGCGTTCCAAAACTACAATCACAACCAAAACCAGAACGGTTGCCTTTCATTTCATTTTTGACCTTTTGTTTAACCTTTCCACCCCGCGCTGGGTTCATGGTTTCTGGCGCTGTACAAGCTCTTTTGTTCCAACCTACACCCTAAGAGGTGATAGGTCCAGGGGCACATAACCCCATATATATTCTGTACGGCAAGCTATCTTCTTCAGCTATATAAAAGAGGTAACTTTTCTGTAGTATTATATACAATCACTGTATCAGCTTCTCTCTGAATGTAAACTTAATAATTATTATTTCACTAGTTAATTATTAATTAATAATTTACTAATATACTCTTCTTCTCTGTTTGTTATTAATTTTTATTCTTAATTATTCTTGTTCTTACTCATTTATTTTGAAATATTTGTATCTTTATATAAATGAGAAAGACTGATATAATCTCTGCTGCTGATACTGCTATTGAAGCAGCAGTTATATAAAAGTAGCTACAGTATAATTTTATTGTAGAGATGACAGTATAGAGAGAGAATATACTCATATGATTGATGGAGATATTACCTCTGTCTTGCTTACTGCCTACCTGCTCAATGCCCCTAAGCTCACTATTAGAATAAATATCCCCTACTGCTGCCAACCTACCTACCACTGCCAATCTATCTACTGTTGTCAACCTATCTATCGCTGCCAATCTATCTATCGCTGCCGATCTATATAGGGTAAATCATGGTCCCGTTTTTACAAAATGGGACCAGAATCATTAATTTATAAGTAAAACATGATCTGGGACTAGATTTATAATATAAACAGTGTAAAGTGACTAATTTACTCAACACTATATGGGACCAGGACTAGGATATTTGAGAATGGGACTAAGGAAAAATTTAGTCCTAGTCCCATGCATGGTCACACAGCCAGTCTAGGTCACTACTGCCAGATATTTCAAGGAAGGTCTTTTGAGCAATAGATTTAAGAGTAATCACTAGAGAATGTGTTGCAATATCAGTATTAGAAGCCATCTTGATAAACAATTTAATGAGAAACAAAAATATCATCTGCAGATTTGAACATATTCAAATTGGTGGCATTATATAGCGCCTTGGTGGGCAAGAACTTCTGACATGAACCTCCGTACATATGAACATGAAATTGAACACATGTCAGCAATAACCTGGTTATATCAGTGGTTTTGATGGCTGAGTGACTGCGCCTCCACATATAACTAGTGGTTATTGTGAGGGTTGGGTTTGAACGCGCGTAACCCGACCTGCCTATATAACTATTTTTGTATCTATTCCCTTTCTACAATATGTACGCAGCTGCTCGCGACGACAAATGGGCGCGCATTCTCCTGTGACGAACGTCTTAGGGCCGTGTTTCCCTGCGCAATATTTCCTGTCGCGCATATCACGAAAATTGACCCAGCGCCAACTTCGCCCCTGGACCTCTCATTTCGAACAATGAAATGCAACTTCCGTATCGCTGTCAGGCTATATTGTTTCATTCTCGTCATTGCCCTGTTGTTTCTCGTGCGTGTGTTGGCAGATATCCTAGATCAATATAGCGGGGGTTTATACTTGATTGATTCCATTATCACGCGTTTCCATTCTTTATCCCTCGATTTGCCCAGTGACGCAACAAACCCCTTCAATGTCGAGGTGGGTGATAAAATCATTGTCATGGCAAAGCTGGAGGAGGAGGATACCGATTGGGTACAGGATGAGCTTCCAGAGTATGTCACTCCCCTCCTTTCACTATTGACTGGAAAAGCCTTCAATCGATCCCAAACCATGAACAATCCAATATACCACAGCTAACCCATATACCACCCCCGTCGACGGACAAAACAAACAGCTGGCAACGAGCGATATATGTCGTAAACCCCTCTCAGAAGACGCTCAACGATCCTAATGCCCTCACGGTCCCAAGAAACAAAGGTCGCGAATCCATGGCGTACCTCTCCTACATCATCGACAACTACGATAACCTTCCCCGCACCATCGGCTTCCTCCACGCGCATCGCTCTGGCTTCTTACAGGCATGGCACGTCGATGCGCCGCTACACGACAACGTCATCGCCATGCGCACGCTCCGGATCGCCTACGTCCAGCACAGCGGATATGTTAATCTGCGCTGCAACTGGAACCCCGGCTGCAAGAAGGAGCACAGGATCAATCGACATGTGACGGACGAGGTGTGGATGGAGCTTTTCTCGGGGACAAGCACCCCGCCGCAGAATTGGTCCGCGACAACGGCAGAGGGAGGAAGGGGAGGGGGGACTTCAGCAGACACAGTCGACGACGGAAGCCGTCCCTTACTGCAAAGCACGGATAACCCGACAGAGATAGCGGCAGCGTGCTGCGCGCAGTTTGCCGTGTCGCGCGACCAGGTCCTCAAGAGGCCGGTGGAGGATTATATGCACTTCCGCGACTGGGTTATGGCGACGGAAAGGAATGATGCGAGTAGTGGTCGCGTCATGGAGTACATGTGGCATATAATTTTTGGGATGGATGCTGTGTTGTAAGTTATTCCTGTTAATTTTTTTATGGTATTTCGCAGATGCCCGCACCTATATATCTTTCCTCCTTATCGTCTCATCTGCAGGCTATTTATTTCCTTTTGCCTAGCGACTAACGCCATATATTCGTTCTCGAAAAAATAGCTGCCCTGACGAACACCTCTGCTACTGTGCAGTTTACGGACGATGCAAATGACAGGCAACCAAAGCAGACACTCGGCGGATAAATTATATAAATTATCATATCTTCGATAACAATCATAATCGTAATCATAAACAGGCAACCTTGCGCCAAGGAAAGGGGATGTTGAGCTTCCTCATGGTCGAGAAGCTATTTAATCATGGAATTATCACGAACCTCTGGGTGTTGAGATATTCTCTCTTTTGTCCCTGTTTCTCCCCTTCCTCTCAATTCACAATCGATTATCCTTTGCTTCTTTTCTCTCTCTCCTGCTGCCATCAAACTGGGATATTTTATTTTTATTTTTATTTCTATCCTGTCTTGTTTAGCGCAGGTACCTCGCATTGCCGCTCCTAACAACATTGGTAACAAGAATAATGATAGTGATAATAATAGCAACAGCAATTGAGGCAGATCCACCTAATTGATAACAAAATGAGCTGGACACCCAATGGATTCCAGGAGCGGATATGCCCCTGGTTAGTGACAGACAGTGTGGCTGGCTGCGGCGGCATCGAAGATGTGAAAAGAGTCATCTTGACTCATAGTAAAGTCACTCTCTGTAAAAAACGAACAGGAAGAATCAGGATCAGCGAAGCAACAGCACTTGCAACAGTGCGGGCTTCAGATTTAAATCCAGCGATTTCCCACTCCGATTCTTGATTCTCTGCGTCCGCTGGGTGTATGTATGTATACAGATGAGTTAACTACGCAGAAGAAGTTCCTCCACGGTTGCTTGACGACGTTTTCTGCTGATGTAAACAGCCGCCTCTGCCCTCCTCCACAATCCCCGCCTTCGCCTCTAGAATCCTCATCCTCATCCTCATCCTCATCCATCCATCCCGTCTCATCTCATCCCAGTATCCCCGAGCACGGAGCACGGAGCGGCCTCTGCGATAAGACTAGTTGCGGTGCCATTAATCGTTGTATCCCGCCGGTCCAGAAGCGCGGGACAAAGAAGATAAAAAAAGAGTTTTTTGCTGCTTGTTCAAGGAACTAGTTTTTTGCCCCTCATCGGGTTCCGCTTGCTTGCCTGCCCACCCTCAACATCAGGAAATTCGAGCCAAAACTATTAAAGAGACAAGAGGGGAGAAAGCTAAAAAGGGAAAAGGAAAAAAAAACATCAGACTCGACAACCAACTCCACGACGGCAAAAATACATCATCATCATCAACCTATTCTCCCCCGATTTACCCCGCTGCACCCGCCGAATCCGAGATCTTTCCACGGCACACAAAAGCATATATATACATCCCACTTTCTTCAATCTGCGTTTCCTGGAATCAGCATACAGCGAACTATAGGAAAAAGAGAATACAAAGGAATTTACAGGGACTGTTGATAAATCATGGCGGTTCGCGCTCGCTTTGAGAATTCCAATGAGTTGAGTTGCCCCTCCTCCGGTCTCGTTTGGCGGGTTAATAAATTCAATTTTTGAATCTGGATTTTTCTTTTATATAGAGGATGGGGATTTTGACCCTCTCCTTTTGACAACCCCCTCCGCTCCCCTTCGATCATACAGAATATTAAATTGTTTTTTGTTTTCTTTTTTTTTTTTTTTTTTTTTTTTTTTTTCAAGACGATTTACTTCATCTGGCTAACCGCTGCCATTTTCCCGCCATTCGCAGGGTTGGTGTGTTCGCGACATTGACGAATTCCTACGCATTGGTGGCCATTGGCTCGTCGGAGAACTTCTATAGGTACGCGCATTAAGATTTCTTGGCCGATTTTTCTCCTTTTGTTCGCTCTTTCTTTTTTCCTTTGATGGGTAGGTATTCGAGAGGTGGTGAGGGAGGGAGGTTGCGGGGACACCGTTTTAAGATCTCCCTCCTGTCGTGAGAAATGATGGGCGGGGGGGACCCGGATCACATATTGGAATTCGGGTCGGGAATATCTGATTATTGCTTCTCCCTGGATCGATACATTCGAAGAGGGAGACCATCACGCCTCGCGGGATGTGGAGCCTGCTACGTACGAGTAGGGGAAGTGATATGTTGATAAACACCGGGTGGTTCATGCTTGGTTCCAGCCAAGTTGATCTGATTCGAGAAGAATGGCGGATGTTTGAATATTTTTGTGATTTTTGTCATGCAGAATAATGATAGGGGAAAAGTGCGAAGTAACTAATCTTGGTTTCCCTCGAAAACAGCATTTTCGAAGCAGAGTTGCAAGATGTCATCCCGATATGTCATGCTACCATCGCCGGTACGAGGATTGTGGGACGATTAACAGCCGGGTAAGCCACGATTCGATCAGCACGACATGATCCCCTTCTCTTCCCTTTCTCCCTCGCTGTTTTATATAATCTCCTACACTGCACTACGATTTACCAGTGCCTAAGCTAACCGTGATATTTTCTCTTCTTGCTCCCCTTCAGAAACCGCAAAGGCCTTCTTGTTCCCACGTCAACCACAGATCAAGAACTCCAGCACCTGCGCAACTCGCTCCCAGACGCCGTCAAGATCCAGCGGATAGAAGAGCGATTAACCGCGCTTGGAAATGTTATATGTTGCAATGACCATGCAGCTCTCGTCCATCCAGATCTAGAACGGGAAACGGAAGAAATGTAAGAAACTCCCCGCTTTGTTATTCCAAAATAAAAACATAAAAAGACAACCCACACACCCATCCAATCCCCATCCAGGCATACCAACTAAACTCCAATCCCCTCAGAATCGCCGACGTCCTCGGCGTCGAAGTCTTCCGCCAAACCATCGCCGACAACGTCCTCACAGGTTCCTACATGTCCCTCTCCAACCAAGGGGGCCTCGTCCACCCCAAAACCTCCATCCAAGATCAAGACGAGCTCTCCTCACTGCTCCAAGTGCCGCTCGTCGCCGGCAGCGTGAACCGCGGCTCCGCCGTCGTCGGCGCCGGCATGGTCGTCAATGACTGGCTGGCCGTCACGGGCCTGGATACGACGGCGACGGAACTGAGTGTTGTGGAGAGCGTGTTTAAGTTGGGCGAGGGTGCTGCCCCGGCCGCGGCTCCGGGCGTGACGGGGAAGGGTGCGCTAGGTGCGTTTGGGAATACGCATAAAGAGAGTTTGGTGGAGAGTTTTTATTAGGTGGGGGGAAAGGGGCCCGCTGCTGGGTAGGTTTGCTTTTTTGCTTTTCGCTTTTCGCATGCCTTTTTTTTGGGGAGGGAGGGAGGGAGGGAGGGATGGGGGTTGTGCCAGGGCGGGTTCTGGGGTGTGATTTAGACATTCCCCCAAGTTCCGTTTTTCTTCTCTAGTTTTTCCCTCCTCGTCTTGTTATTTTTTGTTAAATTTGGGGTTGAGATGATCCCGATCCCGTTATCGGCGGAGATTGGTAGATACATGATACATGATACATATGGAATGGGTATTCCTTTTCCGTTTCGTTTGTCCTTTGTCATTTTTTTTTTCTTCAATGTCTGTGTTTGTTCATTCATCGACATGCTCCAGTGCGGTGGAGGTTTAGGTTTCCTCTTTATCCCGCCCCCCTTCCCTTCACCTCAGCGATCAGCCGCTGCCCCGTCCTTGTGGCGAGCTGCAGACAGTTATACATAGTTGACGCATATTCTCCAAAAAATACATTGACAGCTATATATATGGTCGCATATATGTATGTGATGTCAACGTGGTATTTTTCTTCTTTTCTCTCTCATTTTTTCTAGGGGGGAAAGAAAAAGGTCTTGCATTGCTCCAATCTATGTGATAGTATGCACGCTATACTACTATGGAATATGAAGGAGGTTCCAGGCCGGCGATGATGGTACATGAGCATGCAGATAGGAAATAAAAAGGGGAAGCGAGAGAGCAAGAAAGAGAGAGAAAGGAAGCAAGGGTGATAGAGGGGGCCCGCGCAGTATTTTAGAGTAGGGTAGCTACTATGTAAGGGCTATGTATATGTACGGAATGG